TCAGTTAACAGCCACACTGGATAATGGGAATGCTGACTGATAGTAATCCACTGCATCATCTTTATAGGCAACTTTTTCATACATTTTTAATCTTATGTCTTACTGCTTTCTTCAAGGCAGTTTCAGAATGCTGACTGGGGAAGTTGCAGGGAGGGGAGAGAGATTTATCTGCCACAAAACAGCAACGATTCCCTGCCCCTTCACACATGCATTTTCTTTTGCCTCTTCAAAAGGAACACTGTTTTAGAGGAAGTGCACATGGCTTGTCAAAAAGAAAATGAGGTGGGAGGGAGGTAGGAAACCATTGTGGCAAGGGAAAAGTGCAATCTGTTTGTCCAGCTATTGTCTGTGATGGGGATATTACTCATAAATGCAGAGTCCCTGGAATAAGATAAACCAAGGAAAATGGGAGCCGCAGTGTATTCCGCATATGGTTTGTTATGTTCTGAGTTGAATAGGATCCAAAATGCAGCAGTCTGATGGGTCCTAGAACAATGCAGCAGTATGAATGGTCCGCAGGAGCCACCCAATCCAGCTCCAGGTGGAAGTGAATCCACAACCTGATTGGCCTACAGGAGAATCCTGGAATTAGCCAATCACGTGCAGCCCATTGTGTAAATAATGTATATAAAGCAGATATTTTGGGGAAACTTTCATTCCTCCTCACCACTATGAGCTGAATAAAGAGCATGAAATCCACTCTCGACTCTGAGTATATTACATGGTTGTTTGTTACATTTTGTTATGTACTGAGCTGAATCCTAGAACAAAAGGATCCAGAATGCAGCAGTCTGATAGGTCCACAGGAGCCACCCAATCCAGCTCTAGGTGGAAGTGAATCAGCAACCTGATTGGCCTGCAGGAGCAGCCAATCAGGCTTCCAGAGGAGGTGAATCCGCAACCTGATTGGCCTACAGGAGCAGCCTGGAATTAGCCAATCACGCTGGGTCCATTGTGTACAGTATAGCTAGATGTTTGGGGGAAAGTTTCATTCATCGCTACTATGGGCTGAATAAAGAGCATGAAATTCACACTCGACTCCGTGTATATTTCACATTTATATCCTATTTTTCCTCCAAGGAACTCAAGATGGCATCCACGGTCCTCCCCTCCCCATTTTATCCTGCCAACAACCCTGCGAGGTAATTTTGCCTAAGAGACTGCGACTGACCTAAGGTCAACAAGTAAGCAACTACAATACTGAGCTTTCAAATGCCATACTTCTTAGAATACTTGAAAACTCTATTGTCGGTATATATTACATTTAGCACCAAAGTAAGAAAGTTAGTAATAATTTTTAATTTGAATTTTTAGAGATCCAGACAATACTTTCCAGCACATTATAAAATAAGACCACCTTGCAACTTTGCAACATAGTTATTCATTTTTATTTATGTATTGAATTTGTATACTGCCCTATACCCAGAGGTTGCAGGGCGGTTCACAGAACAAAATCAAAATATAAAACCACAATATATAATCAAAATAAAAACAACAACCCAATAACACCCCCCTTTTATCAGTTATCCCCAGTTATCCATTCATGCAGCAATATTTTCCAAACTATAAATCACACCACTTTATAATGTGATGTATACTGTAAACCACCAGCAATTGGAGATTTCACATACTGTAGACTGCAATATTGCACTTACATAATCCATTTTTTATTGTTGGAATATTTTCAAAGTTTAGACAGGCAAACCTTTGCAATCAGCAGCATAATTTGAATTAATATCAAGATGCTCGCAAATCTAAGTCTTTGATATGTATTTCAAGAATAGAAATAGGAATAGGTGCCTGTCTCCTGATATAACTAAGAAAGATATCTGAAACAGCATTTTCTCAAAAGGGGCAGTCCCAATACATGCAGAAATAAGTTCATCTATTCCCACACCTCTTCCAGCATGCTTGTAATACCTATCCCTGCAATCTTTATTTATTGTTGATGGAGCTAGGTAGCATCTTGCTGCAGCTTGATCTATTTCCAAAACGTAGGCAAGGCTGTCAAAGGCCGTATTCTTCTGAATACCAATTGCTGAACACATCACAAGGGGAGACTGCTGCTGTGCTCTGCTCAAGTCATGCTTTTGAGCTTCCCATGGGTATCTGGCTGGTCACTGTGATGCTGGACTAGTTGGGCCACTGAACTGATCCTGCAGAGTTTGTTTATGTTCTTATGAGTACTTGCAACATGGAAGAAACAAGATTTACCAACTATCAAAGAATGGCAGGTGAAGATGATGGACTATATGGAACTTGCCGAACTGACTGGGAGACTCGGAGACCAGACAGAAGAGACGGTGGAAGAAGATTGGAAGAAGTTCAAGGAATATTTGAAAAAATATGTTAATATTTAAATCTTAGAATAGCTTTAGAAGTGGATATAGGCTGCAGGGTTAGAAGTAGAAGATAGTGTATTCTAAAATAGTATCATTTGTAAGTGATAAAATGTGAAGATTTTTATGGTAAAAGTAAGTGTGATAAAAAAAATGGTTAGAAATTATGATATATGTAAACTGCTAAAGATGAGGTAAAATGAAAATCAGATGGGGGGACTTGGGGAAGCCCACCTAACAATGTTTAGAAAAAATAAGGATAAGACAAGAATTTGTTTGTATTGTTTGTTTTTCTGTTTGTGTTGTTTATTTGTGTTATAAAATGAATTTTTAAAAATTGGGGGAAAAATATGAGGACTTGCAACAGAATGATGCTGGATGTCAGTTTCTGTCAGCTGCCTTTACTCCCACCAGTTTTTGCTCAGCTTGGAGCTTTGGGAGGTGTCGGAGAGAGTGGCTGCCAGCCAGCCTGATCGGCACCTTCAAAGCCTGCTTTGAAGGTGAGGAAGCAGCCCAGAGTGGGAAAGCCTTTCCACCTGAAAAGGGGCAGCTGGGGATTCACGAAAGAGCAGGTCAAGCACTGGCTTTGCTTGGCTTTTGTTCTTTAAGAACGTAAGAGTCCTGCTGCCTTGTCCATTTCTCACTGGCCTTTGGGAAGCTCAACAGCAGAACAACGGCACACTCCTGTTCTGCAAAGTGCTGTGTGCACAGTTGTTTTCTTTTAAAGAAAAATTATGCACTTCTGCAAATGTTGAGCTTCCCCCAGATCTCTTTGATTACGACCTGCTTCCATGTGGGAGTGCTGTTTTGGCTACAGAAGCAATTCCACTCACCCTTGAATTGGGGAAATAGAAGGGATTGTTTGAGACACAGCAACTGGCACTACCCAGTGTGACAAAACAGGTGCTGCGCGGTTAGAAGGTACGATGCCGAGTGGAAGGATTTGGTAACAACTGGAGAACGATGGATGAGACTGGGCTATATCTCTGAGGTGCCTCACCTTGTTTTATAGCCTCATTGCATGGCCTTCCTAGTGCGTTATTCTACTGCTTATCAGATGCAATTCCATTGTTTGCTAAAGCTGGGATCAAGAAGGTGCAGAGCACGAGGGTGAATTTATGTGACCAGGATTAGCCATTCAGTCCAGATGAAAGTGCAAGGCCAGAACAGTCCCGACGTTTTCAGTGACTGCTTGGTCTCTACAAGTGGTCCCTGCAACAAAAATGTTGCAGCGTGGAATGCTCCTGTTCAGAGGGCCGGCCAGCCATCTCCTTTTCCCAGGACAGTCCATTCCATGCCCTCCATTTGTTCAGTGTTCAAATACCTTTTTCTTTTTAAATTGCATTGGTAGCCCACTTCATGACATTAAGGCCCAACTGTCATAAATCTGTACTCCTTCAGGCCATCTAAACTATTTGTACTGTGTTTCACCTGTTGAGTGAAAAGTTACCTAGCTAGCCAATGAAAGCCATGAAAGCCATATAGGGTAATGTGGCTAGGGTGCCAGATTAGTCCTGGAGAGATCTGGGTTCAAATCCTCACTCAGGTTTACAGCTGGTGGGATGGCTAGTCTTCTAAAAGCTGCGGCTCAGCCCGCTGAAATCTGAGCACTGAGCATCATCCACCTATCCTGTATAATAGAGGATTGTCCTTTATTTCGGTGTAAAATGCTATGTCCTGTATTGATGCACTTTTGTCCTGTATTTCTCTCTCTGAGTGAGAGCCAGTGTGGTGTAGTGATTAAGAGCGGTAGTCTTGTAATCTGGGGAACCGGGTTCGCGTCTCCACTCCTCCACATGCAGCTGCTGGGTGACCTTGGGCTAGTCACACTTCTCTGAGGTCTCTGAGCCTCACTCACCTTACAGTGTGTTTGTTGTGGGGGAGGAAGGGAAAGGAGAATGTTAGCCACTTTGAGACTCCTTAGGGTAGTGATAAAGTGGGATATCAAATCCAAACTCTTCTTCTTCTTTTCTTCTCTTCCTCTGTGTGTGTGTGTGTGTGTGCCAGGTTAAGGATCTTCTCCAATTGCATGTGTTGAAAGGGTCTGTGAAAGGTCGTGTATTTAAGCTCTGGGTAGCCAAGCACAGATTTAGAAATTTATGTGTACATGCATGTGCGACCAATTCCAGAGGGGCCATTCTGTTAGGCTGCAATAGATTGTAATGGGTTGCTTAAAGTCACTTCAGATGGAGGCGAAAAATTGACCACCAACCGCCCTGCTCCACCCTGCCCTGTATTTTTTCAGAACAAAACTACCCAAAACCACCCAAAACTAAACACCACCCACCCCATAAAGCAGCAGTCAGGAGCTTTGACCCTCCAAATGAACTCCCTCCCAACTCCCATCAGACAAAGTTAGCATGGCTAGGGCTCAGGGATGATGGGAGTTGTAGTCTAGCAACATCTAGAGAGCCACAACTCCACTGCTGCCCATCCCGTCCCATTTAAACTTCACGCTTGGAATCCTTCAGCGGAATAAGTGGATCGCTCTCTGTCTCTCTCGAAGCCCGCAGCGCCATAGGCTGCAACCGCGGTCCAAAGGCAGCCCATCCGGCGCATCTCCCGGTTCACATCAAAAGAAAGCATGCTAATAAGCCCCGCTCGCTGGCGGCGGCGATTGGCTGCTTCTTGAAGGGGGCGGGGTTTCGGGGGGCGGTGTCTCCGTGCCCGGGGGTCAGGTCCCCAAACCTCGTAGAACGTATCCGCGAGAAACAATCTTTTCCCCGGGACAGGGCTGCTGACAAGCTTCGCGGAGGGGCCGGCTGTCGCGTGCGCGCTGCTCGTCGGAATCAGCCTCCCTTGGCCCCTTTGTGCAGGTTTTTTCCCCCTCCCCTGCCCTTGGCTTGCAATTGATGCTGCTGATCCAGGAAGAGAAGACTGCCTCCTTGAACTGTTGAGCCCCAATCGAACTGAGCATTGGGGGCGGAGAGAGGGGGCTTCTCTTTGGGGGGGGGCGGCTTTGTTTTATCTATTTATTTATTTATGTATTTATTTTCCTTCTGCACCTCGGGTGTTTTTTGCAAGCAGCTGAGCTGGGGACTCTGATGCACCCGTTCCAGTGGTGTAACGGTAAGCTTGTCCGACCCAGGGTGGTGGTGGTGATGATGATGATGATGATGGAGAAACAGGCTGGCCAAAAACCAACCCCTCACCTCCCCGCTCCTTTAAAACGAACAAATCACAGGCATTGCGGGCGGCCAAGTTCATTGTCCGGTCTTCGGGTGGAGATGCAGATCCTGTTTATTTTATCTTTTAAAAAAAAAAATCTGTCTGTAAACAAAAACTCCCCAGATTTTAAAGAGACCAAAAGGAACCTGCCGGGATGGTTCGCAGGGGAGGGAGGAGAAATTGAGGGCATTCTTTCGCTCCGAGGTAAGGCTCCCTTCTTTGTTGTTACTTTGGAAACAGCGTCTTGAGGGCACCGAGTCAGGTCCAGCCCCTCCCCAAAGCATCGCGGACTCGAAAAGCCGTCCCTTTTTCCACCATACATTTAAAAAAAAACCCACACGAGAATGCTGGGAACTATAGCGTGGTAAGAGCTCTGTGAAGGGTAAACTACAGTTCCCATGAATCTTTGTGTGCGGAGGGTTGCGCTTTAAATCTATGGTATGTGCTCAGTTCAGAAGAGCTGCCAATATGGTTGGGTCCTTGCTTAACTCCTTTGTGACGTTTTAGTTGGTCTTCGTAGAGGGGTTCCTCTGCTGTTAACTTTTGGGTATTTCCTCCCTAATGGGACAACAGGGCTGCCTGTAATTTACTTTCAAATTCCATTATATGCATTGCTTTGACATACACAATCCTATGTGTGCTTGCTCAGGAGTGAGCCCCATTGAAAATGTGTAGAATCGGAGCCTAAGGCTCTAATTCCTGCCCCACACAGACACAAACCATTGTCTTTTTTTCCAGTTAATAGAATCATCGAATTGTAGAGTCGGAAGGGACCCAAGGACCATTTAGTCCAACCCCTTGCATTCCTCTTGGCTATTGGTTGTTGTGTTGTTTTCCTGCAAATATCCGTCCCCAAAGCAGCTTACACCGTTTTAAAAAGATAATCTAAAGCAAAACCACAATATCAGGATGACAATTGAAACACTAAAGCACTGAGTCAAGGGCATAATTAAAAGCAGCCATATTCCAAGAATGCCAACTGTACCTATTGCTAAACAGTTGCTAAGTTATCCCCTCTCAAACAGGGATCTGTTTAAGCTACCCAAGTGTCTGCCCTAAGAATGATGGGCTGGCATTGTTTTCCTTCTGCTAAAACGGGTTCCCAAAATAAACAGTGCATTTGCTCCATACTTTCTTAGCCCCCCTCCCCTCCTTCTGGAGAGGGCAGAGATTGTCGTGAAATTGCCCATCTGCAGAGGGGACACCATTTGCACAGCGCTTTAAAACCTCATTACAGTGTTTTAGTTTTGTGGTGGGGGTGGGGAGCGCTTCGTTCAGAAGGCCTAGCAGATGGTGACTGCTTTTGTAAAAGGGCTAATGGTTAATTAAAAGGAGCAGAGCCCTGCTTGGGATGAGCCTGGATTAATTATTTCAAGTAGCTTTTGTTCTCTGACTTTCTTCTTCCTTCCTTCTCTCCCCCCCCCCCATCTCCCTTTATAGTTCCATGAAATTTAACTAGCATCCAGCCTCTAGGCCATGTGCTTCAAAGACAATGGAAGGGAAGGGGAAGAGGAGGGGGAGAGAGCTGGCTGGTTTATTTTGAGTACACACAGACACTCAGGCATCAAAGTCAGAGGCTCAATTAACCTCTTATGTCTCACTTTGCTGCTGCTTTTCCCACCATTTTTTTAAAAAACTGTAATTGAAGCAGATCTGTAAACTGAAAGGCAGACCGAGTCCCCACACTCAGGACCGTCTGCAACAACTGTACTGCTAAATACAGAACAGGAACATGAGAGCCAGTGTGGTGTAGTGGTTAGAGCACTGGAAGGTCAAGGTTCAAATCAGCCTGACCTACTTCACAGGTTTGCTGTGAGGATAAGATGGGGAGGAGGAGGACTCTGTGTATGCCACCTTGAGCTTGGAGGAAAAGGTGGTATATAAATGAAGTAAGTAAGTAAGTAAATAAATAGGAAGCTGTCTTAAGCCCTGTGGACAGCTCAGTCAGTAGTGCATGAGACTCTTAATCTCTTGGTCATGGGTTTGAGCCCCACGTTGGGCATTACAGGGGTCCCTTCCAATTCTACAGTTCTTCTGTGATTACGTGGCCTGTTGAGCTCTGTAATGTCTCCACTGACAGACAGCCATTCTTCAGGTGGGGAGATGTTCTCAGCCCAATGTCAGGGATTGAACCTGGGATCTTTGGTGTGCAAACAAAGCAGATGTTGTACCACTGGGCTACAGCCCTATCAATTTTAAACCTCTCCCTAGGAGAGGCTATGTAAACCATGGTCAGTTACTTTTGGTTTCGAGAAGGCTTGCAGTGTTGATAGCCAATCCGCATCACAGCTGCCTGTGGGCTGTGTCGCAATCATAATTCTTGTCCAATGTTAACCATGAATGTACTTTGATAACATTTAATCTTTGCATATCCTTCTCAATTGCTTAAAGCTTTTTGAAAGCATCAGCTAGTTGTAATCCACATAGCAAACTTTTAAGACAGGGGTAGAACAACCTTCTGGGACACGGGTGGCGCTGTGGGTTAAACCACAGAGCCTAGGACTTGCCAATCAGAAGGTCGGCGGTTCGAATCCGCGTGTGACGGGGTGAGCTCCCGTTGCTCGGTCCCTACTCCTGCCAACCTAGCAGTTCGAAAGCATGTCAAAGTGCAAGTAGATGAATAGGTACTGCTCTGGCGGGAAGGTAAACGGCGTTTCCATGTGCTGCTCTGGTTTGCCAGAAGCGGCTTAGTCATGCTGGACATGACCTGGAAGCTGTACGCCGGCTCCCTCGGCCAATAAAGTGAGATGAGCGCCACAATCCCAGCATCGGTCACGACTGGACCTAATGGTTAGGGGTCCCCTTTACCCCTAGAACGACCTCAGGCCCAGGGAACAGATGCAGCCCCCCACTGCCCCAAACATCTTTTTGTGACCCTTGGGACTCATGTCAGGCTATGCCCTCCCCCTTCTTTGCACCCCGCTCAAGTATTTTTGTTTGGCTGGAATCTGCCCTTGAATTTGTTTGTTTGTTTGTTTACCTATTCAATTTATATCCCACCCTGGCTCCCAATGAAGCCCAGGGCAGCAAACCAGAAGTGAAAAAGCATCTTAAAAACAATTCCAGGTGCAAACTGGAAAAGATTTCAATTCAAAAGGCTTGTTGGAAGAGGAAGGTCTCCAGTGGGGGCCAACCAGGCAAGAGAGAGGGTGCCTGCCTAATATTCAAGGGGATGGAAGGATAGGGGCCACCACACAAAAGCCTCAATTCCTACTTTGTGTGGAACAGAGCAGAAGATTCTGGAGTTAGCATTCTGATTCCCCATATTGCAGATGGAGGCCGAGGCTGAACTCGCATCCATACATTTAAAATACTCTCATGCCGCAGGTCATGGCTTCCCCCAAAGAACCTGCTGGTACCAACAACAAGGCCTCGCTTGCTGATTGTTGGACCCATAAGTATGGTGTAGTGGACCCATGCTCAAATCTTCTTATTCTCCCAAGCACCTCAGGGGTAGCAAGCATAATTCCTCTCCTCGTTTTAGCTTCACATCAGCCTTGTGAGGTAGGTAAACCTGAGAGAATGTGACTAGCCTGACGTCAGACCAGTGAATTTCATGCCTGCGTGGGGATTTGAACCCAGATCTCCCCAGTCTTAGAGCAGCGCTCTGACCACTACACCACATAGCCTAACTACTTGCTCAAAGCTACTTGAGCAGAGCTTTGACAACACTGGCAGGGGGTTTTAACCCTATTCCCCCACCCCGGCCATTTCCCTGATCTAAATCACACACACATCTACTGAAAGTGTTATTAGGTCAGCTGTGCCTGCAGTTATCTGGAGCACGTCTGTGTGTATATTTTGCTTTCTTCAAGCAAAACAAACAGCATCTTTGGAGGAACTGTCCGAGTTAAGAAAATCACACAGTGATGAAAGTTTAAAGCAGTGATTGGGGAACCTATGTTCCTCCAGATTTTGTTGCTGTTATTTTAATTTGTTACCCGCCCCTTACTCTAAGGTCTCAGGGTGAGTTACAGAAATTTAAAATACTGTTTAAAGCAGTTTTAAAACAGTGTCACCAAAACAAAAAGAAAAACAACAGTTTGGGGAGTGGTTGGAGTATAATCATCATTCCCTCCCCCTGTACTGATTTGGTCTGAACCAAATCAAAGCTTCCCCTGGCCGCTTTAAAGTTGTTTTAGTTTTGTTTTCAAAAGCAGATTTTATTAAGGATCACCCACGTCACTTCTCATTTGGTTCTTGGGAAAGGGGCAGTGCATCTTATAAGCACACCCAACATGCGCTATTAATAATTAAGAATTCTATTCTATAAACCCTAAACTCTAGGGAGCAAATGGACTTTTAAGGGATGTACTCAGCCTAGTTGTAAATCATGCGTCTTGAACGCAAAAGGCCCCAGGTTTTCTCCCACGCCTCTCCATTTCAGAACGGGTATGTAGGAAGTGGTGGAAAGGCCTTCTCTCTGCCTGAGACCCTGGACGTCTGCAGCCTGTCAGAGGATATCAGTGCCTTCCCCGATCCAGTGCCTTCCAGATGTTTTTGGGCCACAGCTCCCATCGCCCATGAGCATTGGCCAAGCTGGCTGGAGCTGTTAGGGGTTGTAGTCCACAACATCTGGAGTACCAGAGGTGATGCTGATAAACTTTCAGTGTTCCTATTAAGATGGTTCTGGGACCATCCTCTAAGCCAGGGGTGGAGAACTGGTGACCCTCCAGATGTTGCTGGACCCATCAGCATGGCTAATGGCCAGACATGATGGAAGCTGCAGTCCAGAAACATCTGGAGGTGTCTTCTAAGGCCATGGGAGGGAATTCTAGGCCTGGGAACCAAATGTGGCCCTCTCTGTCTGGCCCTTGGGACTCTCACAACCTCTGCCAGCCATAGCCCCCTCCCCCAGCCCTGCTTCATGCTTTCCTTGAGTGTTTTTGCCTGGCTGGAATGTGCCTTTGAACTCAGATGACGCTTTTTCCTTGTCTGGTTGGAGCATAGCAAGAGGTGTGTGTCGAAAATAGTCTGGCTGTACAAAGGTACCTTTTTCACCAGTTACTCCACTCACTTTCGCCTCTGGCCCCCGGGCAGGTTCAGCCCCCTCTCTAAGCAGATGCAATCTACACAGCTAAAGAGTCCTCCTCTCTCTTCCTGCTGTTGCTTTTGTGTTCCTTTGCATGCAAGCTTTTCCCAGCCATAATTTTTTCAAAGGCAAACAAAATCTTGGGTTGGATTCAGTGCTGAGCGTTGACAGTGGCAAAGGTGCATGGGTTGGGGCCACCCACAGCTTAATTTGCAGCACAATCCTGTGCGCATCTACTCTTAAGTAAGTCCATGGGGCTTAATCCCAAGCAAGGTTGGCAGAGCATTTTAACCTCAGGATGCAGACATTTAAAATCCCCAGTGATTTATTCAGACTGCAATCTGCAACTCCAGATTATTTACCGTATTTTTTGCTCCATAAGGCTCACTTTTTCCCTCCTAAAAAGTAAGGGGAAATGTGTGTGCGACTTATGGAGCGAATGCAGGCTGCAAAGCTATCCCACAAGCCAGAACAGCAAGAGGGATTGCTGCTTTCACTGCGCAGCGATCCCTCTTGCTGTTCTGGCTTCTGAGATTCAGAATATTTTTTTTTTCTTGTTTTCTTCCTCCAAAAACTAGGTGCGTCTTGTGGTCTGGTGCGTCTTATAGGGTGAAAAATACGGTATCTATTTCATTACATTTATATCTCACCTTTTCCTTCAAGGAGCTCAAGTACATGGTTCTCCTCACCATTTTTTAAAATCCTTACAACAACCCTGTGAGATAGGTTAGGCTGAGAGGTGGTAACTGGCCCAAAGTCACCCAGCGTGCTTTATGGCTGAGTGGGAATTTGAACCCTGGTCTTCCAGCTCCTAGTCCAGTACTCTAACCATTATACCACACTGTCCCTCTCAAGATTAAATCATGAACTAGGAACTGCAGGGGAAGGGATAGCTCATTTGTAGGGCAGGTGCTTTGCATCCAAGTTTGATCCTCAGCACCTCCTTTTTGGGGGATGGGGGAAAGCAACCCAGCAATTAATGTGAAAGAAAGATCTCTGCCTGAAACCCCAGAGAGCTGCTGCCAGTCAGAGTAGGAACAGAGGAGGCTGCCTTATACTGAGTCACACGATTGATCCATCTCCCTTGGTATTGTCTACACAGACTGACAGCAGCTTTTTAGGGTTTCAAACAGGATTTTCTCCCAGCTCTACCTGGAGATGCCAGGGATTGAACCTCATCTGTCAGTTTGTCTGTAGAGAACAGGCACCATCTTCTCCCTGTCAGGAAACCCAGTTGCAGCTGCTGCTCACCCCCACACAAAGGCCTTTACATAAACCCCTAGTTTCGTTCCAGTTTCTCGCTTTCTGTGTTGTGTGGGGTTGAGCCTCTCTAGCTGCATCAGTGAGCTGACTCTCCAGGTGAACCGTTCGCCTCTGTGAAGGAGGTGACCTACGGGAAGTGGGAGAATACTGCAAATAGCTCATGGACTCCATCAGAGTTTCTCACAAAGCAGATCTTCTCCCTCTTCTTCACACACCTGCTGTTAATCGTAGACTTTGGAGTAAATGGCCATATTTGGAAGATTGGGGCTATTTTTGATGGTAATGTTTATTTTCTTCACTTCAAAATGTGGTAAGCCAGCCTTGTTGAAGAATCATAGAATCGTAGGATTGTAGAGTTGGAAGGGACCCCATGAGTAATCTAGTCCAACCCTCCGCAATGCAGGAATCCTGCCCTGAGTGGGATTGACCCACCAACCTTCTGGTGAGCAGCCAGACCCAAAGACCCCCTGACCCCCTGTGCACCTGATTTGAGAGCTGGGAACATCTCCTGTCTGAAACTCTTGGGAGCCACTGCCAGTCAATGTAGATGGCACCCCTGATTTTGTTTATACTGAAAGTATGTTGGATTGTGGATGACCCCTTTGAAGGTGACTACAACTAATCCAGAATGCTGCAGCTAGATTGGTGACTGGGAGCGGCTGCCGAGACCACATAACACCGGTCTTGGAAGACCTACACTGGCTCCCAGTACGTTTCCGAGCACAATTCAAAGTGTTGGTGCTGACCTTTAAAGCCCTAAGCGGCCTCGGTCCAGTATACCTGAAGGAGCGTCTCCACCCCTATCGTTCTGACCAGACACTGAGGTCCAGCGCCGAGGGCCTTCTGGTGGTTCCCTCCCTGCGAGAAGCCAAGTTACAGGGAACCAGGCAGAGGGCCTTCTCGGTAGTGGCACCTGCCCAGTGGAACGCCGTCCCACCAGATGTCAAAGCGATAAACAACTACCAGACTTTTAGAAGACTTCTGAAGGCAGCCCTGTTTAGGGAAGCTTTTAATGTTTGATGTATTACGGTATTTTAATATTTCGTTGGAAGCCGCCCAGGGTGGCTGGGGAAGCCCAGCCAGATTAGCGGGGTATAAATAATAAATTATTATTATTATTATTATTATTATTATGGCAGCAGTCCCCCCCCCCCCCGCCCCCGTCTGATGCACAGAACACCTTCTTCCTAGCACTAAATTGAAACAAATAGCATTATTTTTCTGCTAGGAGTGGTTTCGCCCCTAAAAGAAAGCAAAGTTAGGGAACATCTAGCCCATGGGCCAATCTTGGGTTCCTGCCAGGGGTTCCAATTTGAAGCCGCTCACCGGAAATCACGCCCACCTGTCAATCAGGTGACCTCACCCAGGTGGGCAGCTGATGGGATGGAACTGGGTGGCGGATCCTGGAGAAAGCTTGACTGGACCGCTTGCCCATCAGCTGATTGCGGGGGTGGGGGCACGCAATCCTGCCCTATTCAGCTGTGCATGCAGCTGATCCCTGCACAAAGCAGGATCAACCCCCTTGCACATTACTCGATGCGTTGGGAAGTCAGTCTTGCCCTATTTGGGTGCAAGAGATTCCCAAGCACCTGACCTCCACGGTTTTGCCAGGCTTCCCTCTCCAGTGGTTGGTAGGTGTGTTGCCCACCCCACTTGTCAAAGTTGGCCTGCAGGGGTGGGGCCTGATAAGAATCAGGCCCGTGGAGCCGAAAAGCTTCCCCACCCCATGTAATAATAATAACAATAATAATAAATAATAATAATAAATTTTATTTATACCCCACCCTCCCCGGCCAGAGCCGGGCTCAGGATGGCTAACAACAGTAAAATTACAGTAAAAACATAATAGGGGGAAAAAACCAATATAAAATACAGGTTAAATGCAGCCTCATCAAAACCATAAGGGGAGGGAAACATAAGGGTCGGACTGAGTCCAAACCAAAGGCCAGGCGGAACAGCTCTGTCTTGCAGGCCCTGCAGAAAGATGTCAAGTCCCGCAGGGCCCTAGTCTCTTGTGACAGAGCGTTCCACCAAATCGGGGCCAGTACTGAAAAGGCCCTGGCCCTAGTTGAGACCAATCTAACCACCTTGCGACCTGGGACTTCCAAAGTGTTGTCATTTGTAGACCTTAAGGTCTTCCATGGGACATACCAAGAGAGGTGGTCCCGTAGGTACGTGGGTCCTAGGCCGCATAGGGCTTTAAAGGTCAAAACCAGCACCTTAAACCTGACCCTATACTCCACCGGGAGCCAGTGCAGTTGGTAAAGCACTGGATGAATGTGATCCCGCAGCAAGGACCCCGTAAGGAGCCTCGCCGCGGCATTCTGCACCCACTGGAGTTTCTGGGTCAGCTTCAAGGGCAGCCCCGCGAAGAGCGAGTTACAATAATCAAGCCTTTAAGTGACCATCGCATGGATCACTGTGGCCAGATCAGGGCGAGAAAGGTAAGGGACCAATGTAGAAAAGAAGAATGCTCTGCTAGGGACCTGAAGCAACCGAGCCCCTGAGGCTTTCTGGGCTCCGTGAAGGCAGGAGAAAAGGGAGCAGGAGATGAGCTCTGACAAGTCTTTCATGAGCACAGGAGCTACGTCAAGAAAGCTTGATGCATTTCAGGCTCTTAAGAATCCAACTCCTGCGCCAAGCGGCAATACTTTTGTAGCTGAAGTGGCACCAGTCATGCACAAGACGGAGATAGCAGCAGACTTCTGGGGAACCCTGTAAACAATGCTTGGGACCCCCTCCCTAAAACAACCTACTGGGTAGCCATGGAATGCTAAATGCATGTTGGACGGATGAGAATGACAGAAAAATTGGGTGGGTGGAATGGAGTATTTAGGGAAAGGGAGTCGCTAGCTGGAACCCTGAACAGGACAACACCATGCTGCAATATCTTGTTGCAGGTCCCTTGCATAGCATCCACCAGAAAATGGGAAACAATTCAGCTTGTCTGAACAGGCAGTTTGTGAATTAGGTGGTTCTTAGAATTATGAACAAGTTACTAGAATGGGTTTGCTTCAACAGGTTCAGCTTCAATATAGACACCTTTTATCTTCTTTTAATCTTTCAGAGCAGCACTGAGCACGATAGTAACGCTTAGTGCCAAGTTTTCTTTGTCTACAGGAACTAATGATTAAAAATAATAATAATAAAACTACAGTCATCCAGATTTTTGATCCACTGCCACCTGGCTTACTCCACGTTTTGAAAGTTCTCCAGCAGGCAAATGAATTGCAATTCCTGACAGCTTCATGAAGCACTCCCAGCACCCAGAGAATAGGTCCAGGACTCCAGGATGCAAAAATAGTCATGTGCCTTTGCCTCGAGCGGAGCTGTAGAATCAGATGGCACTTGTGTGGCAAGAGTCCTGTTGGCCTGACCTTGACCTCCGGCAACAGAGTGTGTCTGCCACTTGCCTGCTTAAGCCTCAAATGTTAGAGCTTTATAACTTTCTGCTAAATAAGCAAACTGAGCCTGGGAGCTGAAAATGGCTGTTGTAAGGGGAAATCGGGGGAAGCTTTTGTTAGTGGGATGGCTTGGGTGGCCAGACACAGGGTTGCAGAGATAATTTATATTAGCATGCTGTTAAAAAGAAATAGATTCGATTTGGTTGCTAAGTCCTGCAAACCAAAAGACTGTTAAAGGCAGAGTTGCAGGGGCTGGTTCAAACAGTGACAGGTGTTGGTGGCGGTTAATGGATTGAAACTGAATCCTGACAAGACATAAGTACTGTTTCTGGGAGACAGGGGGTGGGCAGGTGTGGGGGGCTCTCTAGTCCTGAGTGGGGTAAATGTGCCCCTAAAGCAGGGGTAGGTAACCTAAGGCCCGTGGGCCGGATGCGGCCCAATCGCCTTCTCAATCTGGCCTGCGGACAGTCCGGGAATCAGTGTGTTTTTACATGAGTAGAATGTGTGCTTTTATTTAAAATGCATCTCCGGGTTATTTGTGGGGCATAGGAATTCGTTCATTTCCCCCCCAAAAAATATATTCCAGCCCACCACATGGTCTGAGGGACGGTGGACCGGCCCACGGCTGAAAAAGTTTGCTGACCCCTGCCGTAAAGGATCAGATGTGCATCCTGGGGGCATTTTGAACTCACAGCTGTCCAGGGAGGTGCAGGCCAACGCTGTGTCCAGGATGGCTGTCTACCAGTTCCATCTGGTACTCAGGGTGAGACCCTGCCTGCCCGCGCCCTGTATCGCAAGAGTGGTACATAACTCTGGTTATCTCCTGCTTGGACCGCTGCAATGCACTCTTATGTGGGGATACCTTTGAAGGTGACTTGGAAACTGCAACTAATCCAGAATGCTGCAGCTAGACTGATGACTGGGAACGGCCACCAGGACCATATTACACTGGTCCTAAGATTGGCTCCTAGTACGTTTCAGAGCACATTTCAAAGTACTGACCTTTAAAGCCCTAAACAGCCTCAGCCCAGTATACCTGAAGGAGCGTCTCCACCGCATCACTCAGCCTGGACACTGAGGTCCAGCTCCGAGGGCCTTCTGGTGGTTCCCTCACTGCAAGAAGTGAAGTTACAGGGAACCAGGTAGAGGGGCTTCTCAGTAGTCACACCCAGCCTGTAAAATGCCCTCCTGGCAGATGTCAACTATATAAATTTTCATAGACATCAGGCAGTCCTGTTTCAGGAAGCTTTTTATCTTTTATGGTGGTGTGTGTGTGTGTGTGTGTGTGTGTGTGTGTGTGTATGTGTTTGTTTTGTTGCTTTGTTTTATTTGTATTGTTGGAAGCCACCTGGAGTGACTGGGGTAACCCAGTCAGATGGGCAGGGTATAAGAAATTTTATTATTGTTATTACTGTATTGTTGGGACTCCAATTTCCGCCAGCCTCAGGAAGGATTGCCCAGTGGTCAGGGCTGATGGGAGTTGCACTCTAGCAACCTACTGAGGGGCTGGGGCACAGCTTAGCCATCTCTGTCAAAGCAGGATGAAGCTGCAGTGCCTTAAATAACTGTATATAAGTCAAAAAGGGACCTGCAACAAAATGTTGCAGTATGGAATGCTTTGTTTAGGGGTCCAGCCAGTCAGTAAACCATGCCCTCACACATATACATGCTTTCCATCCAGAGATGCAATGGGCCTTTTCTGCAGTGGCTCCCCATTCCATTCAGGGCTGGAAGAGGCCCTTGTCTGAAACCATGGAGAGCCCATCAGCTTAGAATCAACAATATTGAGCTAGACTAATCGTTTAATTTTTCTTAAGGCAGCTTCAGAATTTTGGGGGAGTTGGCCATGTGGATTTCTTGCGCACAGGAATCATGGTACGTTGGTCTTCCTTTATGTCACTGCAACAGCCCACTTTGTTTTTCTGCCTCTGATTTTCCCTGCCGATTTTCATTTAATCCTCCCCCCCTTTAAAGACATCCAAACAATATCTAGGTCGCTGCACTACGTAATGCTGCTGAATTTTCTTGTTGCCTCAAAATGGGCGGCTTCTAGCTGTTCGTTTTTTCCATATTAGCAGAGAAGGGTTCGCTGTGGAGGAACAATTGAGCAAAGAACCCCAGCTTTGTAAACTGGTTCTTGCTGTTGCTTCTGTCTGGATGTCGCGAGTTCTAAATATATTTTTTTCATTGAGTGATGATGCTTGTTAGAAGGAGAGCCAGTCTAGCGTAGTGGTTAGAGGGCCGGCCTAGGATGGCTAAGGTTCAAATCCCACTCAGCCATGAGACTCACTGGGTGACTTTGGGCCAGTCACAGTCTCTCAGCCTAACCTACCTCACAGGGTTGTTGTGAGATGAGGATAAAACGGGGAGGAAGAGAGCCATGTAAACCACATTGGGGGAAAGGTGGGATAGAAATGTGATGATGATGATGATGATGATGATGATGATGATAATAATTTATACCCCACCCACTCTGGGCAGCTTCCAACACAATATTAAAATACCGTAATACATCAAATATTAAAAGCTTCCCTAAACAGGGCTGCCTTCAGATGTCGTCTAAAAGTCTGGTAGTTGTTGTTCTCTTTGACATCTGGTGGGAGGGTGTTCCACAGGGCGGGTGCCACTACCGAGAAGGCCCTCTGCCTGGTTCCCTGTAACTTGGCTTCTCGCAGTGAGGGAACTGCCAGAAGGACCTTGGCACTAAACCTCAGTGTCCGGGCAGAACGATGGGGGTGGAGATGCTCCTTCAGATATACTGAACCGAGGCCGTTTAGGCCTTTAAAGGCCTGCACCAAAAGCCCAAAACACCAGCTCCTGCCCTCTCAGTCAGTTCAGGATCAATGGTCAGTATTCAGCTAACCTGCCCCATCTGTGCAAGGATTTCTACTTGCACAGCAGAACCTTTCCACCACTAGGGGTTCAGGGAACCCTTAGAACAGATTTGTGGGGTTTGGGAAAGGAGAGAGGGAGGAAGTTTCTTTGCACAAGCCGAAATCTTTGTGCGTGCTGAACGCTCTCTTAGCACTACAATAGCTTCTACCCAATGGCTTGAATTTTGCAGTCTTCAGCTGCAGGAAACATCTGGCAATTGCATATCTCCATATTGGCTATAAACATCCACTGTGGGCCCACGTACGCCATCAAGAGTTTAGTGACATTCTTTCTTTATATGATTATGTACATGCTTCCAAAGGGATAGATGGAGGGGATTATGACTCTAAAGACTGGATCGCAAAGTTAATGGTTGGTGGTTCCCAGCTGAATATGTGAACATCATCTGTTGCAAACTATGGTGCTTCAGTTGATGTGTGATGATATGAAAGTCCTGCTTGTGGCATGGGATAGACTGTACACGACAACCCTCTTCAAGAGTCTGAAACCCTCATGTGTTTTAAATTTCACTAGGTGAGAGTAAGAATGGGCAAATATGTTCATTTCATTTCATCTCAGTTTTGCATTTTTTCCAGTCTTAAGTTCAGTTTCCAAATTTCCATACAGATGGTAGGTTGGTTTTTGTTTTTTTAATGTTCTGAAAATTCACCAGTATTTCAAATTTTGGTATGCAATTTTCCTAATGGACGCATGTTTACAAAGCATTTTTTGCTAATATAATGCACTTTGGCTTGTTATTTTAGTTAATATACACATTTTATGCACACTTTACTCTAGCACAGCACATGCATTTTTGTACCTGTTACTTGGTTGGAGAATTGCATTTCAAAATTTGGAAAAGTGCAAATTTCGAAGAACTGCTGTGTTTCGGTTCACGTAAAGTCTTGGAAAGTGTGAATTGGGGAGGTTTGCCTCTAAATGTTATTTTTATTTAATTCTTTTAAAGCATTTTAAATGTAGCAAATGATTGGTTTTTAATTCACCAAAGCCGTCTACTAGGACGGGGTAGTCAAAAAAATGCAAAGGACCCCTGGACGGTTAAGTCCAGTCAAATTCGACTATGGGGTGTGGCATTCATCTCCGCTTTCAGATATAAAATCTGTTTGGGAGTCAACGAACAGATTTTATATATTACTGTATATAGTTTGAATTCCATCAAGGTTTACTTGTCCCCCCCCCCCAAAGTTATTAGCAATTCTTGTTTTTATCCATAAGCAAACTATGGTGCTTCAGTTGGGAAAAATATGGAGTATAAATAAATTGATGATGATGTAGTGCCCTTGAGATGTTGTTGGACTACAATTCCCATCATCCCTGACCATCTGCCATACTGACTGGGGCTGATGGGAGTTGTAGGCCAACACCATTGGGAGGGGGCACTACATTGGCTATTGCACTAGAAAATGAGCTTTCTGGCCCCATGTCCCTGTCACTCCTCCCTGCTAGCCTGGCTAGTAGGTGATGGCAACAACTTCTAGCCAAGACCCTCCAGAGCCCCGGCCAATCCAAATTGATAATGCAGCTCCAGATGGTCCAATGGAGACAACAGCAAGGCAAAGATGCAGTAGGCCAAATTGGGCACACAGAAGTTAAATAGGCAGCAGTGACAGTGGTGCTTGGGAAGAGGAGCCCATTCAGGGTGTGTATCCTGCAAAGGGTGCCTTGTGGCAGGATCTGGAGCTGAACCACTGCTCCCTGTGTGATTAAGGACTTTTTTCGCCCTTCTGGGTTTTCACTGCTGGGGAAGCTTCAGTTGCTGAGGAGGTGATGGCTGGAATAATTCACAGCAATATCTGTCTCAGTGGAATACGTGTATTTTTGGAATCCTAGGCTGGCTTTATATCTTCAGTGATCTTCGGCGTGTGTGTATAGGAAAACCATTTTGTTTTTCTCAGCCTGTGGTCCTGAAACAAGGGGTGCAGTCTGCGTCTGGGCCCAGGTGGTGTCCCTGATTTGGTTTTATCAAAGGGACTTCAGTGCCTCATTATTGAAGTGCTAATTTCCCCCTTCCAATCCTCCCCCGTCCTTCCCAATGTCTAGGCAGATCTCTCAAGAGACACTGATCTCTGCAAGCTTATCCTTTCAAACAGCAGACTCTGAGGCAATTACTCAGAAAGAAAGAGATCTGCCTGTAGATAATACACCAGCTTGCGAGTCCTTTCTGTCCACCCTCAAATCAATCTCTGCAGGGGAGAGGAAATTGGGGTCGGGGACAACACACTCCTATAGTGCTCGTCTTGGAAGCTCAATTCCCCGCTTCCAGTCCCCACAGCCATTTGGGAACGTAAGGAGCTCACAGAACACAAGGAAATTGCCTGATATCAGGTCAGACTATTTATGCATCTAGCCCAGGAGTGGGGAACTGGATTTTGACTTGCAGCCTTCATCTTTCTTTCCCCTACCAGGTATGGGCCAAGTTTGACAGCTGTTGTGAGACCATAGGTCTTTCTTTATCTATCTCCATCAGTACAGGAAATGCTAGTCTCCAATGGAATCTGGATACTACTTTTGAGTTGTGTAGCAAGGGTCAAGAGCTATGTGTACACACACTTCTATTATTTGCCTAATTAAGGTAGCAAATTCTTCCTGAAAAACCTCCCCTCCCCCCCCCACTGCCATTCTCATGGAGATTGTTGCTTGGATCTGAATAGCCAGCGCTCTGCGAACAGCTGATAGTGAGAGACTTCCTCGGAACTGGCCCCCTGCCTCAGCTGATTATTTCATTTTTAATGCATTGTTAATCATTTCTGCATTGCTATTAGCACCAGCACCCCCAAAGGCTTTTCTTTTCTTATTTTGGCTTTCCAGCAGGCCTTCCTGTAACCAGCCACAGCTGTTCTGTGCTTCAGATAAAGTCAGCAAAAACCTCCTTTTGTGCACTGATTCCTTAAATAGTGGATGGGATCATGTTTTGATCATTTCCTGTTGTGGGGCAGGAAAAAGATGACTGTTCCAAGGAAGTCATCATTTAAATAAAAATAAAAGTGCAATATTATTTCCCTCCAAGTGGCTGAAGGTTTGGTGTACCCCATTTTATCTTCATAACAGCCCTGAGAAGTGGGTTAGATTTAGAGACCTTGACTGGTTCAAGGTCACCGTGTGATCTTCATGACTGAGTGTGGATTTGAACCCTGACCTCCCAGGCACCATTTCAAAACTTTAACCACTATGCTATGCTATACTGCACTGGCTTTGCTGCTTATCATTTCTTTGTGGTCAGTTAAATACTGGGCATTCCTAAGGCTGTGCGTCTACCATTGCTCTTTTACTCCTTTTGGACATTTGGTGAATGTAGGGGAAGGGGGACTGGGATTGTGCCTTTAAGGTGAATCTATAAAATTTGCATTTTCTTAAACGAAGTGTAGTGAAACACAGCTGTCCTTCAAAATTCACACTTGCCCGAATTTTGCAGCCAAACAGTGTTTAGAAAAATGCGTATATTGGGAAAAAGTGTGCACACAAATGAATATGTTAGTGAAAATGGCATGCAAAAATGCATTATATTAGGGGAAAGTGTTTGCAGAAATGTGTACATTAGACAGAGCTTCACACAGAAATGTGTTTATTATGAGAAATGCACCCTTAAAATGCTAGTGAATATTCATGACCTTTTTAAAAAAGCAAATTGCTGCAGAAATATGGAGAACATATTTTAAGACTAGAAAAATGAGAAATGGAGAGAACCAGAATTGACAGATCCTTGCATCCCAAGCAACTACTGAAAATACCCAATTGCCACCTCCAAAGGGTACAGGAGGAGGACCTCTGACGTAGACCTTGGGGTACCAAAAAACACTTGACATTTGGCAGTTTGGAAAGCCATAAAAGGGTGGGATGAATGAATTACTAATGGGAAGATGTGCAAATGCCCCATAAACAGATTGGGATGAATGTTAATGTTTTATAAGTTCCCCATTAAAAAATGGAATAAATATGATAGTCTATCCTCCTACTTCAGTTTTGTGCAAGGAAATCAAGTTGAATGTGGAATAAATAGGTCATCTAGAGGAGCTCTTAGATTCTGCACAGGTTCTTATGGGAGTAGGCAGCCTTTTGATTTACGGGATGCGGGTGGCACTGTGGGTTAAACCACAGAGCCTAGGGCTTGCTTGCCAATCGGAAGGTCGGTGGTTTGAATCCCCGCGATGGGGTGAGCTCCCATTGCTCGGTCCCTGCTCCTGCCAACCTAGCAGTTCAAAAGCATGTCAAAGTGCAAGTAGATAAATAGGTACCGTTCAGGCGGGAAGGTAAACGGCGTTTCCATGCACTGCTCTGGTTCGCCAGAAGCGGCTTAGTCATGCTGGCCACATGACTCGGAAGCTGTACGCCAGCTCCCTTGGCCAATAAAGCGAGATGAGCGCCGCAACCCCAGAGTCATCCACGACTGGACTTAACTGTCAGGGGTCCCTTTACCTTTAGCCTTTTGCTTTAATACTTGTATTCCCCTTTTCCACAAGACTGTTGAGCTCAAAGAGGCTCATAATGATAACATAAAAAGCTCCCATCACTGCTTCCTATTTTTGTGATTGTGTGTTTGGATTTTGTTCTTTTGGATGAGGGGTTTTACTTTCATTTATCTAAGCATGATATGTGCTGGAGATGGTACCTATAATCATCATGACTAGAAGCTATTCATTGCCTTATTCTCTAGGAGGGATGAGGGAGAAATTCAGTGCATTTTGCCTGGTCTGCGTTTCCCAAACAGATATGCGAACTGAAGTATCCTTCCAAATTCACACTTCTTCACATGTTTCAATGCAGTTCTTCAGCCAACATGAACCAAAAGGCTTATGTTTGGGGGAAAGTATGCACAAAAATATATGCATTTGTGCAAATAGCATTTTTAAAAAAATTGCATTGTACTTAGGGGAATAGCTTGAAGAAAGGTGTGCCTTAGTTTATACCGCATGCAAAAATGTGTACTGTATATTGGGGAAAATGTGGAGAAAGGAATTTAAGATGGGGAAAATGACAAACTTGGAGAAACCGAAAGGGACAGATTTGCCCATCCCTATTCTCCACAGCTTAGTTTCGGTCATGGGTTTGATCCCCATATGGGCTAGCTGCGTAGTCCTGCCTTGCCGAGGGGTTGACTAGATGAACTTAGAGGTCCCTTCCAAGCTCTACAATTCTATGATCCTAAGGAGATCTGTGCTGCTGCCTTCCTCTCCTGTCTCTCTCCACCCCTGAGTCTCATCTTCTCTTTCTCTCCCTTCTACCCTCCTGGCTTCCAGGATGCTTCTGTGGTTTGGGGCTGGTTTACACCAACAAATCCTGCACGATGCCTCCCATCACATTCCAGGACTTGCCGCTGAATATCTACATGGTGATTTTTGGCACGGGGATCTTCGTCTTTGTGCTCAGCCTCATCTTCTGCTGCTACTTCATAAGGTGAGTCACAGCCCCGAGGGAGATGCTGGATGCAGATGGCGGAGGAGGGAGGAAACACAAGCGAGGCACCTGGGCCTGTGACTGCAGTTGCTTCTCCTTCGCTGCTTTCTAGATAATTTGGGGTCAAAGAGGAAGAGGAGGGGGAGGATTGAAACTTAAAATATTTTTAAACCAAATAGCTAAATCTACTAAAGGGAAGGACTGTGGCTCAGTGGCAGAACATCGGCTTGGCATGCAGAAAGCTCCCAGGTGCAATGCCTGTCGTCTCCAGGCAGGGCTGTGTAGAGACCCCTGTCCCACGAGAGCAGCTGCCTGCCAGTGTAGGCAACACTGAGTGAGATGGACCAGTGGCCTGATTCTGTAGGAAGCAGCTTGCTAGTCCTTCCATGAGGTTTTTCAAAGAAAGTTCCAAGGAGCCTTGGAGGTCAGGAATCTGTCAAGAATCAGACAAAGCTTGTTAAAACAGATAACTCCTTAATTGCCCTATGAATTGCTGTCCCTAGCCCAGGGACGGGGAACCTGAATCAGACCAAGGGTCAAATGTGTCCCTCTCTGTTTGTTCCTTGAGAGTCTTCCCAGGCCACACCACCTACTGGCCCTGCTTTGCACCCTCCTTGCATGTTTTTGCCTGGCTGGAATATGTCCTTGAACTCTGATAATGCCTGTTGTTTGTCAGGATGGAGAACAGAGGGTGTGTGTGTGTGTGTGTGTGTGTGTGTAGAAAGGAGCCATTTATTTATTTATTTATTTATTTATTTATTTATACCCCAGCCACTCTGGGCGTCTCCCAATAGAATATTAAAAACACGATAAAACATCCAACATTAAAAACTTTCCTAAAAGTCAGATAGTTGTTTATTTCTTTTCACATCTGATGGGAGGGTGTTCTACTGTGCGGGCGTCACTACTGAGAAGGCCCTCTGCCTTGTGTGCAAAGGTAAGATTTGCATTCATTACCCTCCCCACTTTTGCCTCTGACCCCGCTGACCCCTGGCAGGCTCCCACCTGGCCCTTAGGCTGAATCCAGATGCCCCACCCTCAATCTATAGCCCAGTATGGTCTTTCCTGATTAGCAGCAGCTCTCTTTTAAGACCTCTGGCAGACGTCTCTCTCCTGTCACCTGAATCCTTTTAAGTGGAGGGGACACAGAATGTGGAAGGTTTGCATATAAACCATTTGCTCTGCAACTCAGGCCCCATCTGTACTACCATACCACTGTCACAGCCATGGCTTCCCCCAAAGAATCCTGGGGAGTATAGTTTTTTACGGAAGTCGAGAGCTGCTAAGAGTCACCTATCCCCTTCACGGAGCTACAATTTGCAGAGTTCCCTGTGAAGAGAGATCGACCATTAGACCGCTCTGTGAATCAAGGGGACGGGGCGGGTCTCCTTACAACTGTCAGTGCTCTTAACCAACTGCAGTCCCCATGATTCTTCGGGGGAAGCTGTGACTGTTTAAACTGTGATGTAATACTGCTCTAGGGACGCGGGTGGCACTGTGGGTTAAACCACAGAGCCTAGGACTTGCCGATCAGAAGGTCGGCGGTTCGAATCCCCGCGACGGGGTGAGCTCCCATTGCTCGGTCCCAGCTCCTGCCAACCTAGCAGTTCGAAAGCGCGTCAAAGTGCAAGTAGATAAATAGGTACCACTCCGGCGGGAAGGTAGAGGGCATTTCCGCACGCTGCTCTGGTTCTCCAGAAGCGGCTTAGTCATGCTGGCCACATGACCTGGAAGCTGTACACCGGCTCCCTTGGCCAATAAAGTGAGATGAGCGCCGCAACCCCAGAGTCGTCTGCAACTGGACCTAATGGCCAGGGGTCCCTTTACCTTTAATACTGCTCTAGTGGAAATGAGGCCTGAGCTATGGTTGCTCCATCCCGAATCTCTCAGGGCTCTAAAGCAGTGCAAGCGCTGTCCGTTCAAGGCCTGAGCAATTGTCGGCCTGGGTTTCTTTCTGCCAAACTGCTTCTGAGTGTTGCTTCCATGCCCGTCATGAATGTGCAAGGACGGGTGGGAGTCGGAATGCGATGCTGGGTGCAGCTTTTGCCAGAGGAGACTTTGCCCCGTGCCACGTAGGATGTGCAGATTAGTTAGCGAAGGAATGAATTTTGCTCTGTGCCGCGAAGGCCCTGGGCCTCCTGGCTTTAGCCTTGTGGACAATGAGGCTTTTATCTAGTCCCCTGAGCAAATACCAAAAAAAGAAAGAGAGAGAAGGGTTGAGAATGATTTAGAGTTACTTCTTTGCTAAGCCATGCATAGGTCATAACCTCTTAGGGCAGTTCAATCCCCAGGCTGATATATGTCATTCCTGGGCAAACAAAGGATGCTCCACATGTTGAGCTTGCAGTCCCCATTGTATATCCAGATTGGTTGTGGGTGCAAACAATACACAGATGGGTGCAAACAATATGCCAGTTGTGGGACTTGCAAGATACTTTAAATTCAAGCTCTTTGGAAATTGCACATGGGGGCAAGGTTCCTAAGACATTGGGATAAAATAGAGGTTTGCCTCCCTTTCTCTCTTTACGCACACGCGTCCAGCTGGATCAGGCCAGCAGCCGTCGTAGTTTGGCATTCCTGATTCCCAGCCTCTGCTGTTGTGAGACCATAGGCACATAGGAAGCTGCCTTATACCAAGTCAGACCATCTTGACTCAGTGGGTCCCCAGATGTTGTTGGACTACAACTCCCATCATCCCTGAGCTCTGGCCTTGCTAGCTAAGGGTGATGGGAGTTGTAGTTCGACAACATCTGGGGATCCACAGGTTGAGAACCGCTGGTCTACAGAGACTAGCAGAGACTCTCCAGAGCCTCTTCAGACAAGGGGTTGAACCTGGAACCTTCTGCATTCAGAGCAGATTCTCTGCCACTGAGTTACAGCCCTTCCTCTAAGAATTACTGCCTCTTCCCTGCGACGAATCTACTGTCCATCCCTTTCATTGGGTGATAATAATAATAATAATAATAAATTTATTATTTATACCCCGCCCATCTGGCTGGGTTTCCCCAGCCACTCTGAGCGGCTTCCAACACAATATTAAAATACAGTAATGCATCAAACATTAAAAGCTTCTCTAAACAGGGCTGCCTTCAGATGTCTTCTAAAAGTCAGATAGTTGTTTATTTCCTTGACATCTGATGAGAGGGTTTCCACAGGGCGGGTGCCACTACCGAGAAGGCCCTCTGCCTGGTTCCATGTAACTTGGCATATCGCAGTGAGGGAACCGCCAGAAGGCCCTCGGTGCTGGACCTCAGTGTCCGGGTAGAAGGATGGGGGTGGAGACGCTCCTTCAGATATACTGGACCGAGACCGTTTGATCCCAATGAGAGAGTGAGAGAGCTCTTCACCACTTCTTCCCCACTGCAAATAATTTTGTGAAGCTCTCTTATGACACATGCACAAGCCAGTAGCCATTTCCCCACCTTAAAATGAAAAAGCTACCCACCCCACCCCACCCAGTTTTAACCCTTCCTTACTGGAATAACTGCTTTGCCTTGGCACCAGATGTTTATATTTGTGTGACCACTCCCTTGAGAAACAGCCAGCCGAGGACATTCTGCCAAGCTAAGATGACCAGCTCTTGTCTTCACGAAACAGGAAAGGGCAGGAAGTTGCAGAGGGGAGGGCCTCATTCAGGTGGTAGACAGATCCATTGTTTCTGGGGGAAAGAAGAGACATGTCTTGCTTCCATCGGCTATTTATAGAAAACTTATTTTTAAACTGTGCATTTGCCTGCAGCCGGGATGTCTAGGAATAGCCAAATGGATGACAAAGAGCCGATTTCTTTCAACTTTTCTTTGGAGCGTCTGTCTCCATCAAAATCCCTAAAGAAAAGACGTAGTCAGCGTTGACTTTTCCCAGGGCAAGCGGCAATATCTACTTTGAGAGAAAGTTTTAAGGGAGATCTCTCAACCTCCTCCATTGGAAATTTGAATGCTCTTGTTCAGATCGAGTTAGCCATCACTGACGTTTTGTCAATAATATTTACTGTAGACTTTTTGAGAGCTGAGCATGTTTGCTACATGAGTTTCATTTATTTACTTTTGCAAGATTTATATAGCACTGAATTAAAAAAAAACAAACCACAAGGAAGTAAAATACGCTTTAGAAATTACCGATAAATCAACAGACTAAAAACAAGTAGGCATAATATAGTGATCGAAATATAGATGGACTAATATGTGTAATATGGGGACGTGGGTAGCGCTGTGGGTTAAACCACAGAGCCTAGGACTTGCCGATCAGAAGGTTGGCGGTTCAAATCCCCATGACGGGGTGAGCTCCCATTGCTCGGCCCCTGCTCTTGCCAACCTAGCAGTTCGAAAGCACATCAAAGTGCAAGTAGATAAATAGGTACCGCTCCAGCGGGAAGAGGGACGCAGGTGGCGCTGTGGGTAAAACCTCAGTGCCTAGGACTTGCTGATCGCAAGGTCGGTGGTTCGAATCCCTGCGGCGGGGTGAGCTCCCGTCGTTCGGTATCAGCTCCTGCCCACCTAGCAGTTCGAAAGCACCCCTAAGTGCAAGTAGATAAATAGGTACCGCTTTATAGCGGGAAGGTAAACGGCGTTTCCGTGTGCGGCGCTGGTGCTGGCTCGCCAGATGCAGCTTAGTCACGCTGGCCACGTGACCCGGAAGTGTCTCCGGACAGCGCTGGCTCCCGGCCTCTTAAGCGAGATGAGTGCGCAACCCTAGAGTCGGACACGACTGGCCCGTACGGGCAGGGGTACCTTTACCTTTACCAGCGGGAAGGTAAACGGCGTTTCCGTGCACTGCTCTGGTTCGCCAGAAGCGGCTTAGTCATGCTGGCCACATGACCCGGAAGCTGTACGCCGGCTCCCTCGGCCAATAAAGCAAGATGAGTGTCACAACACCAGAGTTGGCCACAAGTGGACCTAATGGTCAGGGGTCCCTTTACCATTAATATGCGTAATAAAATCACATGCCTGGGTAGGCCTGCCTAAACTAAAATGTTTTCAGCAGGCTTTGGGGGGAAAATTAAAGCGGTTGTCTAATATTAACAGGCCCAACAGACTCTGCAAACTTTGCAAATCACCAGTGTTACATTGCTAAACTAAAAGGTTCAACTGACGCAATCCCAGCCAGAAGATGCGACAAGACAAGAGTAAAAATGTTGGTTCTGGGCATATTTGGCCTCAGTTCTTAGGATTAGGTTGAGGTTTCAGCACTCTTAATCCCACTCTCCAGATACAGAGTCCTTTAGCTCTCTCTGGTCCTTCTTGATTGATGTTGAAGGTGGCTGCAAGTCAAGAATGACACTGGCATGGCTCCTACCTGGAGGTGTTGGGGATTGAACCAGAGACCTTCTGCATGCAAAGCAGATGCTCTACCACTGAGCTACAGCTCTTTCCCATGTGGTGGCCCCTAGCCCAGCCCTATTATTCACTGTCTGTTTCCTGCCTCCAGCAGCTCAGGCCAGCCGGTTTGACTTCCACAGCCGTGAATGGGTGCTTGTCCTGGCGAGGTGTCTGAATGAGCCTTGACCAAAAGTTCTAAGCCTCAGGATTGGAGCCAGGTTCATTGCCAGCATCCCTTGAGCATTTTAACTGCCTGCCCAGGGGCAGCTCCAGCTTGTTTTCCATTGAGCTTCCAATCTTGAAGCATATGGCTGAGCAGTTGCACTCTCACTTTCTTCTGCTTTGCAGTCCTAGGGAAAAAAAGTTCTGGAAGCAGGAATGACTCTGTGCAACCAATCCCAGCAAGTGTCATCTGCCTGGGACCAATTGGTTGTTGTTTTTCTTTTTGCCGAACGGCTGTCTGGAAAAGCAGCCTCCCAATCTGTGGCGATAAGCCACCATTCAGAAGTCCACAGCGTATGTAGGCAATAATTGCACATTGATTTTAATTGTTGTTTCTTGCTAGGGTTTCAATGTTCCACTGATTAAATTGCTTAGCACAGAGGTGAGGAACCGCAAGCCCAGGGGCCAAATCTGGCCCTCGGGATTCTCATTAGGCCACGCCCCTGTTCCCAGGCCACACCCCTTACTTATCTTTCTTTGCATACTCCTTGCGTACTTCTGTCGGGTAGGAATGTGTCCTTAATGCCGCCTGTTCACCTGGATGGAGGGCATGTTTGCGCACATATGTAGAAACCTATGACGTTTGTGTGGCTGGAATGTACCATTACTCTAGACACCTCTGCTCTTGGCATTGCCCTTCAGTGGCATTCATGCCTCAGAAATTTGCCCAGGAGAGAATGCGGCCCGCAAGCAAAAGGACGCTCCCCCTCCCTGGTTAAGATTAATCAATTGCAGAAATATTTAAATCTACTTCAAAAGCACCCAGGATTAATTGGGAAACACATCATGCATACACTTTTAAATATAAGTTCTTGTAAAATAATCTTTAAAGGCAGCCCCACATATAAAATTATTGCAATCAAATGAGATGTTGCCAGTTTGACATAACAAAGCCTTGCCGCTTGTCTTTGACGTCACAGTTCATTTATTTTTATTTAATGACCTATATATGCCACGTGATCGTAATAAACCCTCAAAGCAGTTTGCAACAAGAAAAGAAAAAAAGCATTATCAATAAAAGGCTGTTAAAACCACATATTGAAAAACATTCAAAAGCCGATTAAAATCAACAATAAACTAAAAACAGATTAACACATGTAGCTTCCATATGTCTGGGCAGGCTTGCCTAAACAAAAATGTTTTAAGCAGGCACTGGGAAGAGTACAGTGAAGGAGCCTGCTTGCTGTCAATAGGCAGTGAGTTCCAAAGTTTAGGGATTTCTTCTTTTTTTTTAATTTTTTATTAAATTTTCCAACATACATTTATAGTATCCAATCTAAATTTATCACATATTTTCTCTTTTAGACTTCCTTCAACCTCTCTGACAGTCATCCATTATTCAAATTTTTAAATACGCATTTCCTAATTTTATATTGCATTTCATAAACCTTCACACACTTAGTTTTCATCAATACAATAGTACTCTGGTTTCTCTTCAGATCGTATAAATCTTTCGCCTTTTACAAAGTTCAGGGATTTCTTGGCCTTAACAACTATCCTGCCTTTTCTTCCATGTGTCGATAAAACCTCTGATATGGATCAGCTGCTCTGAAGGAATGACATTGTTACAAATAGGGGGCAAAACTGGCAGTATGTTTGCATTATGTTTCTGTGAGAGCAGGGGAAGTCGTCAGTTTGGCTGGGATCACACAGGTCACCTAAGACCGTAAGTAGTGTAGCTTTGTGGGACCGAGTGATTGAAAAATGGGTGCACAGTAGACAAGCCTTGAGATACTGCTGAACCGCAACTCCCATCAGCCCCACAAGCATGGCCAAGGATGATGGGCATTGTAGTTTAGCAACATCTGGAGGGCCAGTGGTTTCCACACTGGATTTAGGGTAAGCATGAGGAAGAAGTGCTGGATGGTATGAGCGGTTTGCTAGCATAGCAGATTGCCTTAGAAGCTGGTAGTCTCTCCTTTATTAGAAGTTTTTTAGCATGTTTGGGTTTTTCCTGTTAACTTAAAAAATGTTCCCTTTCCCTCTGCAGTAAACTTCGACATCAGGCACAGAGTGAAAGATTTGGATACAAAGAGGTAACAGGGCTATGACCTGGTTTTAAATATTTTTTCCCCTTTTGCTTTCCAAACTATGATCAAGGGAATGGTTTAGTTCCTGAGCAGGTATGGGAAGGAGCTGAGATGCCTTTCTGGGCTTGCCAGCACCTTAGTGTGCAACAGGAAGTGAGATGTTCATAATCTAGAACAAAGCAGGAAATCTTTTGCCAATCTTGTATCCCTAACATAGCCATGTAAAGCTGAAATTCTATATACCTGAAGTGAGGAAGCTCTGTCCCATAGGCTTAATCTGGCCCACCAAGTGGTCCCATTTCCCTGCGAGGCCATTTTGTGCAAGCTGCAGCCTCCTGCCCTACAAGTGACGCCGGGTGTGGGGCACATAAAAGCATAGCTTGGCAAAAAGTGGCTTTTTGGGCACCTGCTTCTGTGGCCCCATTGCACAGCACTTCCCAAACACCTGACAACCAGCCAACCAAGCAATCTGAAGGAACAGAGCAATGCAATCTCCCCTTTGGGCAGGGATAGAAGGCAGAGGTGTCTCTCAGTCCTGCCAGCCTCTGCCTGCAGTATTACACCGGCCTCATTCAGGTAGTGTGGAGCACCACTTTCCACCTACCAAACATGGGGAAGTGCTACTGGTTAGGAACCCGCCAGCAGCAGGAAGACCCAAAATGCCATGTTCCAGAGGCAGGGAAGGAATCCTGAGCCTGCTGTATTGCCAACACATGGCGGCATGAGGCCCGGTTGTTGTGCCAGCTCCAGGCTGGTGTAGCAACTTGCATGCCCGCCCCTACCAACTTCCACTCTGACTAGTATGCAGAGGAAGTGGTTGGTGTTAGGTGTGCAATATTAATCTTTCCACAACCCTACCTATCAGCATTCTGGATGTAAGAAGACAGTTGTTTCCTGTGGTTTTTTTAATTGGAAAAAAGTTGGCATTACCAACCATGAAGTTGTTAAGTGCCACACTTTTAACATTTGGGCGGAAAGGGTGCCAGTACTGCGTGCTCTTGAGGAGCCCCAGGAAAAAAGCACTGGTTGTTTCCATTGTGTCCTGTTTTCATGACAATCTGTGCTGCTTCCGTTCTGCTGCGGCTCAGTTTCCACCAAATGCAGAGTTACTCATCTCTCTGCTATTTGACGGATTTTGCATATTTATTCACATAGATTGACGGATTCGGTGTAATGTATGAGGTGACTATTTCCACAACATTCCGTTCAGTGCAAAGGAAACACAATTCAAATCAATTGATGACAATTACGTATCACCAATTGCATATCATTTGTGGGCTGGGGTGGAGGCAAACCGTGAATACCAACAGAGTGATTTATGTTCCGGATGTGAGATGAATAAGCGAACATCGGCAGTTTCCATCACTTTTTCTGTTTTCGTCAGAATAACCTAGCAATCAGTAGTTTGCAGTTGTCCTTCCACCCACGAACTGCTTTGATGTACACCTTCACTCACCAATACCTACACATCTCAGACCTCAGAGTGGCTTTTGCAAGGCGCTGCTGTATTGCAGATATGCGCTTGCACAGCAGACGTTTCCACGAAGAGTCAAAGCTATGTGCTCATCAGAAAGGACGGAAAAGTTTGAGCAAAGAGAGAAACAATGGGGAAGTTTGCCAAAGCCCGAATTATCTGGGCCAGATCTCCCCACCCAGCAAGTCTGCCTGTGTGATTTATGTGGTTTCTGTATAAACCAAGGTTTTCAGTGTTCAGCAGCAGTCACTGTCTGTCTGCACAGTAGTCAGCAGGATTAAAATACATGCCCTGATCATTCATTTCTGGTGCCCTGATGCTAATCTGCCTCCTTCTCTTTCCTTTCTTCCTCTCAGGTGGTTTTAAAAGGTGATGCCAGAAAGCTAAACTTACATGGGGTGAGTATAGAATCCACTTTGATGGATGAAAGGGGCTGGCTTTTAACCAACATTTAGAAAGCAAGGCTCCCTTGCAGTTTCTTTCTGGGGCACATGGGGAGGGGAAAGTAAGAAGAGCCCTGCTGGATCAGGCCAGAGGCCACAGTGGCAAACCAGAGGCCTATGGGAAGCTCAAAATCGGGGTCGAAATGCAACAACACTCTCCCCACTTGTGATTCCCAGCAAACGCTGTTCAGAATCATACTGCCTCCGGCAGTGGAGAGAGAATCATAGAATTGTAGAGTTGGAAGGGACCCCAAGGGTCATCTAGTCCAACCCCCTGCAATGCAGAAATCTCAGCTAAAGCATCCAAGACAGATGGCCATCCAACCTCTGCTTTAAAACCTCCATCACCTCCTGAGGGAGTCCATTCCACTGTCAAACAGCTCTGACTGTCAGAAAGTTGGAATCTCCTTTCTTGTAACTTGAAGTCATTGGTTCGAGTCCCGGCCTCCAGAGCAGGAGAAAACAAGCTTGCTCCCTCTTCCAGGTTTTTTTAAAAAAAATTATTTTCAATGCAAAATTACAGCAGAAATTAAAAACATTGAATCCAAAATAAAACAGTACAAACAAGAAAACAAAATACAAGAGAAAAAAACAAACAAAAACACACATCTACAAATAAAACCATATCATCATTCTAATCATTAAGTACATATACACATATTGACACCCTTCCTTTGTTCTGAGACCTCAAAATTTTTACTCTTTCTAAATTGAAAATGGTTCAAAAAGTATAAAGATAGGGGTAATCTACATTAGACACAAAAGGTTTGCTCCCTCTTCCATGTGACAGCCGTTGAGATATTTGAAGATGGTTATCCTATCTTCTCTTAGTCTCCTCTTTTCCAGGTGAAACATACGCAGCTCTTTCAACCGTTCCTCATAAGGCTTACTTTCCAGACCCTTGATCCTCTTAGTTTGCCCTACTCTGCACACATTCCAGCTTGTCAACTGTTGGGATACTGCCAGGGAGACAAAGTCCATCATGGCCCCACAAGTCGCCTCCGGACGTCCATCGATCTCCCGTAGACACGCAGTATCAGCAATTAGCGACACGAGCTCCAGAAATAGCTTGCCACATTCCAGAGCTGATGCACGCTCTATCAGCAGATAATTCACAGCGAAAGATGCACGCAGGAGAGCATTATTTACAAGTTTATTCAGCGTTGGTCAGAACAAAGAAAAACATGACTGCCTGCTTCAGTGTCTCTGACACAGAGAGAGAAACGAAAGCAAAGACACAACAGAAACATCCTGTGAACAGGAAATACGCAGGCTGTGACACAAACATCCTGCTCCCTTTTAAGGTGGAACGGAAATATCCTCTTAGTTTGCCCTACTCTGTACACATTCCAGCTTGTCAACATCCTTCTTAAACTGTGGTGCCCAGAATTGGACACGGTATGTAGCTATGATAACCAGCAGCCACTGATAGCTTTATCCTTCATTAAGCTTTCCCTTAATTGTCTTTTCAAGGCACACTACCTCCAATACAGATGTGCACAGCCATCACGGCTGGTAGCCATTGCTAGGCTCCATGAATTTGTCTAAACTCTTTTTAACTCTATTTTGGAGGAGCAAGTGCCATGGCTTTCAATATGTGCTGTGTGAAGAAGCACCTCCTTTTTCTGCCTTGCATCTTCCCATAGAAGACTAATCAAAATTTGCAAACACTTACACAGATAAACTGTTATTCAGTGAATATCAGTGAGACTGAAGCAAAATCCCTGGCAGGAAGGAAAGAAGGAACCCTAAGAGCTTGTGTGTTTTTTTACTTTGCATGCAGAAGGTCCCAGGTTGAATCTTGGGCACCTCATGCGTAGTAAGTGACATGAAAGACCTCTGTCAGAGACCCTGAAGAGTTGTTGCCGGTCATTAAAAAAAACCAGTCAGGGCTGCCTCCTCCAGTTGCTGCAGCCCAAATGAAATTTGTCACGGATCCACACAACTCAACACAACCCCAGGACAACATTTTATTATTATGAATAATTATTATTATTATTATTTATACTCCGCCCATCTGGCTGAGTTTCCCTGCCACTCTGGGCGGCTCCCAATCAAGTGTTAAAAACAGTACAGCATTAAATATTAAAAACTTCCCTAAACAGGGCTGCCTTCAGATGTATTTTAAAGATAAGATAGCTACTTATTTCCTTCAAAGCTGAAGGGAGGGCGTTCCACAGGGCAGGCGCCACTACCGAGAAGGCCCTCTGTCTGGTTCCCTGTAACCTCACTTCTCGCAATGAGGGAACCGCCAGAAGGCCCTCGGAGCTGGATCTCAGTGTCCGGGCTGAACGATGGGATTAGGTCTTGTGAAAGCGCCTTGGACTGCAGTAGACACATTTTGTAAGCCAAAATCTGGAGTAGATAAAGGCCCAAGAGGATGCCACCTTGGGCCAAGTAAATGAGATCTGCCCTGCTGCTCAGTGAGCCTTCAAGATCAAGAAAACTTTTAGCAAAGCAAGGGTCCCAGTAGGGCTTCATCCCATTCATAAGAAGCTTGTGGCCTGTTGGGCCACCAGTTGTCTACACTGAATGGCAGCAGCTCTCCAGTGTTTGGGAAAGGGGATAATAATAATAATAATAATAATAATAATAATAATAATTATACCCCGCCCATCTGGCTGGGTTTCCCCAGCCACTCTGGGCAGCTTCCAACTGAATATTAAAAACAATACAGCATCAGACACTAAAAGCTTCCCCAAACAGGGCCACCTTCAGCTGTCTTTTAAAAGTAAAATAGTTGTTCATTGCCTTGACATCTGCTGGGAGGGCGTTCCACAGGGCAGGCGCCACTACCGAGAAGGCCCTCTGCCTGGTTCCCTATAACCTCACTTCTCGCAGCGAGGGAACCACCAGAAGGCCCTCGGCGCTGGACCTCAGTGTCTGGTCAGAACGATAGGGGTGGAGACGCTCCTTCAGGTATACAGGACCAAGGCCGTTTAGGGCTTTAAAGGTCAGCACCAACACTTTGAATTGTGCTCGGAAACGTACTGGGAGCCAATGAAGATTTTTCAGGACCGGTATTATATGGTCTCGGTGGCCGCTCCCAGTCACCAGTCTAGCTCCCGCATTCTGGATTAACTGCAGTTTCCGAGTCACCTTCAAAGGTAGCCCCACGTAGAGCGCATTGCAGTAGTACCCCAGCCCTGCCCTGAAGATGCCAGGAACTGAACCTGGGACCTTTTGCATGCAAGGCAGATGCACAATCCCTGAGCTGTGTCTCTTCCACGGCAACTGGGTCAAATGATTTGGCAGAAGCAAAACTGGGCAGTTCCTCTGACTCTGCCCTCTTCTAACTCCTGTTTCTCACCCAGCCTTTGCAAAACATGACGAGGCCCGTCTTTCGCACTGAGATCTGCTGTGGGTGGGCACACAGGAGACAGCTTTGTAATGTACGCCTCTTCTTCTCTCTCTTCCCCCCCCCCCTTTCTCCACAGCAGACTTGTGCCGTCTGCCTAGAAGACTTTAAAGTGAAAGATGAGCTGGGAGTGTTGCCATGCCAACATGCCTTCCACAGAAAGTGAGTAGCTGCCAAGGATGGGCCAAATAGCTGCTTTTGTGCCTCTCAGCTTGGCAAGAGGCCCGGCGTTCAGTTAACGCCCTTTGGTGCATGCGGCTGGGGAGAGGAGATGGGCGCCTTTGCCCACAGAAAGAGGCGAGGAGAGGGAGCCTGGCTTTTGTTTCTGAAAACCTCTTGGGCTGCGGGGAGGGAGGGCATCTTTGCGAGGTTGGCAGGAGTAGGCCGAGGCCTGGATCAAACCGGACCGTGACATGCCAAGGCTCAGAGCCATTGCTGCGGTCAGAAGGGAGCCAGGGTTGCACCTATTGTTTGCTTGATGGATTGTTTATTATCCGCTCTGCACCTTAAGGTGGGTTAAAACATCTGCCGAGCCAAGAGTAGGAACAAAGAACCCATCGAAATGACGGCTACATTTGTTTCAATTGAGGGGAAGATAGTTGAATGGGGGGGCAGATTTTGGCTGAACCCCTGAGGCAAAATACAGTCATACCTCGGGTTACAGACGCTTCAGGTTGCGTTTTTTCAGGTTACGGATGCGCCGAAACCCGGAAGTACCAGAATGGGTTACTTCTGAGTTTTGGCGGTCGCACATGCACAGAAGCGCTAAATCGTGCTTTGCGCATATGCAGAAGTGCCGAATGGCAACTCGGGCGTGCGCAGACGCTGCACTGTGGGTTGCGAATGCTGCGAGTTGCGAATGTGCCTCCCGCAGGGATCACATTCACAACCTGAGCATCCACTGGAATAGTGTTGAAATGATCAGGGAAGAGGTAAAATGATTTGAAGGTAAAACTTAAACTTCTTTTAAGTTTTCTATTTGTTTTCTTTCTTATTACCTTTTTAAAAATAAAAAAGCTGCCAGCTCTACTGGCTGGTTTGCAGCATATTGCCTGCTGCTCCCCCCTCCCCCCCATCCTTCCTTCTTGGAGGGCTTGTGGGAAATTTACGTATTATTTATTTGTTTGTGGCATTTATATCACACCGTCTATTCCCAAAGGCTAATATATATATATATATCTTCTGAGACGGTCCCTTGCCCTCAACCTCCCAATCTAAAAGAAAAGACATAGCATGAAAGGAAAAAGGGAATGGACGGGAGGAGGGGAAAGCAAGCTCAAGCACAAGTTTCCAAGTTGCAGTTGCAGCCAATGTCTGTGGCAGTTCTGGCTGTCTTGCTCTTAATAAAGATCATTTGTTGTCTGGAAACAGCCCCCCCCCCAACTAGATTAGAGCTGGAAACAGAGATGGTGATTATGTTCCAGGCAGGGGGTCAGGACAACTCCTGCCCCACAGGCCCCATACACACATTTCTTTTAAAGCACATTGCCCTGAAGAATCCCAGGAATTGTAGTTTATTAAGGCTGCTGGGAATTGTAGCTCTGTGAAGGGTAAACTGCAGTTGCCGTGAGTCTTTTGTGGGGGGAGCCATGGGCTTCAAATGTGCTTGAAATATTGGTCTCTCCAACAGCTGCCTTGATGGCAGATTGAATCCTCACAGGAGGGGGGGCCTTCCTAGGGTTACCCCCTCCCTTCCTCACTAATGTCAGTGTCAAGAGTGCTAGGAGCAAAAGCAGCAGGGCTTAAAAAGCTATATTAAAAACAGAACTGGAACGAAATTAAAAGGGGAGAACGTTTTTGGTTTATTTAAGGGCTCACCCACCATGAACATGTTGAGATTGCAAGCTCCTTCCACTGTCCCTGAAAGTGTTTGGCGGGTTATTTCAGGGGTTGAATTGTAACCTGCAAATTGACCGCCTCCACTTGACCAGCCTGAAAGTGAGCTTGCAAATGGTGGGTGGGGCAGAACCCCCAACACTGCCAAGCCTCAGGTGAAGTCCCAGCTCAAACAAGAAGCCCTCTATAGCAGGGGTAGCCAACAAGGTGCGCTTCTTATATTGATCGGCCCTTATCGGCCCTTAGCCAGCAAGGTCAGTGGTGAGGGGTGAGGGAAGTTGGAGTCTAGCAACATCTGGGTGGCACTAAATTAGTCACTGCTGCTTTAGAGATATCTTTCTGTCTTGTGGAACAGCCCAGGAGTAAATTCTGAATCACAGCCCAGACGATCAACACAGGGCAGTTGCTCACAGAGCCCAGAGTCCCCAATTCTAATCCAGGTTGTTCTGGATGAATGGTGGCTCCATTATTATATGTCTGGGCCCATAAACTTGTGTTCAAACCATTCATTAACCCCCCGGCATCCTCTCCATGCAGCAGGTGCCAGAACCCTGGGAGACAGCACCTGCTGTCGCCAGGGGTTAAAAACCCAGCTGGCTTGTGCAAGCCAACCCTGGCGTTTTCCGGAGAGAAATCGGGAGCCATGGCAAGGCAGTGGGGCAACAGGGAGCAAGTGACTTGGAGAAGCCAGTGCTAGGATCACTTTGCAGCTTGCATTTCCTTGCCTCCCTGTCTGCTTGTGGATAGGAGCAGAAGAGGCAGGAAAAGGAGAATTGCAGCAGCTGGGCCGCTGGAGGCTCTTTCTGCACACTTCCGGGCTCCCGTGGAACCAGAAATGCTGGAAGCGACATGCACATGCCAGTTCCAGTGCCACATGTGTGCTCAGGGCATGCACACGCATGTGCAGATCCATAGCATTCTCTGTGAGCCAGGCTATACCTTACCTCGTGGCTGCAGAACACTTCTGAGGCCAAGAGCTGCAATTCCTTCAGAGCAACCTCATAGGGGCTGTGTGCCAGTGGTGTGGCAGGGCCATAAGCAAAAATGGGCAGAGGGATGAATGTGAATGTTGCCTTCAGAGTCTTCTAGTTTCTACACACTCGCCCAGCCTGCCCTGCAATGCCATCAAAGCAAGGTTAGAGGCACTGCCAGAGCTCAAGGTCACATTCTAGCCCGGCAAAAAGCAAAGCCAGCGAGGGGACAGCCCGGGGAGAATGGGTGTGACTGGGAGGGGGCTTGACTTAGGGAGGTTCCCAAGGGCCTGATAGAGGGCCATATTTGTGAAGTTTACCCGTAGGTAAAGGGACCCCTTACCGTTAGGTCCAGTCGCGGACGACTCTGGGGTTGCGGCGCTCATCTTGCTTACTGGCCGAGGGAGTTGGCGTACAGCTTCCAGGTCATGTGGCTAGCATGACTGAGCCGCTTCTGGCGATCCAGAGCAGCGCACGGAAACGCCGTTTACCTTCCCACCGGAATGGTACCTATTTATCTACTTGTACTTTGACGTGCTTTCGAACTGCTAGGTTGGCAGGAGCAGGGACCGAGCAACAGGAGCTCATCCCGTCGTGGGGATTCGAACCACTGACCTTCTGATCAGCAAGCCCAAGAGGCTCAGTGGTTTAGACCACAGCGCCACCCGCATCCCTTGAAGTTTACCCCTACCTTTGAGCTAAAACATCATCCTAGAATCATAGGGTTGGATTCTGCAATGCAGCAGTCTTTGGCCCAATCCATGGCCCTGAGATTAAGAGTCTCATGCTCTTCCGACTAAGCTATAGCAGCTCAGCTTTTAATGCTGTCAAAATACACCTCTCTCCCCCGTCCTCCCTCCCCCACTTCCATTTTGGCTGCAGGTGCCTCGTGAAATGGCTGGAAGTTCGCTGCGTCTGCCCCATGTGCAACAAGCCCATCGCAGGCCCTGCGGAGCCTCACCAGAGCATTAGCATCCTCTTGGACGAGCTGGTGTGACGTCCAGGCTCCCGCTTCCCCCAGAGCAGACCTTCTACTGACATAGATGATTGCCTGGGCGAGGGGTCTGCACTAAAACTTGTGCCGCCAGCTGCAGAGACTTCCCACTGGGGACTGTCTCCTCCTCAAAGGAGGCAACGGGGAATTGTACCTAGTGCAACAAGCTGGCCTTGTTGTGTGTCCCCGGTCTGGGGGCAAATTTTGGGGGAAGGTTGGTCAAACCTGTGCCAGGATCTGCGTTTGTCTCGGTCCTCCGGCACACAAAAGGGCTTAGGAGCAGAGGACATCCTACAAGGACAACACAAGTCTCTCGCACTTGGTTCCTACAACAGGACGTTACGATGCCAAGTCTTCCCTTCGTCTAGGAAATACTGGTCAGAACCAATTGCTGGGCGATGACCCCAACCCCACCCCCCTCGGCTCTTTTAGCAGGCCTAATGAACTCTTTCTAGGAAGCCAGTTCCCCAACCCCACTTGGGCCCCTCCTCAGAAGGGTCCATTTTACGATTAAAATCGGGAGCTTTAGCTTGGGCGCCGCCTGATCTAGACCAATCGCAGGGTTCTTCTCCGCAAAACCTAGAGTCCATGTTTACAGTAAGACTTAAATGGAAACCTCCTGGCTGCTGCAAAAGACACTCCCCACCAAAACCCGTGTCCACACCATCAATTTTGAAGCACTCCTGCACTGCTACAAAAGACAGGGCTTTCCTAAAGGAATCCTGGGAACTGTAGTTTGAGGATATGGAGAGTTGTAGAGGATACAGCTATAGTTTCCAGAAGCCTTAACAAACTCGAGTTCGCAAGATTCTTTGAGGGGAGCCGTGACTGTTCAAAGTGGTGCAAGAGTGCTTTAAATGTATGGTGTCGATGCGACCTTTGTCGTTTCAGAGCACAAAGGTGTTTTTGCCTTTTCCACGTAGCTGCATTAGAAGTGGGGAGGGGGAGGCTGTGGGGTGGGGGAGAGGGGGCCACACTTTGCCTCTCGTCATTCCTTATGCACAGGTCATGGGGAAGGAGAAGATAACAAATGACAAGTGCGATTCCTCTCTTTGATTTGAAAGAAGGCTGGGATGTATTTTCTTAAGTGGCCTTTGAACTTTTTCTTCCTGTTTTACCCTTGTACAGAAAAATAAATCTACTTTCTCTGAAACCTGTTGGCTGATATTTCGTTTATTTTTTAAAATATATATACATTTCAAAAACGAAACCACTGTATTTATCATCTCTTTTGGAGAGGCTGTGAAACAGATAGTTGAAGCACTGGCTAAGTATTCAGCAATTCCAGTTATTTGAGTGTCCCCACTCATTATTACATTATTATTATTTGCTTATACTGTATAGGGCTAGTTTAAGCATGTAACTCTTTGTTGGAATTTATCAGCATTATCTTAATATAAAATTTAATTTAAAAAATATATTTAAAAATAACTTCTGGATTAAAGGGTGTTGTGCTGAATTAAAAAGCTGGTAAGACTTGGCCAAATACTTCCTTGACTTTCCATATCCTTGGTAGATCAATTGTAGCTCAGTGGCAGAGTATCTGCTTTGCATGCAGAAAATCCCAGGTTCGATTCCCAACATCCCTCATTTAAATGTTCTTTTTTCTTAAAGGCTCAAGGTATTAAAAAAATAAATAAATATTAAATTCCTGTCCTGCCGTGCCTCCCAAAGGAAGCCAGGGTGGCAAACAACAAAATGATATAATTAAAAAATAAAATAAGGGGGGGAATAAACATTGAAGGGTGTTTTGCCACACCAGCTCATAGCTAATAATGTCAAGGCTGCTGGAAATGCAGTTATCATTCGGCTATCAAATCCCTGGGTGAGCAGAAATCTGTTTAAATTCCTGCTGTAGGTTAATAAGGGGGAGGCACCTCACCAATGGGGGGCATTCCAAAAATGGAGAATGTGGACCAGTGCCAACCAAGCAGCCCCACCAACAGTTTATGGGGCTTGGCCTCTGTTTTAGCTCATGGTACATTCCTCAACGTGGGTGGTGCTGTGGGTTAAACCACAGAGCCTAGGGCTTGCCAATCAGAAGGTTGGCTGTTTGCATCCCCGCGACGGGGTGAGTTCCCGTTGCTCGGTCCCTGCTCCTGCCAACCTAGCAGTTCGAAAGCACGTCAAAGTGCAAGTAGATACATAGGTACCACTCCAGCGGGAAGGTAAACGGCGTTTCCGTGCGCTGCTCTGGTTCGCCAGAAGTGGCTTAGTCATGCTGGCCACATGACCCGGAAGCTGTACGCCAGCTCCCTTGGCCAATAAAGCGAGATGAGCGCCGCAACCCCAGAGTCGGTCATGACTGGACCTAATGGTCAGGGGTCCCTTTACCTTTACATTCCTCAGCTAAACAGGAAGCTGCCTTATACTGAGTCAGATCACTGGTCCACCTTGCTCAGCATTGCCTCTATACTGACCGACAGCAGCTCTCCTGAATTTCAGACCTGGAGATGCCAGGATTATATCTGGGACCTACTCGCAAAGCAGATGCTCTACCACCAAGCGCTTCCCCCTAGTGGCCACCAGTCTCCATATTTGAGCTTTCAGGATCCCTTTCTAGCTGATTCATAGATCTCATTGATATCCTGCCTTCTTTCCAAGGAGAACAAAGTGAGACATCCTCACCTTCACCATGTTATCTTCATAGCAATTGCTGAGAGAGGCATTAAAAGACCTGCCAAAGGCTGCCCAGCTGCTGGCAGTTTGGGATTGCCAGACTGCTTTGGTCACCCTATATGATGACCTCTGACGAGAGAGACACAAGGGAAACATGTTCCTGTTATTTATTTATTTATTTATTTTAAATGATATTTATTGGAGTTTCACATGAAAAAAACATCTTAATAAAGAAAAAAAAATTAAAAAATAGAAAGAAAAAACACCATACAAAGTACGAAATACAAAATAGGAAAAGAAAAAAAGAAAAAACAGTTAAAAACAATTCCGTCTTTTCACACAACTTTTACATTTACTTATTTCCCGGACCTCCTCATACCTCCCTCTTTTGTATTCCAGTTCAATTTGTTTGTCCAGCAATTCCTTTCCCTCCTTTTTAATCCCATCCTTAATCTTAATATAATATAACATTAAATTTTAATCTATTAAAAACCAGTTTTCCAATAACTTTAAAGCCTGTACAGCTAGAAGCCACTTAATTTCAATCCAACATCACTCTAACATTCTTTAATTTTGCAATATTTCTGTAAATAGTCTTTAAATTTCTTCCAATCTTCTTCCACCGACTCTTCTCCCTGGTCACGGATTCTACCAGTCATTTCCGCCAATTCCATATAGTCCATCAATTTCATCTGCCATTCCTCCAGTGTGGGTAACTCTTGTGTCTTCCAATACTTTGCGATAAGTATTCTTGCTGCTGTTGTGGCATACATAAAGAAAGTTCTATCCTTTTTTAACACCGATTGGCCGACTATGCCCAGGAGAAAGGCCTCTGGTTTCTTCAAGAAGGTATATTTAAATACCTTTTTAATTCATTATATATCATTTCCCAGAAAGCCTTAATCTTTGGGCACGTCCACCAAAGGTGAAAAAATGTACCTTCAATTTCCTTACATTTCCAACATTTATTATCAGGCAAATGGTAGATTTTTGCAAGCTTGACTGGGGTTATGTACCACCTGTATATCATTTTCATAATATTCTCTCCTGGCACTGCTTTGCGGTGGTTCCAATCTTACTTGGATGGTCATTCCAGGAGGTGTTGCTTGGGGAATGCTTTTCAGCCCCGTGGAACCTTCATGTGGGGTTCCGCAGGGCTCAATCCTATCCCCTACGTTACCCAGTGGTTTGGAGTACATTATCAGCAGTATGCTGATGACAGCTGGCTCTATTTCTCCTTTACATCTGCAGGTGAGGCAGTGGAAGGGCTGGACCAGTGTCTTGCCTCAGTAATGGACTGGATGAGAGCCAACAAACTGAAACTCAATCCATATAAGACTGAAGCACTGTTAGGGGGTGCTTCCCCTAGCTCAGATGGGTGGGAAATCGCCTGCTCTTGATGGGGTTGCACTTCCTCTGAAGGAGCAGGTTTGTAGCTTGGATCCTTTGCTGTCACTCGAGGCTCAGGTGGCCTCAATGGCCCGGAGTGCCTTCCATCAGCTTTGGCTGGTGGCCCAGCTACGCTCCTATCTGGACAGTGATAGCCTAACTACTGTGGCCTGTGCTCTGACAACCTCAAGGTTAGATTACTGCAATGCATTATACGTAGTGCTGCCTCTGAAGACAGTTCAGAAACTTCAGCTAGTGCAGAATTCAGCAACCAGGTTGCTCGCCAGAGCATGACGGTTTGAGGATATTACACCGATCCTGGTCCGACTGCCCTGGCTACCAATTAGTTTCCAGGCCCAATTCAAAGTGCTGGTTCTGACCTATAAAGCCTTAAACAGCTCAGGACTGCAATGCCTCAAGGACCTCCTCTTTCCAACATACCCAAACCCTGAGGTCATCTTCTGAGGCCCTCCTTCATGTGCCTCCTTCCTCGAGTGGTTCTGAGAATGGCAACACTGCAGGCCTTCTCTGCAGTGGCTCCCCGTCTGTGGAATGCTCTCCTCAGGGACGTTCGCCTGGTGCCTTCGTTATATACCTTTAGGCACCAGGCAAAAACGTTCCTTTTTAACCAGGCCTTTGGTTGAATTGATTGACATCCTATGCCCTTAAAAAGGGGGGGGGGACATTGTATTTTATTGTTTTTATTTTGATTCTGTATTTCGTGGCTTTATATTTTGATTTTTTTCTGTGAACCACCCTGAGACGTCTGGTTATAGGGCGGCATATAAATTCAATTAATCATCCTCATCCTCATCCTCCCCCATATTAAATGCAAAATTGGTAGGTATTCTGTTCATCTTTTCCCAAATGCCTCCATGGGACATTCCCGTTTTTGCAATACTGCCTTTTCCAAGTTGTTGCTGTGAGACACTTTGTGGACCTGTGAAATGAAAAAGCAGCACAGCAACAAGATTGTGTAATACTAACCCTCATGATTTAGAGTTCTGCAGTTCTTACAGCAGGGCACAATACTTTTAAATGCAATCCATTCTTAGTGGACCAGAGCATCCCAGGCACTCCTGTCTTCCACTGCCTCCCGCAGTTTGGTCAAACTCATGCTGGTAGCTTCGAGAACACTGTCCAGCCATCTCGTCCTCTGTCGTCCCCTTCTCCTTGTGCCCTCCATCTTTCCCAACATCAGGGTCTTTTCCAGGGAGTCTTCTCTTCTCATGAGGTGGCCAAAGTACTGGAGCCTCAGCTTAAGGATCTGTCCTTCCAGTGAGCACTCAAGGCTGATTTCCTTCAGAATAGATAGGTTTGATCTTCTTGCAGTCCATGGGACTCTCAAGAGTCTCCTCCAGCACCAGAATTCAAAAGCATCAATTCTTCGGCGACCAGCCTTCTTTATGGTCCAGCTCTCACTTCCATACATCGCTACTGGGAAAACCATAGCTTTAACTATACGCATCTTTGTTGACATGGTAATGTCTCTGCTTTTTGAGATGCTGTCTAGGTTTATCATCGCTTTTCTCTCAAAAAGCACGCGTCTTTTAATTTCGTGACTGCTGTCACCATTTGCCGTGATCATAGAGCCCAAGAAGGTAAAATCTGTCACTGCTTCCATTTCTTCCCCTTCTGTTTGCCAGGAGGTGATGGGACCAGTGGCCATGATTTTAGTTTAGTACCTGCTGATAATTCTCTTTGTAATCAATGTAACTAACTGTGGATGGTGGACTTTTTTTGGAATTAATAACCTATTTTCTGTTCTTTAAATGACATTTAATGAGAGATTTAATTCTAATTTAGTGTAATAGTTCTGTCCTTAGTTTGAAATGACATATACATATGCTATGGCACATACTAATTTGCTTACCTTTATATATATATAAACCTACATCCTTACACTTTTAAATAATTTAACATTGTAGTGCAATATTTTATATCACCAAGTACTTTTCTTTGCAATAATAAAAATTATAGATGTTTAACATGGTCATTATTATGTATACCGGAACACTGCCTTTTTCCTTGAGGGGCAGATAAAAACAAGAATCCCTAAAAACATAGAAAAATACAGTCATTAAAAAAATTAAATATTAATAGAATCAAAACTATGTACATGTATTAAACTTGTTTAAAACATACAAATAATTACAATAAAAACAGCATGGCACCAGTCCTGTCATTAAAAAAGCAGTTCGCAAAGGCTGTTGGAACAAGAAGGTGGAAGGACAACCAGGAGGGAGCTGATCTGAGATCCAAAGTCTGGGAGCAGTCACTGAGAAGGCCATGTCCCCACCAAGGGCTCCTAAGGCTGGACAGACCAAAAGAAGATCTCAAAACCTGGGCAAGATCATTGGGGCGGGGGGGGGGGGGAATGCAGTCTTTCCCAGTCATAACCAGCACTTAGAATTGCCGGTGGAGCTGTTGCAACAATGGGCTTGTATGCTGCTATAACCATCTGGCTGCAGCTCTATTTGTGCCAACTGAAGTTTCTGACAATGTGCGAAAGCCACCCACGCTTACCCAGCAGATCAAAACTTTAACTTCTCTCTTTAGACAAAAACCAGAACCACTCAGTATTTACAATACACAACGAACAAAAGCCAGCTTTTCCAAGCAACAAAACAAAATTTAATCATTCCGCTGGCTTTGCAAGCACAAAGCTAAAAATTGCTACCTTCTAAATGAACTACAGTGGTACCTAGGTTCTCAAACGCCTTGGTTCCAAAACACTGAAAACCCAGAAGTGTTCTGGTTTTCAAACGTTTTTTGGAAGCCGAACGTCCGATGCAGCTGTCGGCTATTGTTTCTGGGGCGCCTGCACCAATCAGAAGCCTTGCCTTCCGAACATTTCAGAAGTCAAACGGACTTCTGGAATGGATTAAGTTTGAGAACCAAGGTACCACTGTATTTGGCACTTTTGTTTTTGAGGCTTTTTTGGTTCATTTGTTTTTGTGCTGTGTGGAACCCAGTTCAGCTACTGATTTATTGATTGATTGACTGCGGAAACGGATAAAAGCCCCCCATCCAAACAATGACTATCATCAGTGCAAGTAAGCATTTATCTATTTTTATAATCTACAATACTGTCTTATTTTATAGTACCGCACATCGATCAAATGGTCTCGTTAGAAAGTAAAATTCATGTTAAATGGGGTTGTTTTCAAAAGTCTGGAATAAATTAAGTCCGTTTTACAATGCTTTCTAAATGAAAGCACACCTTGGTTTCGGAACAGAATTCCAGAACGGATTAACTTTGAAAAAATACTGCTAACAATAAAAAAAAAGATATTTTATTACAAAAGGTTCAGATCAGAAGGGTACTGTGCCCCGTCGTAACAATTCGGGACGGCACATCTCACGCAGGCGCATGAAGACCCACTCATCACATGACAGAACCTGAAGGATCGCTAAAGCGCCGGCGAGCCTGCGCCACCATTAGGTACCGCAGGCTTTGACGTTATGGTGGCCTCGCTCCTAACCCTCCATTTCTTGCCCCTACACGTCTCCTCCTGAGGAAAAAACAAAGGCGATGCTTCTTTCCCTCTCCCTCCGTAGCCTGGATTTCTTCTTTTCCCTCAGCAATACCAGGACCGGGCACGCTCATTAGGCATGTTAATATATTCACCATCCGTTCCCGCCCCCTTTCGCTTTACGGGAAACCGGTTTGCGACCTGTGGGAAAGCGTCGGTGCTTTCCGGCGATTTGTCGCACAGAGCTGCGGTTTCGCGGCCGAAGCAGCCTGAACAGAGTAAAGTGGGCTGAGTGGGCTTAGAATAAGGAGAAATTGGCGAAGCTACATGAGGATGAGGAGATGTTCATAGAGATTAACTTCTAGAGCGGCACGTAGGCGGAGCTTCCGGTTCAACTCGGAAGCCACCATTTTGTTTGTCGTCAGCCATGATATTCCGTGCAGACACCCTCTCTCTCTCTCTCTCTCTCTCTCCCTTGACTTCAGTGTAGTGGAAAGCATGACTACTTGGCACCGGGCGTTAGAGTGACAGGGCAAAGGCCCTTGACGGTTTTGCGTCGGAAATGCTTCTGAGGTTTCCCGACCGCGTGTTCTGTTTCCTATCTCTAGGGTCTCCGCTCGAACTTCCGGTTTGACACGGAAATCCGCCGCTGGCCGAGTTCCGATTCCCTGGAGGCCTGGTGAGGCCGCTCTAGGCCGCGGCCTCTCTATGGTGACAGCCCTCTGCCCACCACTTTCCTCTGGGACGCGGTTTAAGACCAGCTCAGACTGAGTATTAGAGCTCAAATACGCAGAGGTGCCACTACAAAGGCCTTCTGAGAAGGCTAAATACGCCCGGGGAAAGCTTGCATTCTCAGCAAGGGTTGCAATAAATGCAGGGAGGCTAGGAACCAGTTTGCTGGGAGGAGGGGTAAAAGTTTTTTTTTGTGGGGGGAGAAGATTGAGGTCCTTCTCCATCACCACCACCCAGAGCCAATGGCGCAGCATCCCTTGCTAGATTCCCTACAGTGGACCATCCCAGAGGGCCAGGGATGCCTCCAGCGCCTCCCATCAGAGCAGGTTCTCTCCCAATTCTTGCAGCTTTTTGCAAGCAGGGGAGCCAGCAGTGATGCCAAGGCAGGCATGATCAGAGACCTCCTGGCCATCTTGGAGGCCGTGGACTGCCAGTGGCTCTTTGGGAGCTGCCACCCAAATGCCGCCCCCACCCTGCTTCGTGACGTGGTGGTCGCGCTGAGCCTCTATGCGGCGCCACCCCAGCAGCAGGAGCCAGAGGGAGGAGGGCTCCCCAGCGGCGACCCCTCCTATGCCGCGGTAGCCAGCCGAGCAGCAGACGTCAGCCTAGGCTTCATCAGCATCGTGGCCAAAGTGGAATCGGCTAAAGGCCTCGAGAGACTTGGTACTGCGGTGGTTGGTCCCATCTTGCGCCAAGTGGCAGGGCCCTTGTATCTTTTTGCCGTGACACACGTTGCAGAGAGGTTGTGGACCACACCAAAAACTCGGCGCATGGCTCAAGAGCTGCTGGATGGTCTCCTTCGGGCTTCAGACTGCCGGTCGGTACCTGAGTTCCTGAGAGGCGCACGGGAAGACGAAACAGGGTGGTTGGCGGTGGTGGTGCAGTGCCTGAAACCAGAGTTGACCAAGTAAGTGAACTGAAAGCCCAGTGATGGTTGTCAGAGGCTAATTGTATTTGTGGGGCCTTTTATAGGGACAAAACGGTTCATATGGACCACCCACCAATGACAATGTTGCAAGGCTTTCAGGATTGTTTCGAAGTCCGAAATTGAATGTAACTTCTGTGAGGTATTGTGGGTGTGGTGTTTTAGGCAGAAGGACGGCTGTGGCTTGTGAGAACTGTGGAATGTTCTTCAGTTATTTCATCCCACTGGGGACTTGAATATGGGAATTCTGTGGAAGGGCCATAGGGTAGAGCAGCTGCTTTGCATGCACAAGATCCCAAGTTCAATCCCTGACTTCTCCAGGTAGGGCTGGGAGAGAACCCTGCCTGAAATTCTGGAGAGTTGCTGTCAGTCAGTGTTGCTAACATCAGCATAGACAATATTGAGCAGAAGGACCAATGGTATAAGGCAGCTATGTTTCCTTGCAGCTAGTTCTCTAGCCTTGATCATCGCTTGCTGCAAGTGAAGAGTCTGGTGCTGCTCTTGCAAGGAACCTAGGAAGCAAGTGTATACCATCACTTGCTTGTGCCTAAACCTTTTAACAGGAGATGCCAAAAATTGAACCTGGGACCTTCTGCTTGCAAGGCTTTTCCTCATTCCATTCACCATAATAAGGGGCTGCTTCTCTGAAAACCAAGCCTGTTACCACTAAAGTCACTTTGTCGCGGCTGGTATTGCAGGCTTCCCACTCTTGGCTTGAATAAGGTGGGTAAATTGCCTGCTTTTTGGCTGCCCCACTGTGGCTGACATATGGGGGGGCATTTCTGAACTGCCTCCAGTTATGAGAGAAATATTTAAATGTGCCCAACAGAACTCTGGCTTGAAACAAGCATCTTCCAAAGCCTTGGCCGCCACCCCCAAGTCCCTGTTACCTTCACCACCTTTTGAATTAGTGCTATGTGACTGAAATTAGCACACATCTGTGAATTGGAGGCACCATACCTCAGTGAGAGAGCACAGGCACTGCATGCAGAAATGCCGTATTGAATCCCAGGCTCCTTGTTAAAAGGGCTGTGTCACAGGTGACAGGGAAAGCCCCCTCTTGGCCTGAGAGGTCTAGTTAAGAGTAGATAATCCCTGGGCTAGCGGGGCAGAAAGACAGATCTGGTATAAGTTTATGTTGTTAACACACCACCAGCAGTCCATCTATAATTTGATCCTAGGCTCCATTTCACCTCCCAAGATGTGCAATGATTCCCTTTTCCTCTGCTCCAGAGATACATGGCAGCGCAGCCCAGCAACAAAACATGTCTTCTCCTGCACGCTCCAACACGTCACAAGGCCCTGGCTTGGCCCTCACTTGGAGAAAGTCCTGCCGCCCTCGCTGCTGCTGTCGGACGACTACCGAGAGGAAAATAAAATCTTGGGAGTGCAGTGCCTACACCATATCATTCGGAATGTGGTAAGGACAGACGTACATAGGCATTTGGGGGACCATGAACTGGGTCATCAGAGTCCTCTGGTCTCCAGCCAAAAGTTGGGGATGGCTTTATGACTTTGTCTGACTTCAGAGTAAGGAATCATCCTCAGAGCCATAGGAGAGAGTGTTAGCAGGGGCTGAATCCTCACACCCACCCACCTCCATTTTACTAACTATTTTGCCCACAACTGAAACAGCATTCATGAGAATTGGTAGCCATTAGATCATTGCTGTTGACATAGGTACCCTGGGATCAAAGACTGTTACTTGGCCTAGTGTCCAGTTGCATCCTCACTACCTTTGTAGTTGGAGTTGTGAGGGAAGGAAAGGTGGATTTGGGTGATGCTGCTGTATTAGGTTTTTAATAAGAGCAGACACCATTCAGACATAAGAAGACACCTAGTGGATCATGCCAAAGGCTCATCTAGTCCATCATTCTGTTCTCACATGGAGGACCTGAGTGCATCTTCTGGACAACCCGAGAAGCAGTGGCGTAGCGTGGGTTGTCAGCACCCAGGGCAAGGCAAGTAATTTGCGCCCCCTAACCCGTGGATTTGCGCCCCCTAACACGTGGATTTGCGCCCCCTAACCCAAACCCCCAGATGTTGCGCCCGGTGCGGCCGGCCCCCCCTGCGCCCCCCACGCTACGCCACTGCCGAGAAGTTTTCAAATACAGCATGGTTTTATTTACTGTTGCTTATTTCAAGCATCTCATTGTCTAAACTGCAGCGCCATTAACTGTTATTTTGTCATTTGCTGTTGGGTGGGATTTGTAAAGGTCCCATCAAAGCTTGTGTCATGCCACCGCCCCTGTTAACAGTAAGGGTGAACCTTGTCCCTTGTACAGAATTCCTTTTGCATAATGCTGGTCAGATGATAACAATCATTTCCTTTCCTTGCAGCCAGCAGCTGACCTCTGCCAGTATAACCGGGCGCAGGTTGTATACCATGCCCTTTTCAACCACCTTTATAGCAAGGAAGCCCAGCTCCTGCAGGTAATATAAAGACTGGTGTTTCCTCTTTAACTCTACTGAATTTATTCAGGTGGTGGACTAAATGCAAGATTACAGATCCTTTTACACTCTACAGTAGGGGGTGGCAACCTTTTTGATCCTGAGAGTCACATCCAGCAATGGGTGGGCTATTGCAGGGCGACACACCACTCAATGTGGGTGGTGATGGGCAGGGCCTAGGCTGACACACTCATGCACACACACATATTCCTATGTAGCTGTGCTTCCCCAGGTTCCTAAAGAGCTGTTTGGCAGGCTGGGGGAAGCAAATTTTACATTGGTAGCATGGCATGTGTGGATGACTTTCTGATTTGCTACCCTGTGCTTCCTTTAGCCCTTCCAAACAGCAAGGGGAGATATTAAGGGTTAAAGCCAATGCAGCACTAAGTAACAGCCCACATGTGCTCTATAACATCTGTTTCTCCCTGATGCTTTCTAAGCATTACGTTTTGAAGGGGCAGCAGTTTTCAGGTCGTAAGTGGAATTTCTACTGGTTCAGATCTGAACGTGCTTAAAAGAACCAGCCATAGCAATTTTCTCATGTGCTGCTGGCTCAGTAGGGGCTGCTTATTTGTTCTCTTCTGCTGCCTTGTTAACAAGCAGGCTGGGAATATGTATCCTTGCTAAACCAAGACCTGTGTTTAGCAGCATTTGGGGAATGCACAACAGAAGCTGAGGTTCGAGTAGCAAAACAAGGTGCTGCCTGATGGCATGTCAAGCCATTGGTCCGCCAAGCTCAGTGTGTGGGCTCTGCAGTGACCTGCAGTTCAACATAAACATCAAGGTTAGAAGCAACTGATAGCCTTATCCTCTATGAATTTGTCTAATCTTTTTTTGAAACCCATCACTGCCTCTTGTGGGAAGAAATTTCGTAGTTTAAGCACTGTGTGAAGAAGTACTTTAGCTTGCCTGTCCTCAATCTTCCAGAATTCAGCTTCAGATGTTACTTGCTTTTTCTCTAAACCCATCCCGTTACTCTTCGCAGGTTGTGTTGCTGTGCTTGCTGGACTTGCTTCCCATCCTGGAGAAGGCCCTGCAGCGGCTGCCCCACAACCCCCAGCTTGTCACACCTTCCGATGAGGTGCTCCAGCTGGTCCTGACCCACATGGAATCGGAGCACCGGCTCCCCTTACGGAGGGTGTACGCCAGGAACCTGCCTGCCTTTGTGGAGAGGTGAGTGTTTTAATGGCGAACCCTGTAAGCAGATAAGCCTCCCTCTTTGTGCAGAGGTTTATAATCCTTGATTTGTCTTTTGAGAGGCTCGGCATTCAGATAGCCCGTCATCTGAAGAGGTTGCAGCGGGTGATTGTGGGATACCTGGAGGTCTCCGATGGTCCCGACGAAACGGCTAGATTGGCAACATTAGAAACCTTGAAACACACCATACAACATGCCTGGCCCAGGTACTTTGATAAGCCCTAAGCACTGGGCAGTAGCTGTGTACTTGTAGAGGTGCATTTTTCTCTTCACTTGATCTTGCTTTAAAAAAACCAACAAAAAAACCTGTCGCCACTGTTACGGTCAAGAAGCATACTTCTCAGAGGTGGATTGGCAGCATGGAAACTAGTCCCACTGCTTTGGAGGTGCTGCTTCTGACCCCAGTGTGAAGCCGAAAACTTGAGTGTAAGCAGTAAACACTTCTGCCTGCCTAAATACACATATCTAGCTAGTAGGAAATGAGAACTTCTGGTTCCTGAACCTGCCGCATGCTTTTGAAATGGATATGGGGACCTAATACCAGTGAGCCTTAGCTGAAATTCATCAGGCTGTTATGGTGTTTGGACTGCCCTGGTTGTACAAGAGCTTTGACTCAACAGGCTCAGTTCAAGGCAATCAGACGGGTTCACCTCTTGTCCAAGGTCACAAGGCAGGACTAGCAAACTTGCTATTGCTTTCAACAGGAGTCTGGACCTTCTCTTCTGAGAGCAGGGTCATCATAAGGCTCCTGTACTTCCTCATCCCATTTTTCTTTCCCTTTCCCAAATGCACTAGATACAGTGGTTTAGAGGAGCAGAGTTCTGGCAGCAGTATCTTTCCCCTTCCCCTGCAGCTCCGTCGCCTGTCAAAAGTCTGCTCCAGAAGGTTCCCATTGTTCCCTACTCTGGGAGGAACCATAGCTGGATAACCTGTTTTGCATGCAAAAGGACATAGGTTCAATCACTTGTTAAAAGGGACCAGGTGATTGGAAAGATCTGCTAAAGAGCCTGAAGAATATCCCTCCAGATATTGTTGGGACAGCCAGCGTGGCCAGTTGTCAGGGTTGATGGAAGTTGGGGGTCCACATCTTGCTCTGCTGAAAGGTTGTTACTTGTACCAGCTACACTGAAGTTGTAGTGCCACCTCCTCCTGGGATGCAGCTGGCTCCAGAAGTAGCTTTCAAGTCAGGCTGACATGAGTTTGCCATCTCCTTGCTGTAGAATGTCCTGCCGCCTCGCTGTCCTTCTCAAGGCTTTGCTGAGAATGATGTTGGATGTGGCTACAGACAGGAGCTTAACACCAGAACCGGTGAAAGCAGAGTTACTCCAGAAAGCCACTGAGTGCCTTATCTTACTGGATCACGCTTCTCACGGACAGGTGAAGGTAAGCAAGACCAAGGGAGAGCCCAAGGTTCAGCAGGCCTGTGATTTAGGGAAAAGCAGGCCCTCTGCTTCTTAACAAGAGACAACTGCGGAGTCTCTGGGTGTGTTGCATATGTCTGGCAGTCACCACTGATCAGCAGCTGATCAGCACGCATGTGCCCATAAGAAACAAATTAAGTGCAGTCCTTTTTCTCAAATGGACATGCTAATTAATACTCTTGTCATACTCCCAATTGATGAGTCCACTCTGCCTTGATTTTAATACTAAAAGTAGCTCCGTCAAGGAAGTACACCTTGCAGTGCGCAGACAACAGCCTCAGCACCTGGCTCATAGGTGCTTTGCATTCGGAACATCCTAAAATCACTCTCTGACATCTCCAGGTAGGACTGGGAAAGCCGCCTGAAATGTTGAAGAGCAACTGCCCACCTTCCTGGACAATACACAGCAATGGTCTGACTTAGAATAAGGGAGATTCTTGTGTCAGAAATAGAGCAGATAAGAGGCTGTTGCTGCCCACTTCTAACACGATTAAATTTGATTTCTTCCCATTCCTAATATTCAGGTCCTACTACAAGGAGTCCGACGCAGCTGTCAAGATGAGACCCTCAAGGAATGCCTAAGAAAAGTAGAGGAGGAGCCTGTAAAAAGTATAATCACTCCCTGAGCTCAAGTGGGGAGGCTTATATTCACTGTGTTCAGAGTTGGAAGGAAGAACATTCCTAGCTTTTAAGACTCATGCTATACATAAACTGTCTAATGTTGGCGAAAGCAGGGCATTAAGTAAAAAAAGGCAATGACAGGTTTGTTCTGATTCATATTTATATGCCACTTTTATACCTCCCAATCCACCCCCCCCCAAAAAAAAATCCCTTCAATGCAGCTCACAAATTAATAGACATATACAAATATTTAACAATCTTAGTTGGGTAGCCTTAAAAATAGATGACGTTTTAAATTGTCAATATGCAAAAATATACGCTGCGGCATCTGGGAATGGCAGCTCACTAGGTCTTCAAGCAGCTGGAACTTTTCCTGCGTGATCTTGCATCCCGGTGAGTCAGCCTTTGCGGAGAAACATCCCACCAGCTAGTTCATTCAGTCCATTTTTCAGATCTGCCCCCACACACAAAAACTGGGAGGAATCACGTTGCTTTCGATTTAGACAGCGGTTCTGTCTCCTGCTCATACTCTATTTCAACATAAGCTCGTTTTTTCCTGACTGCTGGCCCCTTCAAGGGAGTTTTGCCTTTAGACTTGGGCCGCTGGCCTTTCTCTTCCTCCTCGCTGGATGTAGCCGCCTCCTCCTCCTCCTCACTGCTCGTTGCCAGTTTATCCATATCCTTGGCAGAGAAAACAGGCGCGTTAGCAAACTCCCTTAGCAAGTATTTGGAGGTTATCGGTTTTAAGAGAAAATGCGAGTAAAACGGACCAGGGAGAAGAGTCGGTGGAAGAAGATTGGAAGAAATTTAAAGACTACTTACAGAAATATTGTAAAATTAATGAATGTTAGAATGATGACGGATTGAAGTTAAGCAGTTTCTAGCGGTAATGGTATAAAAAAATATGGAAAAATTGGTTTTTAATATGTAAAAATTTAATGTTATAATTTATCAAGATTAAAGATTAGGATTAAAAAGGAGGGAAAGGAATTGTTGGATTAACATACTGAATTGGAATACAAAAGAGGGAGGTATGAGGAGGTCCGGGAAACAAGTAAATGTAAAAGAAGTAAAGAAAAGATGGAATTGTTTTTAACTGTTTTTTCTTTTTTGTATTTTGTATTTTTCTTTTTTATTGTTAATTTTCTTACTAATGTGATTTTTCTTCTTTTGAAATTTTAATAAATATTATTCCAAAAAAAAAAAAAGAAAATGCGAGTAAAACGAAACATGATAGAAGTATATATAATTAGGCCTGGTGTAGAAGTTGTGTGAAACCGCTTGGTGTGTTCTGAGCATCGCTGCCCTCCCTCACCGCTTAAGTCAATGTATTACATACAACTTTTATTTGTTTTATTATCTATGCATTTCATTTATAGCCCACCTTCTCCAAGGAGCTCAAGGTGCCACACATAGTTCTCCCCTTCTGCAATCCACACAACCCTGTGAGGAAGGGGAGGCCGCCCAGTGAGCTTCACAGCCAAGTGGGGATTTGAACCCGGGTCTCCCAGCTCCTAGTCTGACACTCTACCCACGAGAAACCCACTGGCATTTTTGTTCTGCCTGATGTGTAGTTATTCTCATCATACTTTTTGATTCCCAGCCCTGCTTTGAGGGAGGTGTGTGCATTGTGTGTAGCAAGTACGTAAGTTAAGTAGAGCAGAAAATATTGGGAGGAACCAGCAGAGGGTTACAGGATAGGTTCTACTGAAATAAATGCTGGTCAGGAGCAGTGCAGCACTCTGCTGGGGCTTAAAGCCAAAGACCCAGTTTCTCTCTACAGTGGTACCTCGGGTCAAGTACTTAATTCGTTCCGGAGGTCCATTCTTAACCTGAAACTGTTCTTAACCTGAAGCACCACATTAGCTAATGAGGCCTCCTGCTGCCGCTGCGCCACTGGCACGCGATTTCTGTTCTCATCCTGAGGTAAAGTTCTTAACCCGAGGTACTATTTCTGGGTTAGCGGAGTCTGTAACCTGAAGAGTATGTAACCTGAAGCGTATGTAACCCGAGGTATCACTGTATTATGCTCAGGGAGGATTCCTTGATAGGAATGGAATAATCTCATCACACGCCTTCTCCTCTCCCACCTCCAGATTCCAGCATGATTTTACATCACCATCAGTGTGCACAGCACTTAAATTTGACACAAAGGAAGGGGAGGCAGGCCAGAGAAAATACAAAAAGTATGTTTCAGCGTTCCATTAGAACAAATGAAACGTAAGAGGCTCTAAATTATCATAAACAGTTTTTGACAGGCTGCACTTACCTCAAAGTCACTGAGGTCACTCTCATCTACTTCCACAAATTCTCTCTTGTTTGAGTCCTACAAGCAGAACATAGCAGAATACGAGTTGGAAGGGGCCTTACTCTAGGTCAAATACCCCCACCCCCATGCAGGATTTTGCGATGCAGGATGCAATTACAGCATTCCTGACAGATCAAGGGGAAGGAAGGAGTGTTCCTTCTCACGTGGCTACACTTTTATTTTTTCCTAATTTCAGTCTACATGATAAGATCCTTCATCCAGTTCCAAGTCCTTGATCAATGAAATCCAAAGTTTTTGGAACCCCAGTTCTTGGAAGGAGACAAAGCACAAATTGATACATAGTGCGTAACAGCCAAGTGAACAGCTGTGTTTCTTTGGCAATGCCAGTCTATATCTGAGGTTTCTTGGCAAGCGATGAGGCTCTGGCTATGATTGTGATGTCCCATATGCAGGGCCTTGGGCTAGTCTCCTAAGTACATGAACATTTAACGCACGGGCAAATAATATTTAGCCACCCCATCCATGACATTATTTCTGGAGGAGGAAAGCTTAGGGAAGGGAACAGAGAACTGTGCGAAAGTTGTAATAAGTGCTGTTTGGCAAGAATGCAAGCCATTTGGCAGAAATAACTTGCAGACCCAATTCTTCTCCTTAGTATAAATGTGCAACGCATAGAGAGTTGCACAGTTCCTGCCCTCCAGCCCTGGAGAGTTGCACTGGGAAAAGAGTTTCAAAAGCATTACTTCTTCCTCCTCGTCCTTCTTCTCTGTATCCGAGTCACTCTCACTCTCCACTTCCTGTTGTTCTAGAGCTTTGTCGAAGGCATGGATGGGGAAGTTGTAGATATCGCCGTACTGAAGAGGGAGCACATTAAGGAGGAAGGATGATTAGATAAGATGATCCACAAAAAAGCCACAGATTTAAAGACATAGACAACTTTGCATACAATAGCCTACCAAAATAGGAATGAATACTCTGCAGCGTTAGCCAACACATTCCATAACTTTGGGGCTTCCACTAAGGATGATCTTAACCCAACCAAGGGTAAGGAACCGCCATCCCACAAGTGAATTCTGGCCCGCAAGGCTACTTCCCCCAAGCTGCTCCCACCAGCCCATCAGTTGAAGCCAGTGGATGATGTCAACAAGTGGCCGGATTCACTCCTGCTTGGGTGGTCCCACCCCACCCACGTTTCAGCCATTTTCCAGCTGCAATTAGTCTAGCTGCAGTTAGGTAATTTTAAGACATGGGACTTAACAGTCGTACAGTTAAGGTGGCAACATGCATAGGTAAAAGTAAAGGTACCCCTGCCCGTACGGGCCAGTCTTGCCAGACTCTAGGGTTGTGCGCCCATCTCACTCAAGAGGCCGGGGGCCAGCGCTGTCCGCAGACACTTCCGGGTCACGTGGCCAGCGTGACAAGCTGCATCTGGCGAGTCAGCGCAGCACACGGAACGCCGTTTACCTTCCGCCGGAGCGGTACCTATTTATCTACTTGCACTTTGACGTGCTTTCGAACTGCTAGGTTGGCAGGCGCTGGGACCGAACGACGGGAGCGCACCCCGCCGCGGGGATTCGAACCGCCGACCATGCGATCGGCAAGTCCTAGGCGCTGAGGTTTTACCCACAGCGCCACCTGCGTCCCACAGGTAACATGCATACTTATTTGGAAATCCGATAAGTCAGCTGCGCTGCATTGGGGGGGGCTCTCTGCTCATTCTGGCCCTGGGCTCCCCCCCCCCCCACAAAAAAATCCTGCCCTGAGCTGCAGAGCTCAAAGAAAATGATCTGAGGGCTGAACACTGTAAAATTGGGCTCAGCTATACAGGGCTCTAAGGTAATAATAATAATAATAATAATAATAATAATAATAATTTATTATTCATACCCCGCCCATCTGGCTGGGCTTCCCCAGCCACTCTGGGCAGCTTCCAACAAAATATTAAAATACAGTAAAGCATGAAACATTAAAAGCTTCCCTAAACAGGGCTGCCTTCAGATGTCTTCTAAAAGTCTGGTAGTTGTTGTTCTCTTTGACATCTGGTGGGAGGGCGTTCCACAGGGTGGGTGCCACCACCGAAAAGGCCCTCTGCCTGTAGGCTATCTGCTGAGCATCATGCAGAATCAGGCCATTCAGTGGGCCCTGGGATCCTCTTCTGTCCCTCCAGCAACAATTCTCAACAGCCAAAGTTGTCATCCAAAACATGGGGGCGGGGGGCAACCAGGCTAGCAAAGGCTGGTCCAGGTGCCACAGGTCAGTTACAGCTAACAGCAAGGCGATCCTAGGTAGGTATCTGGGTACTGCTTCATTTCTTTCACTGCCTTCTGGGAAGCAACCTGGTTAATTGACCCCTGCACAAACAGCATGCACTGCATCACAGCATCTTACCGTCTCCTGCTTGAGTCTCTCCAGCAATTCTTTCTCTATTGCGTTGTCCAGCTGAGCAGCAATCAGAGCTTTTTCCTGGCCAACAAAAACAAAGGGATGAGTTGATTTGGAGGAAGGAAACAGTGGATTTATCATGAAGATTTTTCACGATGGATGGAGGTGAGTGGGGGAAAGAGGGGAGGAGGGTGTCTTTTGGAAACAGGTTAGTTCCTCCCATCTTCACTTTAGGTCACAACATTATGATGGAAGATTGGCAAAAATTATGGAAAACTGATTTAAAATTTACAGATTGTTCCCTATTGAAGGAGAATTACATGAAGATGATGTACAGATGGTACACGACACCAATGCAGTTAGGGAAAATGTACAAAACTAGTTCAAATAGATTTTGGAAGTGTAAGGAGAAGGAGGGGCCATTTTATCATATGTGGTGGGATTGTAAGGTAATTAAAACATTTTGGGAAATGATATACAACGAATTGAAGAAAATGTTCCACTTAACATTTGTTAAAAAACCTGAAGCATTTTTGTTAGGGATTGTAGGGAAAGATCTGCCAAAAAAACTGAAAAGCATCTTCATGTATGCAACAACGGCCGCGAGAGTTCTGGTAGCACAAGGATGGAAGACTGAAGAAACCCCAACTAAAGAATCATGGCAAGAAAAATTGATATGCAGAACTGGCAAAACTGACATACAAGCTACGGGACAAGGATAACTGTGATTTTAAAGATGAATGGGAACCCTTTACAAAGTATCTGAAGATGCAACAAAGCGAACTGGACTCCTTGGCTGGCTTTGAATAAACATTCACAAACTTTTTATTGATAATAATCAGCTAAATAGTTTGAGGATCTATACAACTGTGTAACATGCAGAAAACAGCACTTTTAGAGAAATCAAAGACTGGAACTGAGGGAAGTCGGGGGGTGGGAGTGGGTGGGTTCTGTGGGGGGAGGGAGGAAAAATGGGGGGGGAATAAGGATGATATGTTTCTGGATAATATGTTTTGTTTTAATTTTGAATAAAAAAGTTATTTTTTAAAAAAAGGAAACAGGTTAGTTCCTCCCATCTTCGCTGAGAGGGCTTTCCACCCTCCTATTCCACCTGGGATTGCAGATGAGCAGTTAGGAATGCCTTGCTTTAAAAATGCCCATTGGTACAACATCCACCTTCCATGCAGAAGGTCCCACGTCCAATTTCTGGCATCTCCAGGTAGGGCTGGGAACGTCCCCTGCCTAAACCCCATGAGAGCTGCTACCAGTCCGTGTAGATAATACTGAGCTAGGCAGACCAATGGCCTGACTCTGTATTTGGCAGCTTCTTAAGTTTCCATGTAAGGCAACAAGATCTGGGAGAAGCAGCTGGTGAGCAAAGCTCTACTGGGGGCATTGTGGGAAGTTGAAATGGTGGCTCCAAAACACTGCTGCCTGGTGCTGACTGGAGTATTAGGGGAGGCAGAAACAGCAGGCCTTATAGGAGCTGCGTGCTTCCTCTGGACTTAGAGATAAACTGACAAACAGCAAGGAACCACAGCAACAGACAGGTACGTTACCTCTCGCCTCTTCTCACGCCTTTCGATCTTTTTACTTAACGGAACAAGCTTCCTCCTACAAAGGCGAAAATGAAGTTAGTGAAGTGGTTTTGCAAAAGCAACTGTCAACAAGCAGCTAAGAAAAAAGACTCCAATTTCTAGGGCTTTTTAAATGTTCTTCTAGCCGAGTTTCTATTACAGTGCTTTTGAACAACCCCCTGAGCATTCTGGGGACACCTGACTCTCCCAATAATCCCTTTCAACTTCTTCTTTTTTTAATAGCAACTCCTTCATTTCAGGGAAGTTGCCTCTTTTCTGAAGTCAAATGTGACTGTTGTGGACTTTTGCGACGGGCAAACTGCCCAATGACAGATATGCTGGATTTGATATCACTGTGGCCACTGTTCCCGGCTGGTTGGCACGAGTCTGCCTGGGACAACAAAACTCAGGAAAAGGCCCCATGACTTACTGCCTCTTGAGAGTCAGCTTGCGGATTCGGATCAAGTACTGGGTGATCTTGGTGAAGCGCTGCTTGCACTTGTGCCGGATGAAGCGGGGCCAATAGATCAGGTTCTCATCAATCTCCTCCAGCGCCTTCTCATAGTTCTTGCTCAGCCGGACCTGCAAAAAATTAGGAAGGGGAGAAGTCTGTGGTGGGTCCTCATTTGCCATTGTTTTTCCATTGTTTTTCTCGTTCACAGATCCTTTCGGAGCTCTGTGAAGTCCTCTCGGGTTTTTGCCACCCTAAATTAGGGAAAGTCCTCCGCTGAACTGCCTGGAGAGCTATGTCCAGTCAGAGTAGACAGTGCTGAGCTTGATGGACAAATAGTCTGACTTGGTATAAGGCAGCTTCCTATATTCTCAGAGGTCCATCAGTGCAAAGTAGAGAGAAACAGACTTTGCCATGAAAAAACTTGAGTTTCCATTCTGGCTTAAGATGTCCTTTCTTGACTAGGGCCACGCAGATTAGAGACTGGTTCTTATTTAAATTGCTTGCTTAAGTTCTGCAGAAAGACTGTAATAGTTATGAAGGTGACAGTTAATCCACTAGTCCTAAGAACCATCAGACTAAAGGCCCAGCTAGTCAAGAATCCCTTTTTCACAGGGGCCAATCAGATGCCTTTGTGTCTTCCATGTCAGCTTTTAAAAACCTGCTGTAAACTTTTTCCATCAGGCTTATGCAGGCATTTAATGATATACCTTTCCACAAGTGTTTCCTGATTTTAACTTCTTTATATGGTTTTTATTCTGTGGTTTTATGTAGTTGCTGTGAACCACTTTGATTTTTTTAAAATGACTTTGTGATATATAAATATTTGTATAAATAAACAAATAATTCAACAAGCAAGGCCTGAGTGAAACTCCCAGTTGTGATTATCAAGAAACAACGCCCTTGAAGGTACAGGCTGAACATCGATGTTGTAGCTAGTAGACACCTGTAGCCTTATTCTCCATTAAAACTCATCTTGATCCTCTTTCAAAGTCATTAAATTCACAGCTACTTCTAAGAAATGAGGGCTATCTGTGCAATCAAACTCAGAATGTTTGGGTAGCAGCAGCAGAGAGGAATCGCAGCCTCTCCTACAAGCCGTAACACATCCATTGTTTAAAGTCTGATCACTCTTTGAACGGAAAAACCCGGCACCATCACAAACCCAAGACATAAAAGTTAAAAACAAACAGATCAGACCCACACCACCCTAGGAGGACTGGAAGGAGGACTTACCCTTTCCCACAGCCGATTGGGGAACGCAGCACGTTCAATGGTCTTCATGTATAGGTAACACTGCCCTAAAAGGGAACAAAAGCAGCTTATGCATAGTCACCACGAGGTCTGCTGCAGCCTTGGTTTACGAGATGCAGGATGCGGGCCACAATACAAACAGCTCACACCATGCAAGGTCAACGCTCAGACGTTACTGGAGCACCAGGCTTCTAGCTGAAGAGCAGGTGCTCCTAAATCTACGAAGAGCTCCAGAGCAGGCACAAGATGGTCTGATGCAAGGCGTTGGATAAACGGGGACCAGGCAAGCATGGAAACAGTACTGTCATTGCAAACCCTTCATCTCTGATTTTAAGCTAGAGCTCTTTCATCTTTTCTTTTAACCCTCCGATATTGTGTGTCACATCAGATGCATTAAGATTTGTCTCAGATAATTCCTAAGGTAAAGGTAAAGGTACCCCTCCCCGTACGGGCCAGTCGTGTCCGACTCTAGGGTTGCGTGCTCATCTCACTCTAGAGGCCGTGAGCCAGCGCTGTCCGAAGACACTTCCGGGTCACGTGGCCAGCGTGACGAAGCTGCTCTGGCGAGCCAGCACCAGCTCAGCACACGGAAACACCATTTACCTTCCCGCTATAAAGCGGTACCTATTTATTTACTTGCACTTAAGAGTGCTTTCGAACTGCTAGGTGGGCAGGAGCTGGGACCGAACGACGGGAGCTCACCCCGCCGCGGGGATTCGAACCGCCGACCATACAATCGGCAAGTCCTAGGCACTGAGGTTTTACCCACAGCGCCACCCGCATCCCTCAGATAATTCCTACCGGTGCATAATATTCACAGCATTTTAACCTTTGGGCAGTGCTTATAACTCTTGATGGCTTGTGCACATTGTTTGAAAGGCACTTCCACAAATTTAAGCCAAGCCTTCCCTCTAGGGGCCTTGAGAGGTCAAAGACCTATGAGACCATTAGAATCACAGAGTAAAGGGCTCTCAGGATCATCTAGTCCAACCCCTGCAATATGCCGCTCCTTCCGGGGGATCGAACCTGCAATCTCAGCATTATCAGCACCACACTCTAGCCAACTGAGCTATCCATGAAAGATGAGAACCAGGTACAACATTGAGGGAAACAAAGCAAAGAGCCTCACCTTTCTCTTCCTTAATGGTAGCATACTGGCTGTTTGCTAAGGGGCAGGAGGAGCGGTTGCACAGGCCTGTTATATTAAATTCATTCCGGCAAAAGCTCTGTGTTTTCGTCCTACAAGGAAGAGACTTGGAATGAAACATTCGTTTCCATACCTTGTATTACATAGAACATTAATTCTAATCCAGACTACGGAATGTCCCTACAGAACTGGAAGAATTAAGCTGATGGGCACAGGGTGGTTTAAAGTCAGATGTCTTAGGGACAGCCTTTCCCAACCTGACGCCCCCCAGATATGTTTTGTACTTCTAACTCTCACCAGCCCCAGCAAGCATAGCATCTGGAAGGCTGCCTGACGATATGTTCTGATAAACATTCAAACCACAGGCAAAAAAATATTTTGGATTTTGGATACTCCCTGCGTATTCCCTTAATTCCCATATACAATGCAAGCTGGCACATGGCATTTATTATTTATTTATAAATATATACATATTTATATACCACAATGCCACAAAAAATATCAGAACGGTTTGCAACAAGAATATCTATATACAATCGAACCGACATTAAAAAAATAAAACAAATCAGAGGCCATCTATTAACAGAAAGATGTCTTCTCAATTGCCAGCACAGAATAATTTTCAGCGGGCAGTTAAACGCAAGGAAGCTGCTGAATCTTCCACCGGACCAAGCCAATGAAACTAAAGGCTCTTCTTCTTGTTGCTGACAGATGTGCCTCAACAGTTTGGGGGATGGCCAATGGTGCTTCGGCAGAGGACCGCAGTGACTGAACCAGGATATAAGGTCTCAGGCCTTCCCTAAGGTACCCTGGACCTAAGTTGTTCAGGGCTTTGAAAAACTAATGCAAGGACCGTGAACCTGGCTCAGTAGCAGATGGGCAGCCAGTACAGATGTTTTAACAATGGCATTGTTGGCAGGGGGTCCTCAGCAGCAACCTGGCCATGCCCCAAGGAGGCTAAAGGGGGGCATGGCAAAGGCAAAGGCAAGCAAAGGGCTGGTTTGAACATCCAGCAATTGATGTGGTGCAGTCCTCTTAAATCAGGGTAGGGAGCCTGCAGCCCTCCAGATGTTGCTGGACAAAACTCCTATCTTCCTTGACCACTGGCCAGGAGGCCACCAGATAACATAGCCCTCTTCAGATGGCGTGGGCTCCAACTCCTATAAGCCCCAGCCAGCAGGCCCAATTATCGGGAATGATAGAAGCTGTAGCCCACAACTTCTGGAAACTACCATATGATCTAAATCTACATTTTTTTAAGTGTGCCTACATATTCAGAGGGGACGCGGGTGGCACTGTGGGTTAAACCACAGAGCCTAGGGCTTGCCAATCAGAAGGTTGGCTGTTCAAATCCCTGCAACGGGGTGAGTCATTCCAGGAGGTGTTGCTTGGGGAAGGCCACGACTGGACCTAATGGTCAGGGGTCCCTTTACCTTTTACATATTCAGATTCTATGCGTGCTTGCTCAGGAAAGATACAAATTAGGCAGGGGGAAGCTCAATTTAAATCACTATTTACTTTGGTTCTTTTTCCTGAGATCCAAATCTACCCACACCAGGCAGTACTAGCCAGCACATCCTGTAGCCCTTAAATTCAACAAGAGGTAGAGGAAAGGGAGCAGAATACTTACTTGATCTTAAATGAGCAGAACTGTCTATTGCCAAGAGTGTCCCAGACAACCTGATAAAGAGAGAAAGCTTTGTTAGTAATTCTCCCAATGCTATCCTGCTCCGAAACATCAACACTCTTTGTCTGATATGCTGTAGCTGCAACCTAAATTGAAGATCCTGCGTTTGAGCACTGGTTTTGGACTGCTAGACGGCCTCCAAAGTCCCTTCCAAAATGTCTATAATTTTGGACAGATGGCAAACACCTTGCTCTAATTTCACCTCTTTTGGCATTTTATCAAATTACTACCGATTCCTCGGACTGATCAGAAGTCTGTGGGAAGCTTGAAAGCTGGACATGGGCCCTGGTCTTATTAAAGGGATCACAACAGGAGGGTTGGGAAAGGCAGAATTGACAACCTTAGCTGAAATAGATGGAGCAGCCTTGCAGCCTTGCAGCAACTCTTGAGTGTCTCAAGCAGAGGTCCTTCCCAGCAGCGACTGAGCCTTCAATGCACAGATGGGGGCCTGGGGGCCTCCAGAGGTTGGCGTGCTACAACTCCCACCATTCCTGACACTGGCCATGCTAGCTGGAGTGGAGGGAATGTGGGAATGCCAACCACATCTTTGGGGGGCCACAGGTTCCCCAGCCCTGCTTGTGATGTGATGCATGTGAGAATACCCAGTACGGGAAAGTACATGCGTCTGTGACAGGGGTCATTCAGTCGGACTCTGGTTCAGTCCTGACATCTACAGGAAAAGGTCTCAGAGCCACCATCCTTCAGCTAAGATCAGGCGCTGTTTCTCAAACTTGGGACCACAGCTCCTATCATCCCGGACCAGAGGTTCTGCTAGCTAGGGAAGATGGGAGTTGTAGTTCCAACCACATCCGGAGAGAAACACGGTGAGCTTCCCACTTGACTAAGGGAGCTTTCTATACTCTCACCGACTCACTCACTCACAAACCAACAGGCAGACACACTTGTGGAATCTGCAATGGAGAAATGGCACTCTGTGCACGCTCAAGGGTAACCTTCCACGTGCAAAATTCTACACTGCATTGTTTTTAACACTTGATAGGGAGCCGTCCAGAGTGGCTGGGGAAACTCAGCCAGATGGGCGGGGTATAAATTATTATTATTATTATTATTATTATTATTATTACACGGGAAGACGACCGGGGAGGCACAGAAGCAGAACTGGTAGGGTGGGTGGGTATTGGGTGGTTGTTTTAATTTTGATTATGCATTTTGCGGTTTTGTACTTTGATCTTATTCTGTGAGCCGCCCTGAGACCTCCGGGTATATAAATTCATTCATTCGATCGATCAGAACTACGGAGTTGGAGGGACCCCTAAGGGTCATCCAGCCGAGCCCCGGCAATGCGTGTCCCCGCTCCCAACGTTCTTCCCCCTCAAAGAATGAGGCGGCTCCTTGGGCAAGAGCCCCCCTTGGCCCCCGACTCAGCTTTCCCCCCACCCGCTTTGCCCCCGGACTCACGTCGTCCGCGTGCATCTTGCGGCCACGAGGGAGACGCGACTCAGCGACCCGGCGGAGTCCAGGGGAGGAGCCGCGCGCGGAGACCTCGCGAGAGGAGGAGGAGGAGGAGGAGGAGGAGGAGGAGGTTGCAGCTGCGCATGCTCGATTGTAGACTCCTAACAAATAGATCCATGCGCGAGGTCTGCTGCCGGGTTCAGTATAATTTTTGCTTCTCTTTCTCTTTCTTTTCCCCCCTTTTCTCTCTCTTCCCCCGGGCAATAATAATAATAATAATAAATACAGGGTTATAGCGCAGCCTGGGTGTGTTTTTTTCCAGGCACGCACACACACAAAGTGGCATTCAAGGCACAAGTGCTTGATCTCCCTAACACGGGTCTAATTTAGTACGGTTTTCTTTCTTGCTTTCTGGACGTTTTTAAAGTGTAACGTATCTGCATACAAGTCTATTCTGCCTCCAATTCCGCACTAAATTTGGGCTAGCTCTGGAAGGTTAACGGTGGCTTTTCTTATTTGAACCCGGAAACGACATCCCCAGATAAAGAGACGCGTCACTCTTTCTTGATTTCGTATCTCTAGGCTGTAAAAGTGTGGACGTATGGAGAGGTGGGTTTGAATCTGATGAAGGGACACAGGATTGGCTGAATTGCAGCTAGGGGTGGAGCCTCTCCGTGCGTGGCGACCAATCAGAAAGCTGAGCTGTTTGTTTCTCTTTATCAGTCTGGTTAGGGTTTTAGCCGCGTTATTCCTCCCGCTTTTGTTGCTCTTCAATGTATCCATTTTTTAGAAATTAGTAAATTGGGGTGGGGGCTGTAGGAAAGTCTATTGCAGTGGGGTGCGATCCTGCCCCAGCCCACCCAAATAGCTTGTAGTTTGGCAAACTTTCTGCAGCTAATTTCAAAGTATATCAGTTGCTAATTCCCTTTTTTATACAAAAAGTAAAGGTAGCTTTGCCATGAGAAAAAGATCAAAAATCTTTATTAAGGCAATGCCGTTACTAGGTCAACTGAAATGCCACAAAATAATGCTCAAGCGTTTCATATGCGCTACCTGGAGATGCCAGGGATTGAACCTGCATGCAAAGGATATCTTCTACCATTGAGCCTCAGTTCTTCCCCTAAATCCCTACACTGAGTACCAGATCACCAAACCAGGAGATAGGCATCTGTGCTTGCTCAGGACAAAATGCTGCGGTGTGGTTTGTGTCATTTAAATGCCTTCAGTCCTTGTTCACAGTTTTTTATTAAAAAAAAACATTGCAGGGAGAGAAAGCAACCACCAGTGTCTCAGGAGCCATCTGTATGCAGGTCCTTTCTCAGAGGTTTCTTCCCCACGTCCCTTTGGAAATCTGGCAGCATGAACAAGGATGCCCTCATTCCCTTCCCAGTCTCACGCCTGGACTGTTTCAAATGGAAATGGTGGTTGCTTCAATGATAGAGACAGGCAGGTGCAGTCAGCCCATGACACACACTGATGGGTGTTTTTTAGTTCCTCCAGGGACAGCTGAGATGAGAAGATTCAGAACAGGGATTTGCATGGAATATGGGGAGAGGTGGGGAGTGTGCAATGCACTAAAAAGGCAACAAAGCCTTCTAGAGTTTCTCAGCACAACAGTCCTGCTGGATCAGAGCAAAGACCCATCCTTTCAGGTATCCTGCTTCTCACAGAGACAAATGAGATACCTTCAGGAAGTTCGCAAGCAGCACATGAAGGCAACAGGCTCTCCTCTTATAGTACACATAAATAAACTGGTCTTTGGATATACTGATTCTGATCATGGAGGTCGCACTTTATCATCTTTCCCTCCATTGGGAAAGGTCCATAGCTCAATGGTAGAGCATCTTCCTTGCAGAAGAAGAAGAGTTTGGATTTGATATCCCGCTTTATCACTATCGTAAGGAGTCACAAAGCGGCTAACAATCTCCTTTTCCCTTCCTGCCCCACAACAAACACTCTGAGAGGTGAGTGAGGCTGAGAGACTTCAGAGAAGTGTGGCTAGCCCAAGGTCACCCAGCAGCTGCATGTGGAGGAGTGGGGAAGCGAACCCGGTTCACCAGATTACGAGTCTACCACTCTTAACCACTACACCACGCTGGCTCTGCAAGAAGTCCCAAATTCAATCCCTGCCATCTCCAGGTTGGGCTGGGAGAGATGCCTGCCTGAAACCTTCAGATGCCGCTGCTAGTCGGTGTAAACAGTACTGAACTGGATGAACCAATCATGGTCTGATTCACTATAAGGCACTTTATATATGCCTTAGGTGTGAGTGCTGTTATTTAGATAACCAAAAGGGCACCATTCTCACAAGGAGATATCAGCATTGTTGTCCATATGAGTTTTCTTGATATTTGCAAATATTCATTGACTTTTAAAGTATATTCCTGTAGTATGGAGACGAAAGGCAGGACCAGAAAAGTGGATTGTGTGAATCCTGAACTAAGAGTAGTAAGAGACTTATACCTTGAGCCTGGAAGGATAAATACCTACTGCCTGAAGACCTCACCATCCTTGCTATATTTGAACACATTTTTTATATGTCAGTTTCATGAGGATACGTATTTGGACATGTAAATGGCTTACATAGATTTATATACAGTGGGTTTGTAACTTATGCCCCCTTTGCATATGTGATTGCAATCTTATACGGGTGAGAGGGAAATAAATAAATAGCTGGAGAGCAGGGAATATCCACAGTTCTCTACTCTGCATTTATTTTTCCCCCCTCCAGTTCACTCAATGTGTTTTCTTTGCTTACTAGCCTCTGCAAAGGTCATGGGAATACCCTGGGAAGCTTCCAGAGCCCTCACACATCTTTTCTAGAACCCGATAAACAGCCCTCTGCCTCATTAGGGGGCATTTCCAGTGGTTCCTGACTTTGCATGCTTTTGCCTTTGCACATGGACCCCCAGAACAGATTCCTTGCATATGTTGTGGGCAAACTGTACAGATGATTATTGTATTATCAATGTGAACTGATGGGAAATTTCCCCTTTTTTCACTCCCCCACCTCTCTGTTTTTCTTAACCTTTCTTTCTTTGTTTTTCTTCATGATGCAAATTCTGGCACTCACAGCTGCAGAAGTATGGACTTGCAACTGGTCAGACCCCCTCTTTGGGGTGTGTGAGATTTTATTTTAATTTTAGTTAAAACATTTGTACCCCTCCTGATGCAGAGAGGTTGCTAAAGGACGTTATTCCCGGATCAAGCAGAAGAATAAGTCAAATAGCTTTAATCACTCAATAATAAGACAGCAAACAATATTTAGATGAATAGCAGAGACTGGCCACATCTGTTTGTTTCAAATAACCATAGGAAGATATTTAACTTCTGAATGGGACGTGTTTCAAAGCAAGGGTGTTAGTTTGCCTACACACTGCACATAAATTGGCATTCCCTCTATTTCCAGGGTTCAGAGTAGGGGTATCATTGCTTATGTTGCCAAAATGGCACCACCCACACACAAGAAAGAGGCATCAGCAAGCATTGGGAAACTTCAAAGTTTGCAGAAATATGAGAGAATCTTGGGGTGGGGGGACCCAAGAACAGTTGATGAGGACTCAACTTGCTCAGTGGCTGTAGAATGAAGGTGGAATCCAGTTGGCAAGCCAGAGGGAGAAGGAATGGAAAGGAGGAGCTGGAATCCTGAGCAGGAAGTACCCCAGGCTGCAGCATTCTGTTGCAGGACCCACTTCTGCATTCTGATGCCATCCTCCGCCATTTATTGTAGTACATCCCAGAGAGACCCCTTAGAGTACTGCACTTGAGGATCCCAGGGGACTGCACTGACTTGACAATGCAGCCGTTGATTGAGTCTCGGTTCTGCTCATCGCTCTCTGCTCCTATTCTTCAGTCTCAGCTTCTTCATCGCTGCTATCTGTGAGTGGGAACTCCTGGAGGGCCTTCTGTGTGGTGTAGCTTCTGGTCTGCATGGGGCATTCTTGGCTTAGAATTGCCTTTGGAAGTGGGGTGGGGGTAGTGGGGAGAGACAGGACAAAAAAATATAAGATGCATTGTAAGGTGCCGGCCAAGGGATCTTAAACGCCAGGTCTTTTGCACTGGCTCGGCCCTTCAGGGGGAAAGGTCTCAAAGGTCCTGTTGGCCCCCTGTCCCAGTGAATGACACACTGAGAACCCCTGCCCTAGTACAACCAAATATACTCCTCCCTCTGGAGTTGTATTCATAGGCTGTGAGCAACCCATATATATTGTAATAAGAATTTTAAGGTCTTAGATATATATTAAATGTTCATAAATGTACCAAGCAAACATGTACATAAATATATAAACCACACGTCTGAAGCAGCACAGGAAGACAGTCCTGAAACCATTTTGACTCCCAAGCTGACCAAACGTTTCTCTGAAAAGGAGGGAGGAGGTGGAAAAAAACCCTTCCTTGTTACAGGAATTTAGTAATCACCATTTCAAAGGGTGACAGACTACCAGGAAAAGACTACCAGGAAAGGCAATCAGATAAGGCATTATCAGGTAACCTGGCAGACAGGAAAAACAACAACATTCAAATTTCTGTTGTAAGACCACCTTTTCTGTGATGTAGGTATGATGTTTGTGGGGGGTGGTCTTGGGTTACACCCCTTCTGTGATGTATGTATGATATATGGAGGAGTGGTCTTGAGCTCCAGGGCAGGGAAATTAAAATGTCTATAAAAGGGCAGGCACACCTCCTCCTTTCCTGTATGTGAGGGGAGCACCCTGTTGCAACAGATCAATAAAGATCAGGCTTACTAGCTGCTTTGCTTCTCAATATTCTCTGGTTGGCCTCTGTTATTTTCTCCTACCAATAGCGAACCCACGTAAGGACTCTATGCTGGCTCTTGGATACCCCATAAGGGAAAAAGGGCAGATTGGTTTTGTTTACAACAATATAAAGCACACAACTTCCCCCAAAGAACCCTGGTTTGTCCGACACACAGCCACACAGCCCTGTACCCGTACCAAGCTATGGTTCCCAGGATGCTTTGGGGAGGCTTTGCTCATGCTTTAAGTGTATGATCAGCACGTAGCCAGAGTTGCACCCGTGCCACACGCAGGCTGCTGTTAATGGGTGCTCTGGACATGGCAGCCCAGATGGAAAGAAGGGAGGAAGGCATGGTTGGAGTTTCAATAATTAACAGACTAGCCTTAAAGAAACAGAGTGTGCACATGTTTGCTCACTTTTGCAGATCACCCAACAAGAAGCTACTCACAATCATCTTTCCTATTTGCAAGAGAGGCACGGGCTATGCATAGATATCTCAATCTGTCCTACAGAGGGAGCAATGCTGGAGGCACAAAATGTCATGCCCTTCCTTGGAGGTTGCTTCTGGCAGTTTCAATTTTGCACAGAATTGTCACACGGAGAGATCATCGTAAGCCCCTGCATGAATTTGACTTTATAATATTTTCTTAATTGGGATTCACTTTGAAAATTCATACCAAACCTTTCGATCAGATTATTTGCAAGGCAGCTTGCCAGTCCGAAGAATACAAAAACCTCCATCCCAGCCACCTTTAGTCCCATGGCTAGTGAATGTGGCCAGAGTGTGCTCAGTTCTGAAATCCTGGGGCAACTCCCCGTTGTTCTTTCTGACAAGGAGGGGTTAAGCAAGCTCACTGCATCTGCACTTTCTCTGGCCAATGGATGGGGCAAAACAGGACCTCCCCTTTCCATGATGAATTTCCTGGGAAGTTCAGCCTCTCAGTCATCTCTTCTGCAGAGAGGGATGTTACCCTTTTCTCCATTGAAAAATAGATTGATCTGAAGGTGGAAGTTGGAAGAGTTACACTTTCCCCCTCCTCCTCTTTCAGCTCTATGTGTTTCTTAAGTTCCAGATTAATTCTACTGGATCCACATTTTCTACAGGATCCAGCAGCAGTCTCCCAATGCTCTTTGCTCCCCTGGTTAATGGCACAGGCCAGAGTGGATATTTTAGCTGCTTACGTTTGGACTTCACCTGCTAGAATTTCCCCCCTTTTGATATTACTTTTGGTTTATTGGTTTCAGATGCTGGTAGGCACCTTGGAAACATTACGGAAAGGTGGGGTACAAAATGTTTAATATAAATAAACAAGAAAACTAGGAACCCTTTGGATTCGGTCAGATGACTCCCTCGGGGGTGAACTTACAATCTTCTCCTCCTTAGCTGGTGGGCTCCGCAGGAACCAGCAGAGAGGGGCATATGCAAGGTTGATCCCTCCAATGATGACCATCAGCCAGGGAAAGCCAATGACCCGTACAAGAGAACCCCCTATAGAGGGACCTGCAAGCAAAGAATAATATCAATGCTTAGTTAATTCAGTGAGCTAAGTGCATTCAGGCTGTGCAGTAAATTCTGTTTTCAACATTCAGTGTCCTTCAAAAGCTATGCAGTTTTCAGAGACAGTGGGCTGATTGGGAGCTGATGGGGGGATGAAGACAACTTTACAAATTACAACTTGCATCTGTTCTGAGGTTGGGCAAGGGACACAACAGACTCTCTGAGGTGACTTTTTGTTTTGGCAAATTACAGTTGAAATTAGAAAAAAAAGCCAAATGTTCTACTGCAGCCTGAGGACCCCTCCAGATGTCCTTTTCTATCACACATTCTTGATGGTTTGTGTTCATGATGCTGTCGGAGCAGTCATAAGCCAGCATGGTGTATTGGTTGGAGTTAAATATTTAAAAGCTAGAAAAGAACAGCACATGGGCGCAACCGATAGGCAAAGAAACCACAGGGCGGCTGAGTAGTCATCCATACCAAAAGCAAAGCCCATGCAGAAGGCCACGTCAGCAATGGCATAGACACTGCCGTAGACAGAGGTGTGGCGAAGGTCCACCAAATATCCCATGATCGGCATCATTGAAGAATCCACCATACCTATTCCCAGAACAAAAGGGGGGGAAATGCCATGAGACGTAGTATTTAACCATAGCCCAGGTTTCAAACCACATGTGATTATTGTTCTGAAATATTAATATTATTATATTATATTCAATGCTTTTTTTCTAAAAAAAATGTTTAGGGGTACTCTCATTTTGACTCAAGAAAATCACCATTTTATAGTTCAAATCGGGGAAAATAAATACAGTAAATGGACAAAAGAACAAAGATTTACAAAATGTTTAGGGGTATGCGTATCCCTGTGTATCCCCCGGGAAAAAAGCACTGATTATATTAATGAATCCCTGTGAAACATTGTGAAGCAATCATATATAGGTATAATTTTATTGTATCTAAGCTGGGATAAAAAAAAAATATCTCCACTTAACATTTATTGGTTGGTAGATATGGTGCTTATGAAATAACTGCAACAAATAACCCCAAAATACATTGCCTCCCCCGTTTTCTTAACACACTACATTTATGCAATTCAGTCTTGAAGATATATTCCAAGCAGACCTTTTGAATTACCCTGGGAATTTTCCCTGGCACATAGAGGCAAAGGCTTGTATTAGTCATACTCAGAGTACTGAGAAATTAATGAGGACAACAAATTTAGGTCCATGAATTTCAGTGGGTCTACTCTGTGTATGACTAACATTCGATACAACCCAAAATCTTTGCCCTGCCCCATCACAAAAAGCTGAAATGGCAACTCTGAATAACCCATCTGTTGACTCCTCTTAAGATCCTTACTTGTGAGTCAGATGCAAAAAGTCAACTAAACTAGAATGTGTTTCCTGGTCCAGCATGCATCGTTTGTTTGTTTGTTTGTTTGTTTGTTTGTTTGTTTGTTCTCTTATCCCAATGTTGCAGTCACCCTGTCTCTGCAGTGCAGGCTGAGGATGAACACAAAGCTGAGACGCAGAAGGCCAGATGTCTATCAAAGGAACGTATTTCTGTTATACCGATAGCAAAGTGACAATACAGTCCTCTGAGGTTTCCCTTCTCAGGTTACAGAGTATGCTTTCAAGATAATCTGGGTTAGAGTGGAGGGGAAATTTGAGATTTGTAGATGGTTGGCAAGCAGGAGCTTTGTAGGGTTCCAGCATGCAGTTTGCTTTTGGGAAACTGATGCAGCTTTAAAGACTAGGGACTCAGGTACACTCGTCAATTACCGTATTTTTCCGTCTATAAGATGCCCCCATGCATAAGGGCATGCATACTATTTTGGGGGACTCAGATTTAAGAAAATGGGGGGAGATGGCCCAGAGTATGACACCCCCTAATTTTTGACATTCTTTTATAGGAAAAAAACGTAGTCTTATACATGGAAAAATACGGTATATTCTTATAACTGCGTTATAAACATGCGACAGCAGATGGCATTGAGGGACAGTGATCTGTCGTTAAGAGTTTGTAGAACATGTTTTCCTGTAGCGTTTTCTTTATCTGTGTAGATCCAGCCAAAGACTGCAATATTTTTACTGAATTCAGAGTCCCAACCCAAAATGGGTCACATTTTTGCCCTGATTTTGAAGTCCCCCTGACCCAAAGTTCAGGGGATATATTTGTAAACATGTATTACGAAAATATCATTTATCTCCAGTATTCAGATTTCACAAGGGAGTGAACCCTATAAAAGGCAAGTCTTGGGAATTCAAGCTGCTCAGGATGAAAGGCAGGGAACTCTTCCATTCCTGCAGTACCTGTTCCTTTCAGCTTCCTTCTCTCTTCTAGAGTAGAAGTCTCTACTGTCTGCAGTTATCACCATTAAAAAGGCAACAGTTTTTCTAGACTTGCTCAGCTCCTGCTGCTGCAGAATATAAAGGGCCAAGGGCCCTCTCTCATCCATATTTATGACCCCTGTTATTCCAGGGACTTCCTGAGGCAAACTATTTATTGAACAACCATCCTTATTTAACAATGTAAGAACAGCCTGCTGGAACAGTGTTTGGCTTGCACAAAGCTAATGCAGAGGTTCAGTCTTTATTTAGCATTATTCTTTCATTCCACACCTTTTAATGCACCTCCCTGTCACTTTTCAAACTCCAATTCTTTTAAAAAGTAGATTTGTTGCACAAGCGCTTTAATCCAGTTTAATTGTGCAAACCTAAATTGGCACAATGCACTCGAATCCCTCCCACAAAATAGTGGCAGTCTGGAGGTATCTCAAGTGTGGACAATCAAGGGCCAAACCTGGTGGGCTCCTGGCCAGAACAAGGATGGGTCCCCTCTGATGATTGAAGTGCCTGTCCACGCAGGACGATAGTGACCTCCCCTCCAGCCCTTCTCAAAATCCAAGAGCCTGCAGACAGTGCATGTGTGCTCATCCTGGACTGCACCACTTTGGATTGCAGGTGGGGGTATTGTGGGAGGGAATGCTTTCTTCATGTCAAACCCCACACACACCTAGAAAAGCCGCATATCCAGGAGAAGACTGCCCCATGACCTTTCTTCCTGGCATGCTAAGCTGGATCTTCCATTTTAACTTCAAGCCTGCAATTTCCCCACCAGCCTTTCTAAAGCTGTTTGGCTGTTTTTCAACATGCGTTTTTGCTCTATGTGTTTGCTGCGGACGACTTCAAAACCTTACCAAGGGCAAAGCCAACTCCACCATTAGGCCCGATGAGTCCATAAAGATTTTGAGCCAGGGGGACCTGTAGAACGAAAGAAATGAGATTGGGGTAAGGCCTGGAAACGACAATAAAAGCCAAAGCAGTGCCCTGCCTCTTATTTCCTTTACAGCATGGGTAGGCAAACTAAGGCCCGGGGGCCGGATCTGGCCCAATCGCCTTCTAAATCCAGCCTGCGGACGGTCCGGGTATCAGCATGTTTTTACTTGAGTAGAATGCGTCCTTTTATTTAAAATGCATCTCTGGGTTATTTGTGGGGCATAGGAATTCATTCATCCCCCCCCCTTCAAAATATAGTCCAGCCCCCCACAAGGTCTGAAAAAGTTTGCCGACCCCTGCTTTACAGACTTAAAAGCATGGACATGTGAATTCAACACCTGGATATGAAATGAGAGCACTGGCAGAGGAACGGGGGGGGGCAGGGGAAGTGCACCCCCGGCACCATCAGGGAGAGGGTGCCATTGCAACCGTCCCCCACGGGCACGTGCCGCGCACCCCCCACTGTGCTGGGCGCCACGCCCCCACAGGCGGCGCGCATGCCCCCAGGACACATGCCCTGCCCTGCGGCGTGTGCGCCAGCCACACCCCTGCCTGCTCTCCTCCCCCGGTGCCAGAGCAGGCAGCTTCACCACTGAATGAGAGAACACATCTCAATCCAACATGACGACTCAGGTACCAAGCATGACATTGATTAGGAGTCTTGCGACAAAAACGTCACAGTGTGGAGTGTCCCAGCAAGCCAGCCATGGCCCATCCCAGGATACTCCAGCCCTTCAGCTAATCTGTTTCTTGGAGGGAAGGTGCCCGGGACGGTCCTGGCCCTGGCCCTATAGGCCTTAGTGGTACAGAAGGCTCTTCCAGGGGTTCCCTGCTGGATAGCCTCGGATCCAGAAGTCGTCTGATCTCCTGCAGCATGTTCAAGGTCACGCTCCTGCTGCTTATCTGGTGAGTCTGCAGCGTCTGACTCTGTGCCTGGATTGCTGCTGGTTTCATGGGTCATGACATGGGGAGTGCTTAAACCACAGTTTCCTGGTTTGGGCATGGTAGGAAACCATGGCTTGACAATTCATATGTAAATATGGGCATGGAAGGAGATGGGCTATGACTTTAATTCATCACTTGAGCAAACCACTGTTTATTGGAGAGAAACCTAAGTCTGAATTGGGCTACTGCCTTAATATTTGGGTGGGTGGGGGGTGGATTTTGCTCTCCTGGTGGATCATCGGTCTTCATTTCATAGGACAGAAAATACTTGACTAGTCTGCTGCCACCAAATTCTCTTCCAGGATTCCTTTCCCACTCATAACACAGATGGCCAGAGTTAAGCTGGCCCTGCGGCTCCTTGGCCTGGCTCCCCATTACAGCTGATTTCTCTGCATGTCAGTCATGGAATACAGATTCACTAGCATACTCACGCAAAGGAGGCTGACTCCCACTACCACCATCCCAATCAGTGAGCAGAGCCACCTATAACGAAAAGGCAATTGGTGAGAGAGAGATCCGAGCATGATCTGAAGGGCACAGCAACCTTTCTGAAGCTAAGCAGGTTGAATAAAACTGACAATCTCATGCTGCTGTCACACAGATCTACGATGACACCACACTTGGAATACTATGTGCAGTTCTGGTTGTACATCTCAGAAAGGGTACTGTTGACCCAGAAAAGGGAAAGAAGGGGGCAAACAGGGGGCTGGATTTGCAGCCCTACAAATAAAGGTTACGTTTGACGTTATTTCATTTAGGAAAAAAACAGCATGAAAGGGGAAGCCTTTATTAAACTTGGCATGCAAAAAGTCCAAGGCTGGATTGCTGCTTCCAGTCAGCATCCGAGATGGATGGGGCAACAGCACGAATAGTTTTTTAAGGCAAGTCCTGTGTTTCCCAAAAGTCATAAAAGTGACTCATGGATTTGCAGGATTCAAACATCTTTGGGCTCCTCCACTTACCGCCCCATTTTGTTGGCTAGCATCCCAAAGAGGTTGGTACCAATGAGGTAAGACAGGCTAGCAGGCAAGAAAGCTACCCCTGCAAAACAGAGAAGCATCAGTCTGAAATAAAGGCACATGGCATTTTCTGCAAAGGGACAGAATGACCTTGCAGAACTCTTCTTAAATCCCTGTCACGTGCAGAGATACATAAATGCAGCAGCGGACACCTACAGGAGGCCAATCCTCTAACAATGGTCAGGGACAATAGGTCTTGTTAAACCAATATGTATGCATTGAAGATATGTCCCTATATATTTATTTATTTATAGAGTGGGGGAGGGACAAGATTTTAAAATGGGATGAAACATATTTGCAGAGGACCGGTCTAACAATGGGTATTAGCCATCATAACAAAATGAAACCTCCAGCTATAATGGTGTTATTGGCTGATACCAGTTGCCAGATGGGAAACCCAGCCAGATGGGCGGCATATAAAAATAATAGCATTACTTATTATTATTATTATTACTATTATTATTATTATTATCCACTTCCTCTCCAAACTGCACAGGTATCATGTTCTCAAAACTCTGGTGGGTATCTCATTCACAAACACAGATTGCCAGCTATCAGGAGACCATTCCCTAAACATGGCCTTCAAGCTCTGCTTGTGGGATTTCAATAGTAATAATAATAATGTATTTGTACTCTGTTCATCTGACTGGGTTGCCCAGTCTGAATAGCATCTGAATAGCCACAACTGGAAAGTGGATGATTGACCAAATGAGCCATCCAGTAAGGCTATTCCTAAGTACTCTTAAGGGGAGAAAGAGGGGCATGTACAATAAAAAAACTAGATTCCATGTTGCCAATTGTGGTGAAAGGTGGGACTAGACTTCCCCACTACTAGCTCCCTGAATGTTGTTGAACTATAACCCCCACCAGCTCCATCCAGCATAGGCAGTTGTCAAGGATGATAGGAGATGTAGTCAAACAACATCTTCAGAGCCCATTTGGGGGGAGGCTCCTATGTCTTCTTGTTTTGAAGGTATAATGGGATAATCTTACCCCTAGCTCCTTTGATCATTTGCAAAATCTTGGCTGAGATATACTCCTATCTCTCTGAATCCCTGGGCATCATAGATATTCCATACCTAAGTTGTATTCAAAACAAGTTCCATGGCAGACCCCTTTTTTAAACTAGTCCATATTAAACCAACCCATTTCCTCCCTCACTTCAGCCTCATGCTCTGGACCAAGAGAACAACAATTTGATCTGCAGTTATAATTAAATCCAAATCAAATATTTGACAGGCTGTCGGTTGGCAGTTGCTTAGCTTTAATTTACTCTCCTCCGGCTTACAAATGTGTTGCAGGCACCTCTGTTTGCCTGGATATGTCACAGCATCCTTACTGAAACCCAGCCATTTGTGTTTAATTTCCTCTAAGATAAACCCTTATGTTTATCTTGCCAGTGCTCTGGGAAAATCCATGCTCTTCTGCTTGTGAAACACCAGGTTAGGCAAATAAAAGCAATAATTGAAAAATGCCTTGTGCCAATAGTTCAAAAATACTCAAAATGATGATGATGTCATTCGTCAGCCTTAAGAACGTATGATAAACCAGGTCAAAGGCCCATCTAGTCCAGCATCCTGTTCTCACAGTGGCTAACCCAGGCACCCCCAACCTTCAGCCCTCCAGATGTTTTGGACTACAATTCCCATCATCCCTGACAACTGGTCCTGTTAGCTAGGGATCATGGGAGTTGTAGGCCAAAACATCTAGAGGGCCGCATGTTGGGAATGCCTGGGCCAACCAGATGTTGCTGCAAAGACCACAAAAGACCTTAAAAAGGTAAAAAGGTAACGGACCCCTGGACGGTTAAGTCCAGTCAAAGAGGACTATGGGGTATGGCGCTCGTCTCGCTTTCAGGCCGAGGGAGCCAGCATTTGTCCACAGACACGCTTTCCGGGTCATGTGGCCAGCATGACTAAACCGCTTCTGGTGCAACGAAACACCATTATGGAAACCAGAGCGCACGGAAATGCCATTTCCCTTCCCAGCTCAGCGGTACCTATTTACCTACTTGGACTGGTGTGCTTTCGAACTGCTACGTTGACAGGAGCTGGGACAGAACAACAGGAGCTCACCACCATTTCATGGATTCAAACCACCAACCTTCCGATCAGCAAGCGCAAGAGGCTCAGTGATTTACACGACAGTGCCACCCACGTACTGTTACAGCTGTTACAATCTACTTGCTCATTGTTAGGTTTTATCTACTGGACTGGAACCATGTTTAATTAATCAGGCTTAAGGTTCCATTGTACTCATAGAATCATAGAACTGTAGAGTTGCAAGGGACCATCTAGTCCAACCCCCTGCAATGCAGGAATCTCAACTAAAGCATCCAAGACAAATGGCCATCCAACCTCTGCTTAAAAACCTCCAAGGAAGGAGAGTCCACTACCTCCTGAGGGAGCCCATTCCACTGTCAAACATCTCTTACCATCAGAAAGCTACTCTTAACATTTAGTCAGAACCTCCTTTCTTGTAACTTGAATCCACTGATTTGAGTCTTACAGTCCGGATCAGAAGAAAACAAGCTTGTTTCATCTTCCATGTAAAGCCCTTGAGATGTTTGAAGATGGCTCTCCTCTCACTCTCCTCTTTTTCAGGTTAAACATGCCCAACTCCCTCAACTGTTCCTCATAAGGCTTGCTCCATATGAGCTGGGGCTATTTATTATTTTATTGCCCTTAGTTATTTATTTATTGCATTCATATATCACTTTTTTCTACAAGGAGTTCAAGGTGGCATACATACATGGTTCAATGACAACCAACACTCAGGTCTATTGATTTCAATAGGTCTACTAGTAGGACTAACATTGGATACAACTCAATGACTGGCGCCCAGGATCACGCAGTGGACAACTATAAGAAGCAGGGATTTGAACCAGTGTGCCAGTAACCCAGCTGATGTGTACGTGTATCTCACACATGATGGGAAGTGACTGAGAGTTGACAAAGTGCTAGGCTCCAGAGCAGAGGACTATAAGGTTCTCCACTGTTCATGAAGGGATAGAAGTCTGGGGGGATAGGCTGGCAAGAAAGGATAAAAAGTTCTCAAACAACTCCAGCTCCAGCCCTTATGGAGCAAGTTGTCATCTTGGAGCTATCCAAGGTCCTGCAGTACCAATCTGGTCGTACCCAGATGTCCATTGTTCTGCATAGTCTCCTGTTCATGGTCCAAACAAGGCAACTGCCCTGAAAAGAGAGCAGTGGGATCTTTGCCACTAATGCAGAGATGAGGAATCAGCAGCCTTCCATATGTAGTCAGATTTCATCTCCCATCAGCCCCAGGCAGCAGTGATCAGGAATAGTAGTAGTCTAGCAACATCTTATCCTCAATTTCAGAATAACGATTCCTCTTTCTTCTTCCCATGTTTCACAGGTTCTGTGTCTCTCGTTTGTAACATCCTTCTCATCCTTGTTTGCTCCACTGCTTGTTCTTAGAAGCGAGCAGAAAGGTCATGCTCACAGGCCCTTATTTAGCCAAGGCTTCCTGCTGACTAACTGGTAGTTAACTTGATTAGTGGCTCTCGGGAGCACTACTGAGCCTAGGTAGCAATTTAATTTGGGAGGAAAGCATAGCTGAGAGCATCCCCCCAGGCCCCTCCTCCCCAAATTGAATTTCGGGGGGGGGGGGAGGCGTTTTACAGAAAAGGTAGGCAATTTCATCTCATTATCCAGTCTCCAAGGCAGCACATAATTGCCATGTACCGAGTCACCCTTCCTGTGCCTCCGAAGATACCTTTGTTGTTGCTGTTTTAAATCTGTAGCTGCACCTTCAAAAGCCATGTTGTTTGATATGGTTGTGTTGGCGGGGGTGGGTTGGGTTCCTCTTGAAGTTAGCAGTTGGAGGCATGGGTGGAAAAGTGCTCTCACACCTAGTTGCACGCAAAACCATGCACATTCAGGCCCAAGTCATTTTACTAGCTAAGGTGAAGATAATGCCCCATCTATTCCATATATTGAAGCCAAGTGGACTGCAAGTTGACTCTTGGGGCACTTCCAGACTGCAGCTATTTTCAGATGGGATTAAATCACACATTGGCAAATTCATGGTGTGCAATTAATCAGCCTTCCCAGTCTTGCAAAGCGGACCAATTTCCGAAAAGATCACAGCATTTGTGATAAGGAGAGTGATGAGGAAAGGTAGTAGAAAGTGTGGGATAATGCTAGCATTGACAGAATGTTGTTTAACCTCTCCACACACACACACACACACACACACACACACAACCACAATCAAAACAGGTGTTCATTAAATAGCCAACTGCATCTAACTCCACACAAAAGGAATCAAAATGAATGCTCAGTAAATAGCCAGCCTCTTCTAATCTCTCTGGAAACAAATTAGAATGAATTTTCATTAACTAGCCAACATTGTCTAATCTCCCTGGAAACAAATCAGAATGAACTCTCAAATAAGTAGGTTGTCTCAAAGTCCTTTTACCTCAAGGCTAGTGATGGGAGTGTCTAACCCATGGGTAGGCAAACTAAGGCCCGGGGGCCAGATCTGGCCCAATCGCCTTTTAAATCTGGCCTGCGGATGGTCCAGGAATCAGCATGTTTTTACATGAGTAGAATGTGTCCTTTTATTTAAAATGCATATCTGGGTTATTTGTGGGGCCTACCTGGTGTTTTTACATGAGGAGAATGTGTGCTTTTATTAAAAATGCATCTGTGGGTTATTTGTGGGGCTTAGGAATTCGTTCATTCCCCCCCCAAAAATATAGTCTGGCCCCTCACAAGGTCTGAGGGACAGTGGACTGGCCTCCTGCTGAAAAAGTTTGCTGACACCTGGTCTAACCTGCACACCTGAGGACAGCAGGTTAACAAAGCAGAATGCATGGCACACAGAGCCCTAGAATGGCTAGGGAGCTCAAGAGGAATGGCAGGGGGCTGCTGCTGCTGACCCCCATCCCAACACCTGCCACCCAAGAATTGCCCCCCCCAAGAACCTCACAATCACCTGAAAGTCACTCCTTGGCTACTTCAGACCCCCTTTGGCTAAAGGCTAGTGGCCTTTGCCAACTGATAGCCAGGAAGGATATGAAAAGGAACCTACCCAGTTGCCACTCTGGGGAGCACATGGTTTGCATCATCCAAATGGGCAAAGTGGCTTCGAGGATCGCAACCCCCATGTTGGCAAAGCAGATTGAGCCTGGAGGGAGATGAGAGATACCTGCATGGTCACCATTCTTGTTAAGAAAGCAAAAGGCAAAGCAATCCCCCATCATCCCTGACCATTGTCCATGCCAGCGGTGGCTGATGGGAGTTGGGTTTCCAACAGCATTTGGAGGGCTATAGCTTCCCCACGCCTGGTGCAGAGAATCCCAGAAGCGCCAGAAGTAGTATATTTTGAAGCCCCTTTTGGCAATATGAATTAATAAATAATCAGAATACAAATAAGTTCCCGCCGATGCCCAGAGGTAAAGGAATTCTGGAATAAAATCCTAAAGGTTATTAATGAGCTGTTTAAAGTGAAGCTTCCAATAGACTTTGATTTCATGACAGTGGGTATACTTAGAAACATGGCTATAGAGAAAGGGGACCAGTTTACTTTCAAAGCTATGATATTAGCGGGAAAGGCAACGATAGCTTTAGGTTGGAAAGATAAAGAAAAATGGACAGTAGAGGCATGGAATAGTTATTTGTTTGAACTTATTCAGTTGGACATTGTCACAGTAATGTCACAGGAAACATCGTGGAAGGACGATACGGAACAGATGGAACTCCCATCTTCAATGGATAGAAACTACTGGAACAAAAGACATTTGGTGGAAACTAAAGACGCTATGCCTGTGTCTGAGGATGATTGTTTGAACCCTTCCAACGGATATGGGGGGGAGGGAGGGGAAGAGGAAATTGTACGGGAAATTTTAAAACTGGAAGGAGATAATGTATGTAGAAAGCCTGAAATAATAATAACAATAAAAAAACAAATAAGTTCTCCCCGCAAATGAAAATGGGGACCTCCCTATTCTCAACCCAACAGATCTTGTTTCTTTCCACTGTTTCCCTCGGCATGTATTTCATTGAAAGAATCAAACATTCAAAGTGACAAAAGCAGTAGAATCAGAGGAGCAAAGGTTCACTAAAACAGGGGAGGCTCTCCTGCAGCCAGGGCTGGCCCAAGACGTTTTGCTGCCCCACGCAAAGGGGAAAATGCCTCCCCCTTCAATGTACAGAAGGTGAATGAAATGGCAGGTGAATCTGACTTCAACAAGGTGGTGAGGCATCCTTCTCCACCACACCTAAGGTAGCAGGAGGACCTTTACAGTATCCAGAACTTTAGAGGACCCAGAAGGGGGACATGTGGCAACAGAGAAGAATGGAGCTGCTGCTGTTCCAGAGCATCTGCTGCCTGAGGCAGCTGCCTCCTCATGCCCAATGATAGGGCTGGCGCTACCTGCAGCCCTCCAGAACTGCAACTCCCATCAGCCCCAGCTAGCATGGCCAGTGATCAAGATGGTGGCAGTTTTAGTCCAGAAGCATCTGGAGGGCCACATGTCGGCTAGTCCTGCTCTTAGAAAAGGGAGCTGCTTTTTAATTAATTTATTTTATTAATAAATGTGTTTGTTTTGCCCTCCCCCTTGATTGATGCTTGGGGTTTAGTTTTGTTTCTGGGAGGGGTGCACATATTTTCTGAAGTTTATAAAAATGTTCCTCTCGCCAGCTCCATATCCAAAAAAGCTAAATTCCAGTGATGAATATCCATGACCCCAAATATCCAGGAGGAAGGCATGGCGACTTACCTGCTGCAATCAAAATGTAAGGGTCTCCTAGCAAGGTCAACAGCGGAGTCCCTTTCGTACTCTGGAAGACACACAGAAAAAGGTAGATTTTATTTTTTGCAATAATTCTAAAACAATTAAAAAACTAATAAGTGTATGTTGTACCTACCTCAGGCGAAATCTTTGATGGATGTAAGATACAAAGCTGTAAAGCTAACACAGAAATATTGTTACTGGCTTGCTTTTCTTGGAATGTCATTTCAACTTTGCTCTTAATGGTGATGTTTTGATGCTCCCTCTCTTTCAATTTATTGCTTCACTCACTCCCCACAAATCCTGGGAACTGTGGTTTACCCTTCACAAGAGTTACAATTCCCAGCATACTTATCAAACTACAGTTCCCAAGATTCTCTGCAGGGGGAAAAGTCATGGGAGTTAAATGTATGGTGAGGCTGTGATCTCGGCTCTCATTTGGCTTTGGAGCTTGGGCGGTCAAATCCTAAGCAAATTTATCCAGAAATAAGTCCCACTATGTTTAGTGATATTTACTTCAAGGGAAATATATTCATCTCTGCCAAGCTAAGCAGTTGGCTCCTTACCTCTCTCGCCCTGACCTAGCCACTGTGATCCATGTGACGGTCACCTCCAGACTTGATTATTGTAACTCACACTACATGGGGCTGCCCTTGAGACTGATGCAGAAACTCCAGCGGGTGCAGAATGCTGCAGCGAGACTCCTTACGGGGTCCTCGCTGCGGGATCACATTCACCCGGTGCTATACCAGCTGCACTGGCTCCCAGTGGAGTACAGGATCAGGTTTAAGGTGCTGGCTTTAACCTTTAAAGCCCTATACGGCCTAGGACCCTTGTACCTACATGACCGCCTCTCCTGGTATGTCCCACGGAGGACCTTACGGTCTTCAAACAAAAACATCTTGGAGGTCTCGGGCCACAGGGAGGTTAGGCTGGCCTCAACCAGAGCCAGGGCTTTTTCGGCTGTGGCCCAAATCTGGTGGAACACTGTCACAAGAGACAAGGGCCCTGCGGGACTTGACATCTTTCCACAGGGCCTGCACCAGGCCTTTGGCCAAGGCACAGTCTGACCCCCCTCCTTTGGTAATCCTCATAGAACTCTAGCCCAATGGTTGCCATTAATTTGATTCTGAATTGATTTACAATGAATTGATTGTAGAATGCTGTGTTACTTTTACTGTTGGTAGCCGCTCTGAGCCCGGCTTCGGCTGGGGAGGGTGGGATATAAACAAATTTTTATTATTATTATTGAAGGACTGCAGCCTGATGAGATCCCATCCACAACATGCACTTAAGGCACATTTAAAGCATTTGACTTCCCCCAAACAATCCTGGGACCAATAGTGTATTCCTCATAAAAGTAAAGGTAAAGGACACAGGCGGCGCTGTGGTCTAAACCACTGAGCCTTTGGGCTTGCCAATCAGAAGGTTGGGGTTTGAAACCATAAAACAGGATGAGCTCCTGTTGCTCTGTCCCAGCTCCTGCCAAACTAGCAGTTTGAAAGCACACCAGTGCAAGTATATAAATAGGCACCACTGTGGCGGGAAGGTAAACGGTGTGCGCTCTGGCTTCCGTCACGGTGTTCCGTTGTGACAGAAGCAGTTTACTCATGCTGCCCACATGACCCGGAAAATTGTCTGTGGACAAACGCTGGCTCCCTTGGCCTGAAAGCGAGATGAGCGCCGCATCCCCATAGTCACCTTTGACTGGACTTAACTGTCCAGGGGTCCTTTACCTTTTTACCCCTCATAGAACTATAATTCCCAGCACACTTAAAAACTACAGTTCCCAGGGTTCTTTTGAATAAGCCATGTAATTTAACTGTGTGTTAAATGGACTTTAAATGTATGGTGTGGATATTTGTAGCTCACCTTGCCTCAGTCACGCAATTGTCTTGATCCTGCCACTAGTTGTGTCATCATGGTAGGGTATCCATGCCCCTGCACACCAGAATGAGCATGGGGAGGGGGGTCCTCAAATACATCACAGCTGGCTCAACACATTTTGAAGGGAGTCCTGCCCCACACATGCCTTGTAAGACCATTAAGTCCAGAGCCTAAATTTGCCAAACTGCCCAACTGCATGACACCCCAGAGAGCTACTCACCTCCATCCAAAAGAGCTAAGAATGCCAAGATCATAAAAGGAGATGATTTCCCAACAAATTCATACATGACACTTCCAAAAGGAGCACCGACTGCAAGGAAAACAGTGATGATCAGTGCTCCGTCAGTGTTGGAAAAAGCAACCATAGAAACAGAAAGAGGTTTATAGCAGTGGGGAACCCTTCTCACCCCCAAGGGGAGCATTCAATTGAAATATTGAATTGAAATACTTTATTGTCACTTGTACAACTTGTATACAGTGAGATTACACGAGGACCCCCCACTCAGACCTCTTAGTCTTAATTAACCTCGTTTACTGATGCACACCCACCAAACCTGAAAGTCAGTTGCCCTGTTGTTATATTTTCATTCAGCAGCCTAACAGCCCATGGATAGAAGCTGCTCTTTACCCTGTTGGTGCGACTAATCGTGCTTCTATATCTTCTGCCTGAGGGCAGGAGATCAAGAAAGTGCCGGCTAGGGTGTGAATCATCCCTGAGAATTTTCCTCGCTCTCCTGAGGCAACGTTCTTCCGCTATTTCATCCAGCGGATTCACGGGACGGCCCATAATATCTTGTGCTGTATTCAACACCCTCTGTAGGCACTTCCTATCAGATGATGTCAAACCAGCATACCACACTGTGATGCAGTATGAAAGGACACCTTCTATTGTTGACTGGTAGAAGATCATCAAATGTTGATTGACATCGTTCTTCCGCAATACTCTGAAGAGATGGAGTCTCTGCTGGGCTTTCTTAACCACCTGGGTTGTATTTATTTTCCAAGTAAGGTCTTTGTGAAGTGTGGTGGTCTTCACTGAGATAAACTCCATTCCTCAAGTGGCCAGTAGCCAGCAGAGCCAGAGGAAAACTGGGTGAAGCAGCAAATGTGAATGTTGGCATTGTACAGTAGGCTAGTTTCTACGCAGAAGCAAACACCGCGCTCTGCTCTCCATGCAGATCAAAGGTAGAGGCATGAGCCGAGTTCAAGAACACACTTCAGCCAGGCAAAACTGCCAAAAAGGGGCATGAAACAGGGGCAGTGTATCTGGTATGGCCTGAGGAGATTCCCGAGGCTTGGATGGCTGCATTTGGTCTTCAGAGTCCGAGGTTCCATATTCCTGCCTCTGAGGATCAGCACCTGATTCCTCCAAGGCTTCAGAATGAAGGTGAAGGTAAAGGGACCCCTGACCATTAGGTCCAGTCATGGCCGACTCTGGGGTTCCGGCGCTCATCTCGCTTTATTGGCCGAGGGAGCCGGCATACAGCTTCCGGGTCATGTGGCCAGCATGACTAAGCTGCTTCTGGCGAACCAGAGCAGCGCACGGAAACGCTGTTTACCTTCCCGCTGGAGCGGTACCTATTTATCTACTTGCACTTTGACGTGCTTTTGAACTGCTAGGTTGGCAGGAGCAGGGACTGAGCAATGGGAACTCACCCCGTCACAGGGATTCGAACCGCCGACCTTCTAATCGGCAAGTCCTAGGCTCTGTGTGGTTTAACCCACAGCACCACCCACATCCCTTCAGAATGAAGGTAGTTCGCTTCAATGGAGTGGAGGGGAGAAAGTTTGCTAGCATGATTGGACAAATCATTTTTATTCTTTATGATCTCCCATTTATTAATACTGTTACTGTTCATACAGAGGCATCAGTGCACATTTACACATTCTTACAGTGTTTCATACAGCCCCCTGCCCCAAGACATATCCCTGCGCCCAAGAGGCCTTGAGCATGAATTGGGGAAGACAAGAGGAAGAAGAGGAGGAGGAGGAAGCAGGTACTGTAAGGTGAGCAGACTGTGAGTCTATCGTTGAGACAGAGAGGAGGGGAAAGTGGGGAGATAATCGGCTAGTTTAAGCCCATGAGAGCTTATGGCACCATGGAGATTTGGAACTCCCTGCTTCTTGACATACTGTAAGGCAGACACCTTCACTAGACTCTTTTCATTACCTGCTAAAAACAATTTTGTTTAGGCAAGCCTGTTCAAACAAGTAGAATGTTGGCAAGCGTTTTAATTTGGCTTTTTGCTTATCGTTGATTTTTATTGTTTATAACAGTTTAAATACTGAAGTTGTTTTTACCTCTGTGTGTTTTCATCTCATGATTGTGTTGTTTTATTCTTTCTGTAAACCGCTTTGAGGTTTTTATTGCCATCAAGCAGAATACTGTATACAATTTGTGACATAACTAAACAACCTGCCTGGATCTAAGTGGGCATCACAAATTAGAAATAGTGGTTCAGGGGACCACAGGAATGTGATGCTTAGCAGCAGGCTAGTGGATAAACACAGCGCAGCGGACAGTGTGTGTTGGGCTTGGGTGATGAAGACTCAGAAATGAGGAGGAGCCTGTAGCTCAGCAGAGGTAGTTGGACTACAGTCTTCGTCATCCTTCATCATTGGCCATGCTGGCTGAGGCTGATGGGAGTTGGAGTCCAGCAATGCCTGATGAGTCCCAGGTCTAATTAGACGGGATAATGGAAGCTGAGCAAAGGAAAGACTGAAGCAGTATAGAGAGGCAATCCACCAGCATAAGTTCTGACGTTTCTACCTGTTTGCTGTGGATGTGAAGGATTACTCACCCAGCACTCCCAAAGCCAGGCCCCCCAAGGCTATTCCCATGGCATTTCCCCTCTCGTAGTCATCCGTGTACACACTTGCTAGCATCCCCAGACCTGCAAACAGAGAGAATAAAGCCACTGTGGTGAAGTGGTAAGCGTGTTGGGCTACAACTTAGGAGCCCAGGGTTCAAATCTCCACTCATCTGTGAAGCTCCCTGTGTGACCTTGGGCCAATCCTTGTCTTTCAGTCTAACCTACCTCACAGGATTGTTTTGAGGGCAAAAAGGGAAGCAGGAGAGCTATGCTTGAGCTCCTTGGAGGAAAGGTGGGCTATAGGTAGTGAAGAAATAAGTTTTGAGTGTCATTCTGGACTCCTCATTTAGTAGCACAGGAGGCTGCCTTACAGAGTGCAAGGTCATTGGTCTATCTGACTATCTGGCAAGTGGGCAGTAGCGTCCGTTGGGGGTGCAGGAGGCAAGGAAGCCAGCAGCGGGTAGAGCCATAGTCAAGGGAAGCTCTTTGCAGTTTTGTCCCATCATCCATACTGAGCTCTACAAGGGCAACTCTGAGATTAAGGAGAAGGAAGTTCTCAACCAGAGGTGTGATGGCAGGAAGATGGGGTCTGGTTGAAGGTTGACAGGTTAGTGGGGCAGTGCCCTTTCCCCCCTAATGGACCAGCATCCACTGGTACCAGCTCTTTAGGGTTTTAGACAGGGTCCTAGTCCTACCCGAAGATGCTAGGGAGAGAACCTGATACCTTTTCCACACAACGCATGTGTTACAGCCCCTCCTCTATGGTGTACCTTCTAAAGTAAAAAGAAAAGGTAAAGGAACCCTGGACGGTTAAGTCCAGTCAAAGGCGATTATGGGGTTGCGGGACTCATCTCGCTTTCAGGTAGAGGGAGTCGGCGTTTGTCCACAGACAGCTTTCCACGTCATGTGGCCAGCATGACTAAACCGCTTCTGGTGCAATGGAACACTGTGATGGAAACCTGAATGCATGGAAACACCGTTTACCTTCCCACCACAGCTGTACCTATTTATCTACTTGCACTGGTGTGCTTTCACACTGCTAGTTTGGCAGGAACTGGGACAGAGAAACGGGAGCTCACCCCGTTGCGGGGATTCTACCTGCTGACCTTCCAACTGGCAAGCCCAAGAGACTCAGTGGTTTAGACCACAGCGCCACCCTCTCCAGGTAGCATGTAGCTACAGCTGCAGCCCCTCCTCTAAGGTGCACCCTCTATGCACACAGGGACTGGGCTGGTGTCTGCTGGCACCCCAGGATATAATCGTAGCAGCACTGCTGGTAAGACTTGCCCACATATTTACCTGCAACAGACGAACAGGCAGAGCCAACGCCTTGGAGCGCTCGGGCGATGAACAGCAAAGTGTAGGTACTCGAGAACGCAAACACTAAGAGAAGGAAATAGATGTGCCCAGTTGTAACAGTGGCATAGTCAGGTTATTGGTTTGATGTTTGTGAAGTGCTTTAAACCCTCTGCAGCAGAGATGGGGAACATTCTCTCAAGGCCCGCATTCTCTTCCCAGCAACTTTCTGATGGCCATGTGCCTGTGTTGGGCGGGGCCAGAGACAAAAGTGGGCAGAGCATGTAATCTGAGGGAAGTTCTGAGGGCCAGACAAACAGGCTTGGAGGACCATGTTTGGCCCCTTGGCTTGAGGTTCCCCAGCCCTGCCCCATGATATTGCTGCTTCAGTTATTGCTATTGCATCTTATTTGTAGTCTATGTTGAGAATCCCAGGCTGAAAAGGAGGAATGTACAGTGGTACCTTGGGTTACTAACGCTTCAGGTTACAGACTCCGCTAACCCAGAAATAGTACCTCGGGTTAAGAATTTTACTTCAAGATGAGAACAGAAATCGCGCGGCAGCGGGAGGCCCCATTAGCTAAAGTGGTACCTCAGGTTAAGAACAGTTTCAGGTTAAGAATGGATCTCCGGAACGAGTTAAGTTCTTAACCAGAGGTACCACTGTAATTATAACAGCAGCAGTTATCAATACCTCTAATTCCTTCAGCCCTCCAGATGTCGCTGAACTACAACTCCTGTCAACACCAGCAAGCATTGACAAAGGTGAGGGATGATGGGAGTTGTAGTTCATGAACACCTGGAGGGCCCAAGATTCTCCACGCCTGCTCTAATAGCAAACACAGATGGTGAGTGCTGACAGGATTTGAGCCAAAATAGGGCTTGAGAAACAAGAGGGCTGTGGTTTGCAGAAGCACAACAAACATATATAAGAATGTAAATGTCTAAGGGAAGACTGAGAAATAAAACAGCCCAGTGGCGTAGCGTGGGGGGTGCAGGGGGGGCCGGCCGTACCGGGCGCAACATCTGGGGGGGGGCGCGCTCGCACGCGCAGCTCTCTGCCCCTACCTGGCTCACTCACACTCTCTCAGCGCTGTCACAGATTTCGCAAAAAATTCGCTATTGTCACACGGATCCTCCTCCTAGCCAATCAGGAAGTGGGATCCACTTCCTCATTGACCAAAAGGCAAATGCATGCAATTGGCTGAGCTGCCGAGCAGGAGGCGGGAGGACTCGAGGAGACGCGGGGAACTGAGTAGAAGCTGCCGCTGCAGGTAAGTCTCTCTGCATTGAAAGGGGGCACGCTGGTCATTCTGCATGTTGAGCTGACCAGATGGATTGAAGTTTGGTTGGTTCAACAGTGACGAGACAGATTTCGATCCATATGTAGCTGCTCCAGCTCAACATAAGTTGATGTAAGCCAGTGGGTCTAGCAACCTTTAATTTATTTATTTATTTTGCTGAAAGAGTAAGGCAATAGGCATGAAGGTGAATAAACATTATGTTAAGAGTAAAGAAATGGTTATACAATGAAGGGGTGCTAAAAGTACAGCAAGGCAAGAAAGTGATTTTCTTTTTTTTCTTTTTTTAGAATTTTAGCAGAATACTGCACCTATATCATGCCATACAAAAAAGAATCTGGTGCACAAGGCAGATGTGAGATGGTGCACAAGGCAGATGTCCATTGAGAGAGACTTTAATGTAGATTTCAATTCTGTTGTTGAAAAATTTGCGCTAATTAAAAGCAGGTGAATTTAAATTAATCTGTATATACAGATTGATATCTTGCACTTCTACTAAAGAATTACAATTAGAGGTACAGGATTGAGGAAGTTGGCTCCATCTAGCCCAGTCTTGGATCATCTCCAGGGTATGGTTCCAGTTTGATGTTTAGTTTTTGTTCTTGATATTTTTTGTCGTTTACGATGGTTGTGAGACGACATATAATAGCATGGCCCATGCTAGGTTACTACATTTGTAAATTTGTATTCATAGACCTGCTGAAAATGTGGAGAATGTGTAATGCATGTTCGCACTCAATGAAGTGTTTGAAAGTAAACTTGTATTTAGACGCATTTTACTTTAATTACATCAGTATTTTCATAACAAACAATACATGTGCTTAGGGGGTAAGGGTTTCTTTAACTAATCTAGTGGAAGAGACTCGAGTGCTAAAATCCACGGGTTAGGGGGCGCAAATTACTTGCCTTGCCCCGGGTGCTGACAACCCACGCTACGCCACTGAAACAGCCCAATGAGGACTGGTGGGAAGGGAGGAGGAGAATGGAATATTCTGGAGGATGGCATGGCAGGTGAGTCGATGACCTCCACTTGCAGCATTCTGATTATGGGGTGAGCATGAGAATAAATACTGCAGCATTTTGTTACAGGCCTGACTTGTAATAAAGGTTGCAATGTTCTGTAGATTAATTGGTCAGTTTAAAAACTTTTAATCCACGAAAAAGGTGTCCTGATTAATTCAGGCAGCTATTTTTTATTATTTAAAAATGCTTTTAACACACAAGCTTATAAAATCTGCAGATGGCAAATAACATCACAAAAGAGGTATTTCTCCCCCTTTTCCTCACATAGTAGAAAATGCTTTTTTCCTACATGGATGCCCACTAGGACGCACGTGTGGATCCTCTAAGAACAATAACAACAAAAAGCACCCTGCTTGCTTAAAAAAATATTACTTTTACTCATAGGCAAATTTCACAATCTCGTAGACAAGATTGTTGGCTATTTGCAGTATGGTAGCGCTGCAGAGAGCTTGCTGGGGAGACCATGCATTAAAAAGGGACTCAAAAAGTAACTTAAACAAGGTTTTAATAAGAAAAACAAAAACTCCTTATACACTAAATACATCAACAAACCAACATGACCCAACCACCAACCCATCCCCCAGGGTAATGGGAGAGCTAGGTGCTGCTCCTTATATACTACACCCAATTGCCAACACAGCTTAATCAATACAACTCAGCAGCACCTGCTATGTTTCACAGCTGTAAAGCTGGGTCTCATTATCTTGCTCCGGCCCTTGCTCTGGCCCCTTAAAGACATACACATCGGGTGGAACAGTGATGAACCTTTACATTTAAAGAAACCATTCAACAAAGATACCTGAAGGCCAGGTATGAGGTGCAGGATACTTACAAAGGGTGGATAGGAACATGATGACAAATCCAAGAAACATGGGGATATGGTATCCTATCCTGCAGGGAGAGAAGACATAAGGGTTTGCACTCACTGTTAAGCACACACTTATTCCCCAGACCAGAGAATGTGTCTGTGGAATGGGTTCTGTTTGCAGAATCCTTTGTCCAGAGAAGGTCCACCTCTTTCTGACTTAGCCATCCTTTTGGCACCGAGCAGTTGGGCAGCACCACTGACTGGATATTTTTACTCTATGTCTTTCACAGAGTTAAAAAGCAACACGATAGCATAGAATTGTACATGGTATGGAAACTGGGTAGAGAAGAGTTTTCTCCTTCTCTCACAGCACTAGAACTTGTAGGCATCCAATGAAGATGATTGCTGGCAGATTCAGGACAGGCAAAAGAAAGTTCTTCACAAAGCGTATACAGTGGTACCTTGGTTCTCAAAACGCCTTGGTACTCAAACAACTTGGAACCCAACTACTGCAAACCCGGAAGTAAGTGTTCTGGTCTGCGAACTTTTTTTGGAAGCCGAACATGCTCCATTTTGAGCGTTACGCTTCTGATTCGAGTGCCACACTTCCATTTTGAGTGTTAGGCTGCGGTCTGTCTGTTTTTGCTATTTATTTTGCGTTTTTGTTTTTGTGACTGTGTGGAACCAGTTCAGCTACTGACTGATTGATTGACTGATTGATTGATTGTGTGACTGCAGTACATTGTTTATTGCTTTCATTTTATGGATCAATGGTCTCATTAAATAGTAAAATCCATGTTACAAATCTGTTTTAGGGGTTGTTTTTAAAAGTTTGGAACAGATTAATCCATTTTGCATTACTTTTTATAGGAAAGCGTGCCTTGGTTTTGGAACACTTTGGTTTTGGAACGGACTTCCGGAACGGATTGAGAACCAAGGTACCACTGTAGTTAAGCTATGGAATTCACTCTTGCAGGAAGCAGTGATGGCCACAACTTGGAGGGCTTTAAAAAAGGATTAGGCAAATTCGTGGAGGATAAAGCTATCAGTAGCTACAAGGCAGGATCCCTGTGCTCTGTCCCCACAGTAAGAGGCAGACATGCTTCTGGAAACCTTAGGAGAGAATAATTCTCTTCTGTTCAGGTTCTACAGGTCAGTTGGCTGCTGCTAGAACAGGATGCTGGAGAAAAAGTGGGCCACTGGCCTGATCCAGCAGGCTCTTACGTTCATAGGTTAATGTATATTCATTACAGAATTTTATTTTGCAGTCACATCCACATCATGCATCCACAAAGCACACGATAATCCTGGGAACTGTAGTTTGCTAAGGGTGCTGGGAAATGTAGCTTTGTGAGGGCTAAACTACTGTCCCAATAATTCTTTGAGAAAATTTAATAATATAATATAATAGTAATAATAGTAATAATGATAGAAGTAAAAAAGGTAAAGATAAAGGACCCCTGACAGTTAAGTCCAGTCGCAGACGACTCTGGGGTTGCGGTGCTCATCTCACATTACAGGCCAAGGGAGCCAGCATTTGTCTGCAGACAGTTTTTCTGGGTCATGTGGCCAGCAAGACTAATCAGCTTCTGGCACAATGGAATACCGAAACCAGAGCAGCGCACTGAAACGCCGTTTACCTTCCCACCAGAGCGGTACCTATTTATCTACTTGCATTTTGGGGCATGCTTTTGAACTGCTAGGTTGGCAGGAGCAGGGACCGAGCAAAAGGAGCTCACCCCATCACAGGGATTCGAACCGCTGACCTTCTGATTGGCAAGCCCAAGAGGCTCAGTGGTTTAGACCACAGTGCCACCCACGTCTCATGATAGTAGTAATAGTTAAAAATGCATATATATTTTTTAAAAAAGAAAGAAAAGAACTCTGGAGCAAGAAAATAATCAGAATAGCTCTTCAATTTACTGTGAATTGTAAACAATGTATTGTTTAAGGTAACTTCAATAAATAAACAGCAGAATAATAATGATGATGATGATGATGTGCTTTAAATCAGGGGCAGAGGAAGGGGGGGTGCGGTGGGGGTGGGTCGCCCTGGGTGTCACCACTGAGGGGAGTGACAAAATGCTGGGTGCACTCACCGCGGGGCCTGCAGTGCGCCCAAGCCACGCATCTCTCCTGGGAGTGACACGGTGGCTTGGGAGCCCACAGGCTCCGCACAGCCCCAAAGGGTTCGCCTGCCGCCTCCCCCGCAGCTGTAGGACGGCTGAGTGGAAGGAGGCAGGCAGACTCTTCAGAGGCCCCGCGGTGCGCGCCACCCCAGGCGCCTGAGCGGTTTCCTCCTCTGCTGCTTTAAATGTATGTTGTGGGTGTGACCATCTTCTGAAGTGCTTTGGGAATTTTTGTTGTGGCATGTGATCCATGTATTAAGTAAACCTAAATGACAAGTGTGCAAAATTCCAGCAAGAGAGAAGGCTGCCACCAGCACCCTTGGGCAAGTGCCGCAGCTCCGTCTACCCTCAAAGAGACCACCAGTGATGACACCTGTCATGTCTCTCCCTTAGATGAGGCAACAGGCACCACTGAATATTTCCCAGAATGCCCCAAAATGCCCAGCATAGTGCCACTCTATGATATTGCAGAAAATTTAAATGGAGCCTGGACTGATAGTTTGTCAGCACGCACCACAACGTTGCATACTTTGGGGCAGGGTGGAAAATTTAAAGTAGGAGCTCATAGCACCCCACTACTCCCCACCTCCTGACACTGAATAACCCAAAAGCCACGAGCCCAGCAAATTTAGTGGGGCACCACAGAGGACATTTTGCTGAGGGAGCTCTCAGATCAGTGTGTGAAATAACTCCCTCAGCCCCCAGTGCTATAGTTTGCTTGGCACCTTTGCAATTCTGTTTGTGACAGGGAGCTGCTGTCTGTGGTTCCTTGCGTACACAAAATAAGGGGAATAACACCCTTTTTGGTTTTGTTTTTTTCACGAAGAAACATACCTGTTGGTTAAAGGTCCCACAAATGGGTTGACTAAGAGCTGCACCGTGGCTTTCGAGGCAAAGAGCAGCCCAACGCGAACGTTCTCTTTGGACAGAAAGTCCACCCCATCTGTACAACTGTTACTCAGCAGCAAAGTGGTCGTGGGAAGGTGAGGGACAAGATTTCTGTCTTGGGTCTCGTTTGCGTGGACCACAGGGGGATGAGCATGAGAGTCCAAGGTGAGCACTGTGGTTTCATCATCTGGAGAGAGCCCTGAAGTGTAGGGAGCTGTCGAGGAGAGGGCAGCAGTCATCATCACTGTGGTCTGAAGAGAAGAGTGGTTTGCGCTTTTGTAGGTGGCAAACAGGAAGGAAGGAATGATCGGCACTGCAAGGAAGTCCATCGAGAGGTTAGATATTGCACTTCTAGTGGGCAAGACACAAAGCAGAGCAGCCGGATAAGAAGACAGGCATGAAGCAAGCTCCTCCCATAGAGACGTCCCATTCAACCCTTCTCTCGGTCCCATCAACATCAGAAGCGTGGCTGGTGGTGACCCGAGAGAGAGCCTTTCCTGTGGCTGCTCTCATATTGCAGAATTCCCTCCCAAGAGATACGAGGTGGGTTCTCTCTTTGTTATTCTCCCATTGGCAGGCTAATACCTTACTATTCAGGCCTCTGAAAACTAAGGCACAGGTGGTGCTAATGACCAGGCTTGCTGCCAGGGCAAACTGTAATTTAACGTCGGTTCTAATCTGTGTTTGGATGTATTTTAACTCTTGTTTTTAACTAGTTTGTTTCTATTACTTTGTATTTTATAACGTTGTTTTTAAGTGTTGTAAGCTTCCTTGAATCAAAACTTATGAGAAAGTCTCAATATAACAACAACAACAACAACAATAATAATAATAATTGCAATATAATACAATAACCAGAGGACTGTTTGATAGGAAGCAGACATGCTGCTATTGTGACTCTAAGGGATGGGTGGGGGACCACATTCACCTCCCAGTGAGGATCAGCAATAAAACTGCTTTGCAAAGCTAAGCAGGGTACGGTGTGGTTTCAAACAGAATGAGGACCACTTATTGAGATTCCTGCATTGCAGAGGGTTGGACTAGATGACCCTCGGGGTCCCTTCCAACTCTATGATTCTAGGCAACCACTCAAGGGTCACTTGCCAGAGATAAAAGTGGGAGATTTAAATGGTGCCATCCAACTGACTGCAGGAATGGAGCCAAGTGAGCTCAATGGCCGTATTATGGGAGGGAGATTACTGGAGGAGGTCAGCTGCAAGATGCTGGCCTGGATCCAGCCCTGTCTGTCAGCATTAACACAGCTCAGAGGAGAGAGAAGACAAAGCAATGTGCCACCTACCCACAACTGTCAGCAGCATGTTGTCAACCAGCAGGGCAACAAACACAACCAGCAGCACTAACTTCCGGGATTCCCTCCCCTCCTTTAACCAGCTCCGCGGGGCACAATCCATTGGCAACCTTGGGGAAAGCAGCGCCATCAGCTTCAAGGTGCACTTCTTCGCCTGCTTCTCAGGGCTCTCAGTCCCCAGGTAGCTGTAAGAGGGGGGAAATGTTGCAAAACCTCTATCCAAATGCTTGGGCTTCGGAAGACCAACCAGGAGGATAAGTTTCCAGTGCTCAAAAAGCACTTGCTGTATAACGGGTTTCCATGCTCATATTTATTCATCTTTCAATTTGGGGTGGTTTATTTGCAAATATAAAGTAAAGGGTAAAGGGACCCCTGACCATTAGGTCCAGTCGTGGCCGACTCTGGGGTTGCGGCGCTCATCTCGCTTTATTGGACAACGGAGCCGGTGTACAGCTTCCAGGTCATGTGGCCAGCATGACTAAGCCACTTCTGGTGAACCAGAGCAGCGCACAGAAACACCGTTTACCTTCCCGCTGGAACGGTACCTATTTATTTACTTGCACTTTGACGTGCTTTCAAACTGCTAGGTTGGCAGGAGCAGGGACTGAGCAACAGGAGCTCACCCCATTGCGGGGATTCGAACTGCCGACCTTCTGATCGGCAAGTCCTAGGCTCTGTGGTTTAACCCACAGTGCCACCCGCATCCCATTTGCAAATATAAGAGTCCATAAAAAGAGTGTCGGACTAAGTCGCATTGATTTCAAAGCCTAAACGCTAGGAAACCTTTTTCAGCCTGAGGACCACATTTCCTCCTGAGCTAGCTTCTGGGGTAAAAATGGGTGGAGCAATGGAAGCGAACGTTATCTTCATGCAGTAGACTGGTTTCTACACACACACACACACACTCTTTGCATGCAGAGAGTCCCATTCTGCATCCAGGCTAGCAAGAAGCCTTATCAGAGGAAACCTGCCAGCCAGGCAAAAATGTCAAGGAAGGTGCATAGCAGGGTCAGTGTGGGGGCATGGCCTTCAGAGAGGGGTGTGTAGCCTGGGGAAAGGACCAGACATAAAGGACTGGAGGGCTACCTTCAAAGTTTCAAGGTGTTTATTGGCTCCAGACTCGAGACAAAGCTAAACTCTACTTTCTACTACATACAATTCTCCTGGTCTTCGAAGTAAAGATGCATATGTACAGATAGATCTGCTAACACTACCGACATGCTAGCTAACGCTGCTGTATGAAACCCACAGCTTCTTTCCCCGACTCTCACAGATTCAGAGTCAGACCATGACACACAAAGAGGGCAGCCTCAGGACATGATGAAAGAGACTATTACACCCATCTCTCTATGCACAGACATATCCCCTGAACTAATGGGAGGGCAATGGCTCAGCAAGTCATGCAGTCAACCTCGCTGGTGTTGCTATGGCAACCCAGTGCACCTGGCACCCTTGCCTCAGAGCCTCCAGACGTGGGGGATGTGCTCCTCAAGATATGAGACCAAGCACTGTGCAATTTAACCCATTGTTCACATTGCACCAACAAGGCTGCAATCCAGGGGTAGGCAGCTCTTTTGCCACCATACAGTGGATGGGCAATTGGGACTGCGGGCCAGAGGATGTGGCAGTCAGTAGCTGGTGATGGGTGGAACCTGGGCTCATTCACACATACATTCACTGGGAAGATGGGCCCAGGGAGAGAACTAAAAGGCAGAACCAAGTTTTGTGAATGTTTTCATGGGCAGAATGCACCCCCCTTCCCAGTACTTTTCCATCCAAGGGGCACTGAATTGTCTGTTGAAGTGGGGGAGGAAAATTTAATCAAGGAAATGGCTGTGATGGCTGCTGAGAAAGAAAGCCCAGACAGAAAAAGAAAAAGAAAAATGGCACTTGTGGTAGTAGACATGGGGAAACAAAACCAGACAAAGGTATTGTCTGTTGGGTAGTGGGTGTACACCCCAAAGCCCTGCTTTAGCTGAAAGCTTTTTGAGAGTAATTGGTTGCAGTGCTATTCTCCATAGCAAACTAGTGGATTTTAAAAATCTGTTTATCTGTTTTTTCTATCTTTCTCGATAGGTAGGTAGATGTTTTATATATTTTTACATTAAAATGGAAAATCAAGCTTAGAACAAAATCATCACAGAATACAGGCATGAAAGCAGAGGCAAAGGGGGGGGGCAGAGACATCAGTAATACATTTCAGACTTATAATAGCATAGAAATTATAACAAGTCTATAAAAGTTAAAAGACCATTAACATGGATAACCCTTATTTTCCAGGGGGATGAGCTGCATTCCCAATGAACCTTTGTTTGTAAAGTTGTGCATATATTCCTATTTCATTGTATTATCCACAGCAATTTTTCATGTTCAGAGTATCCTCCTTTTTTGGCTTCATCAATCAACACAGCAGAACTTTTTAATATCCAAACACCAGCTATTTTTATCCCCTGTTCAATTTATCTGTCAAAGATATCCATCTATTGCTTCAAACTGATTACAGTCTTATGAAAAGACTTCTGGGGGGCAAAACCTCATTGCTTTATTTCATATTTTAAAAAATAACAATGAGTGGATATTTATTATTGCTGCTTTGTCCTGGTAGTCTTCATTGCAATGTGGGATGCTTTCCGACTCATTTTTGGACAGTTGATATTTTGCTGTTAGGGTTCAGTTTCACACCAGGAAATTCAGGATGCAAAATTAAAGTTGATTTGGCACTGTTGTGCAACAAACCCACTTTCACATGCACACATAAATCAGACTTTTGTAGTAAGTGACAGGAAGATGTATGGAAAAGTGTGGGATAATAATTGCTTGATATGGCATCAGATAGCCTCCCCCACAAACAAATTAGAATGACTGCTCGATAAATATCCATTATCATAAAATCTGCTCGCAGATTTTGTGCAAAAAAATGCTCAATAAACAGGTTATCTAGAAGTAACTCTGAAATCTTTTTAGCACCTAGCAGAGTCAAATGTAATTAAATCTGTACAATTCTTCCTGAACTCCATTATAAAGACTCTAATAAACTGTAGCCTCTGGGGCTTGAACATCATATTATACTTTTTCCTCCTGCTGCACCTTGTTTTGATTAACATCGAGTGCAAAGAAGAGTCCAGGAGAACTCACAGCCTTGCCTGATATTTCTGTGACATTTTGGTAGTCCCTTTAAAGGTTATTTCCTATTGTATCTTTTAGGTTCTTTTTCTAATGGAGCAGCGCATCTAAGCTACCTGTATCTTTTTAAAAAAATGAAAACAGTGTTCCGGTTTAAGGAACCATATGATTATCCAAATAGCATGTAACTTTCTAGTCATTTTATGTCAAGAGGTCCTTCTCACTGAATTCAGTGGGCTTAATCACTAGTAATCAAGCTTCAGATTACAGTCTAAATCATCTGCCTGCCTGTCTTTCCTGCTATCAAAGATAGGATTTGAAACTCTAGTTCCCTGCATCCGTCTCCAACTTGTTGCCCAGAAGTAAGAAATGGAGAGTCCTTTTCCTTACCATTGTCGAGTGCATCACAGTCCACTCCTCTCCATGGTGCTGATGGCGGCACAGTGCTTTGAAAGTGTCCTTCCTGGTAAATTTATTAAAGCCTTTTATCTGGGGAGGATATGAGGATGCCTTGTCCAGGAAGATGCAAATGGAAGTTCAAATATGCTCCATTCAATCTGTCAGCTGCGTTTGCGTCAGAGGCAGGGGAACAGGGTGTGGACTGGAAAGGGCTGCAGAGATTATCTGCTGTACTGAGGCACCTGAAATCCACAGCTCTTTTTTTTTAATTATCAGGATTTATCTCTTAGACGCATGTGCTCTGTTGTCACAGCCCAATGAAGGTGAACAATGAAGGCCCCTTCTCCATGCGATAAAGGGTTGTTGCTCACCTTCAAAGGACTCCATCACTTTTCCCAATACAGGCTTCCTCCTCTAGGTCTCCCATCAGAATATTCCCAGCAAGATCACTGAACTGAAGGGAGCTGGGAGGTATTCCAACCTATCCCCTTTTTTTCTGAGACACCATCCATCAGCTCAAACCCACTTCTGACAGAGAAGCCCATATACTGGAAGATGGCAATATCCAAGCAACAAGGTGGCCCAGAAAAAGTGCCATTTAGGGCCAAAAAGGAGAGTCCTGAAGTCTTCAAGTCCAGCTCAACAGCACACATAGACACATCACCTCTAAGGATGGGAGAATTGATGTTTTTAGTTTCTCTCAGTTTCTCATTTTCCTATCTTACTTTGTATTATTTATAAAGTCCTCATGGAAATTCATCAGCAGTTTAGCGCAAATTTCTCCTAATATATACATTGCATTGTTTCAGAAAGTGAAGATTGATGGGTTTGCCTTTAAATGCAAACAACCAGACTTCTCCCCTATCTCCAATGTGACCTCTCTCACCCATTGATACGGAAGGGGGGGGCATGTCTTCTTCTTCACCTTCTTCTTCGCTACAATATATCCATTTATTTCCAATTGCCAATGTCAAAAGGGACTAAAATCTATAAAATTCATAGAAAATCAACGTGCCAATTTGCTCAATTTCTCTAGGACTCCATGACACCTCCCCTGTCCTCCATAATCCCTCAAGCAAGGTGTCAAGACCCTAATCCTGTCAAATCGCTCTGCCAAGCCCTTCCTCCGGGCGATGCCAGTTGACAGACTATGCATACATGGACCATTGTCTTCTCAGGATGTGCTTATCTGCGCATATCTCCAGCTCTGCATATTCCCCCCTCCCTCCTCCATATGTTAATCCGGTGTAACCCAACCTCTTCCTAATGTATTCGTGATGTAATCTGTGTAACCCAACCTCTTCTTAATGTATTCATGATGTAACTGGGATGTATTTTGCACTGTATTCTGGGACATGGAGGGAAATTTCAAAAGTTCATGTCACCCCTTTCTCGCTGTTCAATCTCGCCTTGAACCTGTTGCGCAATAAACTTGGATCTTCTGCAGTTTGCTCCTGTCTCCGGCTGAGCTCATTTTCTTCCGCAGGGACCCGCGGACTTAGTCCGACGAGCTGGGTGGCAGAGTAGCCTCACACTCAGATTTTACCGTAACACCCATGTACTCAGGGCCAGTCCTACCATTAGGCAAAGTGATGTGATTGTCTCAGGCAGTCGATGCAAGAGGGTAGCAGCAGCCTCTGGGTGTTCCTTCTAAGCCCTTCTGGCCAGTGGCATTGGAAGGGGGTGCGGGAGGTGCAGTCTGCCCCGGGTGTCATCAGTGAGGGGGGTGACAAAATAGCCAACCAGCTGGGAGGCGGGGACACCACTTCCCCAGTGCCAGCACTCAGCTCCGAGCGCACTGTGCACCCGCTTCCCGGCACTACCATCCTGAACTGGGAGCTGGCACCGGCTTTGGGGAGCTGTGGGGAGGCGGGGGAAAGCCTGACCATCCCACTGGAGATGTGGGGCGGGGGCGAACTTGGAAGCAGAACCTTCTGCAGGAAAACACAACATGCACAAACAGGCGCCTTGCAGCAGCGAGTGTCTTTCAAAACACAAGCAAAGCAACCAAGCCAGGTGACTTTCATTTATGCCATGTCCCCACGCCAAGCAGCCTTGCAAGGCTCGGATCTGGGGAGGGGGCTGCCAGAAGGGCGCAACAGCCTCCGCTTTGGGCTGGGGTTGCTCCAGTGGGGGGGGGGTTGGCTGCACGATGCCTTTGTTCTCTGCTGCTTGCCCCGCCCCCTCCCGTCCCAGGTGTGTTGGAGTCATGCTCCGCCGTTGCTTCTGGCCACAGCCCTTTGTGGGAGGACAGAGTTTTGGATGGTGTATGGCCTGTCCTGACCCACTGAAATTAATGAACAATCATTTCCATTGATTTCAATGGCACTACTCTGAGTAAAACTTAGTTGAATACCACCCATGATGCTGCTCATTACTAGTTAAGTAGCACACACAAAAAACACTCGGTTCTGGTGAAACACTGTCATTTTCCCATACTTAGATCACAGTACCAACAGTTGATGTCACATTTTCTCCAGTGAGAAATATTACTTTCTGAGAGTTTTGAAAATGCAATATCCCCACAGTGAGAATGCAATATCCTGCAGTGCGGTGGAGAAAGAGATGTGCCCACAGTGCAAAAGATGATAGACAAATATGTATACATATTGCTTAGCAAATTAATGGTTGCCAAAGGACCCAAGTCTCTACTCTTCTGAAGGAATAAATAAATAGCAACATTTATCTTGCGCAAGAATTGTCTGCGTGAACCATAACAAGGGCAGTAGCCTGTAACTGTTATCTCCCACTGCAGCCTTTATTACTCAAATATTGGATTAGATACCAATCACAACTGGATGATAAGCCTCCGGAGAACAAACAACTACTATAATTGGAGCAGCTTCTAAAAACACTGTACTTTGAAGGCTGCATTCTATCTGCCATTGTGAAAGGCTGAGTTGGGGGGAATTAAGTAAAGCAGGTAGGATCATTTGCAAAATAGGGGTGCACTAAAAGTATTGTATTGTTTGGTAGGGTATAGAAGCTGGAATTCTCTCCTTGAGAAGTCTGCATGGTGGGTGAATTCAAGAGCATTGTGGGGAGGAAAGAGGACCAAAATCACTGTTTGCATCATTAAAGTTTCTTCCTGTATGCTTTGGTGGATATGGTTACATCAATCTTGTAAGCCAATATTACTGTTACCATATCTATGACTACAAAATTACACTGTGTGTTTTGTACTTATGCTGGTTTTTTATGTTGCTGCCAAAAATGGTAATAAATAAAGTGGGGGGGGGGCGGCGGAACAGGCATCCAAGGATGAAGATCTAATATGAGAGACGTCATAGCTCAAGACTTCCTGGCACACATGCCCTTTGACGTGGAAGCTCTTCAAATAAATCTATGCCACCTTAATAACATTCACATACAGAACATGTAGCTCAAGCTAGAATTGGGTGTGCCCTTTAGTGTTATGTGTCAAAGCACTTGCCAAAGCAGTCAGAAACTATATTGGGGTCAATAGCACATATCACAAAAACTGTTTCTTCAAATTCTTCACCCTGTTCCCAAGCAGTGAGGGAATTTCACTCAATATTCTCCAGGGAGTATCGCATGTGAAGGGCATATCTTTAGCAAACAATATTGGGGTCAATAGGACACATTCCTACTCTCTGCTGCATGGATGGGGTATCTGTGTGGCCAGGGTCCAGAACGATGGGAGTTGTAGTCCAACAACATCAGGTGAGTCACATGTTCCCCATCCCTTTTGTACGAGATTCAGAACCTTTCAATGGTTGCAGTTGAAACTGGAGGAGAGCAAAAAATCCAAACACATTTTCCCAAAATCTTCACCCTGTTCCCAAGCAGGTTGTTGTTGTTGTTGTTGTTGTTGTTGTTGTTGTTGTTGTTGTAATATCATTTATATCCCACCCATCTGGGAAACTTTTAATGTTTAATAGGTTATTGTATTTTAGTGTTTTGTTGGAAGCCGCCCAGAGTGGCTGGGGAAACCCAGCCAGATGGGTGGGGTATAAATAAATTATTATTATTATTATTATTATTATTAGGGGGAATTGCGCTCAATATTCTGCAGAGGTGACAAAGATTCTTGCATGGGAAGAGCTCCTCTTTAGCAAATGTAGTACACTGCAGTACTCTGGTCAGTGACTGAAACAAATTGATGGAGTCACTGATTGATTGATTGATTGATTGATTGATTCAGCAGAGTGGAGCTAGCACACTGCACATGCTCAGGAGCACTGCCAAGCTCTATGATAATATATGATATGTATATATATTCAGGTCCAGGGTTTAGATCCCAGGCGCTCCCCGTGGAGCTCTGGCTGAAAACAGATCCCCCTTCTCCCCTCCCGCCTCCGCTCAGCACCCTGGCCAGCTCCTTCTCCCTCCCGCTACTTCCGGGTTCTCCCCGCCGGCTCGCGGGAGGGGCGGGGCCGGAGAAGGAGGGAGGGAGGGAGGGAGGGCAGAGCCCGGCGAGCAGTGCCTATATGAGCGCCTGCGCAGTAGCGCTGCGGGCCATTCGAGGGATGGTGAACGGAGTCGTGCCCGAGCTCAGTGAGTAGCGGCACCGGGAGGCAGGTGGGGAGAAGGGAGGGGGAACCGGTGCCTTCCGGCTATGATCTCGTAAATAGATGTGTGCATTTATGGAATTTTTAATTGCACATTAGTATCCAGTTATTATGAATAATAAGGTAATGGTAAAGGAGCCCTGGACGGATTAAGTCCAGTTAAAGGCGACCATGGGGTGCGGCGCTCATCTCACTTCAGGCGATTCCATTTTTTTACAAAAAGAAGTTGTATTGATTTCAAGAAGGAAGGAAGGGGCTGTTGCAGAAAACTCAGCTTTCTTGCCACCCCCGGCCCCTTAAAATAAAACTTTCTCATTGTGGGTTGGGGGGTAAGGGGCTTGAACTGCTTCCATGTCCCTTCCCAAGATTAGCAGAATAGCAAGGGGAAGTCGTAAGCATTTTCATAATTTACAGACGGGGTACAGGTTGCAGAATTTTAGTTACCATACACAGATTTTATTTTTTTTCAAGTGGGACAGTAAGAACCCAACCTTGACTCTTGAAGGGCCGACTAGTCAAGAAAGGCTGCCCACAAGTGTACAGATTTTGTATGGTGCTGCCATTGTTCCTTTCTGGGCTTCCAGCCTTCGAAATACAGTGGTACCTCAGGTTAAGTACTTAATTTGTTCCCGAGGTGTGTTCTTAACCTGAAACTGTTCTTAACCTGAAGCTCCACTTTAGCTAAAGGGGCCTCCTGCTGCCGCTCCGCCGCTGGAGCACGATTTCTGTTCTTATCATGAAGCAAAGTTCTTAACCTGAGGTACTATTTCTGAGTTAGCGGAGTCTGTAACCTGAAGTGTATGTAACCCGAGGTACCACTGTAGAACCAACCATTTCTTTCTGTCCTCGGCAGCTGTGCAGAATCTCAACAGCTAGCTGGCAACTGTGGCAACCCAAAGCCACCTCCCTCTCCATCCGACTGCGCGGAGTGATGATTGGTTGGCCTTCCTTATGAAGCCCTTTTTCATCCCCCATCAAGCTGTAGAGTGTTGATTGGCAGGCCTTTGTGGCAGTCAGCAAACCGCACATACCTTCTTGCGCAGAGCACTGTTTCGACTTCTTCCCAAACATCCAGTTTGTTTCTTTTTAAAAAGGCGCTGAACACAGGAAGTTGCCTCCCTCTACTGGTCCGTCTAGCTCAGTATTATGAGCTCTCCTGGGTTTCAGGCCAAGAATCTTTCTCAGCCCTGCCTGGAGATGCCAGTGAAGGTTGAACCTGGGACATCCTGCAGGCAAAGCAGAGGCTATTCCGCTGAGAGCCCTTCCAATGGAATGAACCTTAACTGGATAAACATACTGTATAACTGAAGCTTGGGGTGGGCTGGGGGTAGATCAAAAGCAAGTTCAAAAGCCAGCACTTCATTCAGGGCCTGGCACGTGTTCCAAAGGAAAAGTAAAGGTTGGAGGATCAGAGAACTGGAATGGGCCCAAAGGACAATCTAGTCCAACCCTCTGCAGTGCAGAGACTGCAGGGTGAAAACACACTGGCTCTCCTTTTAATGGCTGCATTCTCTGTTTTGTGTCTGCAGAGCAATTATTATTCTGCTCACTAAATTATTGACTATGGCCAGTGAATACCCACTTTGCATAACTGCTCAACACACACACAAAACATAAATTCTGTTCGTGGGTCCATGAGATGCAGCAGTGACACACCCTTGCTTGCTTCCCACGTGGGATGTACCGGCACAACTTTTTACAAGTGGGCTTTTATTTTTAGGTTTTCCTTATCCACTTTTACCTTTTGCCCTGCTCTTTCCAGGAACTGATTTGTGCTTTAACACACCGTTTCTGAGCATGGTTTCTGCTTTGTTTTGCCCTGAGCTTTCCCCACAAAACCCCGCTCTTTAAATCTGGATCAGAGCAAATGTCAATTCGGTTTTTACTCAGATTGCTGTTTGCTTTACGACTGAGCTTTAAAGAGCAAGTTTTTGCAGGGAAAGCTCCAGAGCAAAAGGCGGGGGGTGGGGGTGGAGGTGGAGCTTTAAATCACAGACCGTTCCTGGAACGAGAGGAGGAAGGGTCATGTATATAAGCCCTTATATTGCACAGATGGACTTCGGGAAGTAAGGAACTGAACTGCCTTCTGAACTGTGACTCTGTGGAAAGAGAAATGTTTGTGTGTTAGGGTTAACTGGCTGCCAGCTAATGTAGCCAAACCAGTGCAGCAGGGCGACTGCCTTCGTACAGGGCTGCCTGCCAAACCCTACTGTCTGCTGTCCACTGTCCACATTCGTTTCTGACTCACCTCTAGTCGTCACACCCAATTTGCTGCAACTTTAAGTCTCTGTTTCCCCAAGGATAGCTCAGGGAGTGCCTGACGCTTCCTAATGTCGGCATTCAAAGTTTCTGAAACCTCAGGGAGAATGCCTGAATATGGCGAACTGAAGTTTTTCATCCAGAAGGCTCGGAGTCAGGTGACTGGAGGTGGGATGACGATGAGTGGTCTGAGGGAGAAGACTGGAAGGAGGAGGGGTTGGAAGCTGAAGGGTTAACAGGGTTTAGTAAGCAGGAAGAGAGCAGTCCAGAATCAGAGGCTGGAGAGGAGGCAGACCAAGATACATGGTGAGGCAGACTGCTGAAGAAGCCAGGGAATCTCCCCTTCCTGCTGGGACCAGCTCCACCCCCCTGGAACATACAGAGAAATGAAGAGGTCAGAGCAGAGAGGAGCCCTGTGTGCAAGCACAGTTTGTGACTGCTTGGGAAAGACCCTGGGGAGGAGGAGCCTTAGGAAGTTCTGGGAAGGCAGGGACCTCCTCGCAACTACTTTGTTGGAGCAAGACCTACTGGGAAGAGTTGCTGGGACCACTAGGCCTGTGCTGTTTCGGTTTCTCGAATAAGGAGTTAACTTCACTGACACCGTGCTTTGCTTTGATAGCTGACCTAATGCTTGACTCTAGCTCCTGACAGCTACTGCTTTTAAAACGGCAACCCTAAGAACACCACCTGCCCCACGGCATGTGCTGGTGTGGTGTCAAGGTCGAATTGCAACAGCTGCAGGTGGTGTGAAGCAGAGATGGGAACCTGCAAAGGAGTTTGTAGCCATGACCTGACAGTTGCATGCAGCTGAAGGACTAAGCAGGAGGCAGAAACAGGGAGCGGGTGAGATAGGTGTCCGGAAGGCAGATGGCAGGGACTAGAAACCTGGAAGGGTAGCTTTTCGCCACAAGGGTGCCCCTAGTTTGAATGGTGAGGCCAAATTTAGCTTGCTTTGCCTGAAAGGAAGTGAGGTGGCATCTTATCCTACCCTGCTGCATTCTGACCGCAGCAGATGGCTCAGACAGAGGAAGTGCTGTGGGACCTGGGAGTAATACACAGCAGGAAGTGAAGCAGGACTGGCTATATGGGCCACAGTGTCCCTGTCCTGGTTTCAGTTGCTATATACAAGACTTCAGCTGCACGGATGCTGTTGGCTGGCCTACTGACAGCACCTCTGAGCATGTGCAGAGCAAAGTGGACCGTGTTTTATTACTTTAAAACTTATCACATGGGAACACCCCTTCCTCAATAAATTGACAATTAATTTTAGGGAAATAGCAAGAATGCACCACTTTTCCTGGCTCTGGGAAACATGGGAGCCTATCGTTTCCCAGGGTCAGATTATTTCCCCATGTAGCTCAGCATTGCTTACTCTGCCTGGCAGTGACGTTTCTCAGTAGGAAGCAAATTTCCTTTTGCATCACCAGCTTTAAGCGCACCTCTTTTCTAGCAACCAGTGAATAAAGTGAACTTCCACCCCAAGCAGTAGAATTCTAGGCAACTGTGCAGCAGACAGGTGGGAATGTGTGTGGAAGAGTAAGATTCGGTCTCTGGTTACCCATTTGGGGGAGCAGCCTTTCATGGGCCCAGCTGCAGGCTGAAAGGGGTCGGCAGCTTTCCAACCTCCAGAATGAAAAGGCAGTCATTTTGAAGTCACCATGGGAGGCATCCAGTAGACACCTCTGTCTCTACCACCAGACTAGGCATAGCATCAACCCACATCCCCATCTAAGGAGCTGAATTGGCACCACATACATGCCTGCCACATTCATCCTCTCCCCTCTATGTTTGTTCAGTCCCTAAAGCTCTCCTAAGTGCAACAGAAACTTGTGCAGAGGTGTGTGCTGACTCAGGCCTCGCTGTATCCTTCCCACCCTGAGAACCCAGCCCACCCAACCAGCCATCTCCGCGTCACAGATTTGGGTGTGCCACAGGATTGGTTGCTGGTCTCTGTGTTTGAACCCTACCTTTTGCTGCAGGCTTGCAGTTAGTGGGCAAGTCACCCTTCCTCAGGGGCTTATGTGGCATCATCTCGGAACACTTGCTGTGCTACGCAAAGAGGACAAGTGCCAAGGAGGTTTCCTAAACTGAAGAGAATTCGTTGTCCCCGAAGGGGGCAATGACAATAAAGATATTATTATTATTATTATTATTATTATTATTATTATTATTATTATTAAAATTAGGTCTCAGACGAAGGAGTCGGCCCAGCAGCTGATAGCTTTATAGCATGGGTAGGCAAACTAAGGCTCGGGGGCTGAATCCAGCCCAATTGCCTTCTAAATCCAGCCCATGGACGGTCCGGGAATCAGCGTGTGTTTTTACATGAGCAGAATGTGTCCTTTTATTTAAAATGCATCTCTGGGTTATTTGTGGGGCATAGGAATTCGTGTGTTTTTTTCCCTTTCAAAATATAGTCCGGCCCCCCACAAGGTCTGAGGGACAGTGGACCGGGCCCCTGCTGAAAAAGTTTGCTGACCCCTGCTTTAGAGCGCTAGCTGGAAGCTGATTGGCTCCCCCTGACCTCTGCTGTGCTAGCAGCTGCAAAACACACTCTAGCCAGTGATGGTGCTGACACGCAGCAGAGCAGAAGAAGGGTGCTCAGCACTGCCTCTCCCCACAGCTGCAGATGCCAACACTGCTCCAACCAGTCGCATTTCTATTGGCAAGAACATGAAAAGAGCCCTGCAGGATCAGGCCAATGGGGACCAATTTTGTCCAGCATCCATTCTCACCTTGGAAAACCCTCCAAGCAGGACCTGAGCACACGGGCCTTCTTCCTTCTTGTGGTTTCCACCACCTGGTATTCAGAAGCATTTAGTGCCTCCCAACTGTGGAGGCAGAGCTTAGCCATCACGGCTCATAGCCACCAATAGCCATAAATTTGTCCTAACCCTCTTTGAAAGCCATCTAGGTTGGTGGTCATCACTGCCTCCCAATGGAAGCGAGTTCCAAAGTTTAGCTCTGTGCTGCACGAAGAAAAACTGTCTTTTGTCTGTCCTGAATCTTCCCACATTCAGCTTCATTTCTCTGTGCTGGCTATAATTTCACAAACTTCTAGCATGTCACCTTTGACTCAAGGCCGGCTTGTGATCTTGGAACTGAGCTGGTGGGGGTCACTTCTTCCAGGGTCAAAGGGTGGGGTAGGAGGAAAGGTCCAGAAGCCACTTGCTGCCACTTCACTGCAAACCTGCCTCCTGCTTTCTAGCTGCACACCCACACTCTTACCCAAGGCTTTCTCACGTTCCCATCCAGGTAAACCCCTCAATACCACCAACAAACCAGGAGTAACAGTGACCCACATTGCAGGGCCACAGCGTAACTACACCATAGAGACTGAGGGGGAGCCATCAAAACAGTGGCAGTTTGGAGGTGCAGCTTGGCTAGCGAGGACCGCGGTCTGCACGCCTTGCCAGGGCTCCTGGCCGGATGGACGACACCTTGAGGATCTTTGCTTGGGCCACCACTAGCGAGCCGAAGAGGATGCAGATGCAGATGCTGGTTAAGAAGGTGGATGGGCCAATGAGCAGGAAGAAAGCATAATCTTTTATGTTCAGCCAGGGCTCCCGGCAGTGAGCAAAGGACTCGTTCCCAATGGCAGCGATGGGATGTTGGGTGAGCTGTGTGGGGCGTTTGCAAGAGACAGAGTCCACCTCTGGAAAAGGGAGAGACAGAGACTCAGGGCAAGGCTGTGGTTATTGCAGCAGTTGGGGATGTTGGACCAGAGGATTGCTAACCAACAAGCACAAACCGGTTTAAGCTCTTAAGCTGCCTGACAAAGGAATTAACGTGGATTGCTTGGAGGTTGCTTCTGCTAGGACCTTTTAGGGAGACCAAGGCACCTGCTGTTCTAAAGTTAGCCAGAAAAGAAATCAAAACAGCAGTTCCATGTGGTGCATAACTTCCATAAAAATCCATCAATATGTCTTTTACATGATTAATTGCCAAACCAGAGATAGTTGTGACCCCGCCCCCCCCCCGGGTGTCTGGCCGGGAAGGAATCTAATTTAGAAATAAAGATTGTATCCAATGTTAGTCCTACTCAGAGGAGACCCGCTGAAACTAATGTACATGGCTAACTTAGGTTCATTTGTTCCGATGGGTCTGCTTTGAACTTTGTTGGATACAACCCTAAATGAACAAACAGATGGTTAGTCATTTCTAAAGGAGCTGATGGTGCTATAATAAAAGCCAGTTGCGTCCAGCTGCCCTGCTTCACCCACCACACACCATGTATTCTTTTTGGCAAGCTGCTTGGGGAAACTGAATCCTCCCCCTAAAAAAAATTGTTATGGCTCCAATTTATTTATTTGTTTTGAGAAACTGTGTTCACAGACTTGTATTGCTGGAACTTTGAAGGGCAGTGGAGATAACTGATAATAAAAATTTCAACCACTTTGAGGTTTCCTACAGTCAAGCAGTACAGTCAACTCTTATCTTACATGAGGGTTACATTTCAGGGATAGTGCATAAATCCAAAATTGTGTAGAGTCAAAACACGAGTGCTGGTGGAAGCTGGTGGAATTGTCAACATCATTTTTTCCCCCAGACACCCGTTTTTAAAAAAAGATTTAAAATATTTTTTTGCCAAGCGTATAAAGCTAAATGTGCACAAGTTAAATGTGCCTAAGTTGTGGGTCTACTGTTTATAAATTTCATGAAATAAAACAATAAATAAAGGTGATTGTTGTTGTTGTTAAAGCCACCAGCTACAGGTGAGCTTTCCAACCCCTTCCCTGTTGAGTCCTGCTCACCTGGGACTTTCTCCACGTTGTCAGTGAGCCACTGGTAGAGGGGCTGGATGGCGCAGGTGCACCCCCAGGGGTTGTTGTGCAGCCTGAGGAAGTGCAAGGAAGGCAGGTTGCTGAAGAGGTCGGGCGAGAGTGAGACAAGTGCATTGCCCTGCAGAAACAGAGACTCGAGGTGGGGCAAGGACCTGAGCAGCTCTGGCTCCAGTGTCAAGAGCTTGTTGTTCCCCAGGTTCAGCATCCTCAGCCTCGGCACGGGGAGGAAAGTATTGGGTTGCAGGACAATCAGGTAGTTCCCACTCAGGTCCAGTTCCCGCAGCTCACTAAGGCCAGCCAGGGCCTGGGGGTGGATGACCCCGAGGACGTTGCTCCGAAGGCTCAGGTGGCGCAGGGCGCCCTGGACGACAAAGGTGCGGTTCTGGAGGGTAGCAATGCGGTTGTAGTCCAGCAGGACAGTGGTGGCATTGGCTGGAAGGTCCTCCGGCACCCAGCGCAGCTTGTGTTCCATGCAGTTGATTTCCCCAGAGGTACAGCTGCAAACAGCTGGGCAGGCAGAGCAGCTGGGGGATGGGTAGAGGAGGAGGAGGAGGAGGGTGAAAGTGGCAAAGGTCTGAAGGCAACTGCAGCGGGTAAGGCTAGAGCCTGAGGGGAGGACCTGGCTTCTACCACACCAAGCCATGGAGCCTCCTCTTCATGCCCACCCTGACTCCTGGGCCAGGATTCACAGCTTGTGCCAAAAACCTCCCAACCCACCAGCCTTTCCCTGCAAAAGGAGGGCAATTCTCGGGCTCCCCTTCTTAGCAACTGCCCTTGCGAAAGTCCTGCATGCCAGCCTTGCTTCTGCCCAGCTATTAACTTGGCTGCTCTTCTGGGTGCAGCTGATGATGGGTGGAGCTTTCGCTCTTCCTTAGCAAATATTTTAACAGGGCAGCCTCGCCTGCCAAGGGGCAAAGCCACAGCTTCCTCCTTGGCCCAGCCTGTCTCCTCCAAAAGAGCCACACCAGGCTGCCCTGGGATAGCCAGCTCCCAGCTTTGCCTGGCATCACCCCTCAGCTCCTACTCTCAGGCTGCCCTGGCACATCATGCCAGGCAAGTTAACTGGTTTACTTATTAGTGTGCTTCACCCTGCCCTTCCTCCAAGGAGCTGCTCAGAGCAGCATTTCAGGCTCGCAGCAAGAAGGTCAGCCTTGAAACACAAGGCATAGTTATAGCTGAGGGGATTCACACCACAAGAGGTGGGTGACAGTCAGCTTGGATGGCTTCAGGAGAAGGACTAGGCAAATTTGAAGAGGAGGTGGAATGATGCAACAACATGCTCATGAGGCTGGAACCGGGATTCCCAAGGGCCTTGCCTATGCTTGACTCCAGCTCCTGTCAGAGAGGGACTTGGCTGTCTGCTGCAGGGGACAGGACGATGGAGGAAGTGGATGAAAACTCTGACAAAGCAGCTTTTGTTCCGCCATAAGGCGGGCCAGCTACTGGCCCATTTCCAGTTGCACAAGGGGTGCCCCATGGACTGCAGGTGCCAACAGCCATGGGGGGAGGGGGTGCTTCTGAATAGCCATTGCTGGAAGCCAAAGGAAAAGAGAGTTGCTCTTCCATGCAGGTCCTGTTGGTGGGTTTCCCATTGAGGCATGTGGCTGGCCAACCGGAGTGGAAAGGTGTCACAACTCCCTCCCTCTACAAATGGGACACCCAAATTTGCCACTTTGCCCTGAGCCCCTGCTGCTGCTGCCCATCCAGCCAGCCAGCCAAGCTCCCAATGGAAACAGGAACACTCGGGATGCAAGCCTCAAGAAGATAGGAGGGGACGACCCCCCCAAAACCTTTTATTGGCCCCTTCCCTCCCTCCTTCCTTCCTTCCTTCCTTCCTTCCTTCCTTCCTCCGGGATGCGGAAACAGCATCATGGGTATTTGGCATCATAGATGATTTTGGAGGAGTTTCCCCGGTCCCTTTCGTCTTCTGCGGTGAGGTTGAGGGAGTGCAGCACTTTGTACTGGACCATGGTGATGAGGGCCAGCTCCTCAGGATCTAGGCCGCTCATCAGGGTCACATCTGGGGGTAGAGGAAAAGAAAGCACACTGGGTGGCTGGTTCCGTACCTGCCGACTTCTCCATGCCCAGACCAACCCGAGGAGGGAGGAGGGTCCTGTGCTGGATCCCTTCCTGCCAGCACAAAGCTGTCAGCTGAAGAAGCATTTCAGCTACCCAAAGAGGGCTCCTTGCTGGGAAGTACCATCTCTGCTGAAGACCTTCCTCTTCCAACAAGACTTTCAGTTTGAGACTTTTTCCAATCTTCCTCTGCACTGGAAGCATTTAAAAATGTTTTGAAAGGTTTTTGGTAATGTTTTGTTACTCGCTGCCACCCTGGCCATCTTTCGGGGGAAAGGCAGGATATACATTTATTAAACATAAAACTAAAGAAGAGAGGCGTGGCAGGGGCAGGAGGAGGAGCTGCTGATACAAAGCACAATCCTAACTTTTAGGGCTGGTGCTCTGGAAAAAAGGAAGCAGCCAGCAACCAGTCAGACAAAACTAGCAAGGAAGTATCCCACGAGCCCTGTCAACAGGTAAGTGGCAAGGAGCTGTGCAGTTTAAGGAACTGGGCAGCAAGTGTATGGATCTGGTGTCACTGGACTTGTGCTGTACTAGTGGCCACAAGACACAGCCTGGCCACCTGCCGTGTCCCCCACCCACCCAAATAAGAGGTACCAGCTGCCAGAGGCCCCTGAGTGCTTCACCCTCTCCACATCACCAAGCCCAAATTCAACAACACTTAACATTACATCCATTGGGATCCTACTGTAAACAACAGGCCATGGACCTCTGCTCAGCTTGCCAGCACAGCCAGTAAAGTGTACAAATACACAAATCAAATAAATGAAGAAGAATGAAGCCTGGTAAGGCCGGTTTTCAGTGGCTCAGGCAGGTTTAGCAAAATACCTCTCCATATGCAAAGAAGCCAAGGTCTGGCAAGCAGCTCTGCTTCAGTGGGGAGCTTGGGCTTTGCAATGTTTATTTTTATTTTGTTTACCTTGCAGAAAGATTGAGGTCCTGCAAAGTGGCTTGTAAGGATATGCAGGACTATTTACGCCATGCCATGCCAAGGAATAACACACCAGGGATATTGTTTTAAGAAAGAAAGCTGTTATCCTTGGAAATCTAAGCCCAGAGACTGAGGATCCAGAGAATGCGGAGGGTTTGCCCATGTGCTCCCAACCCAACTCACGGGACAGGGGCTCTTTGCTTACCAGTACAGGCAGGCAGACAGAGAGAGCAATTGCTCCAGGTTGTCATTTGCTGGCAGTCCTCCACACACGTCTGCACTGGGACACCACAGACTGCAACAAGAAAGGCCCCTTAGTTATTTGTCTCAGGCAAAACCTCAGACTCACCGCCTCCTCTTCCTACTCAGCAGGATGTAACTATGCAAATGCCTATGCTACCACCAGTGTAAACTGGTTTAAGTCAACTTCTCTCCCCCCCCCCACACTGCAAAACCCATACTCTGTGCAAAGGAAGGATGGCAGAAGCAGGAAATGGTGGGGTCAGTACACATGGTAGGAGGACTGGACAGTGCCAGAGTCTGGTGAAAACACCCTCCAAGGGCTAGGGAAGGGGCTGCCCCACAGCTCTGGAATGCCTCTTCCACCCCCAAGCATCTCAGCCTGTGGCTTTCCACCATTGCTGAAGTAACAGAGCCAAGCCCCAGATGTACAGGGCTGAAGGCTGGGACAGAAAGTTCCATTCTCAAGAAGATCTAAGGACTGGCTAGCATCACACACCAGGCACAAGAGAGTCCACGGAAGTCATTCATTGTTAACCGAAGGAGCGAATTTGCTTCCTGAATAAGTTATCTAAGAAATGCAATTGCTGCTGCCTCAAAAATGCAAGTCTGTATTTCCACCCACCCCACTTAGACCTTCCTCTACCCCTGTTTCTCCATGACTCAGTGAAGACATATTGCCCCCCTCCCATTTTGCAGGGCCCAGCATAGCATCAGGCTAACCTTCTGATGGCACCGTTCTCAAGAGGAAAAGAAAGCAGACCAGGATAGGAAGGGGCCGGGGGGGGGGGGGGAGAGAGACCGAGCAAACAATCCAGGAGAAGGGGGAAGAAATTTGTCACCTCCAGTGTGAGAGGGCAGATCGTGTTTAACAGCACCATACTAACCATGTCTACTCAGAAATGAGTCCTGTTGAATTCAACGGAACGTACTCTCAGGTAAGCGGGGATTGGATTGCAGCTATGCCACGTCAAAAGGAAAGCATAGGAACCTGTTCCATCAGGAAAGTAAACAGACTTCTCTGTGCCCGCTGTCCCAACCCACCTCTGCAACAAGCAGGTTTCTGTCACTGGGGTTGCCCAGGACAGCTGGCAGGAACAGGATGTCCTGCTGGGAGCAGCTACACACAGGTATGTATGACTAAGATGTGCGCGCTCTCTCTCTCTCTCTCTCTCTCTCTCTCTCACACACACACACACACACACACACACACACACTGCTGCTAGGGTGAACCACATTCATCCAGGTTTGGTGCTCAGCAACTGAGCAGGTACTTGTGCACTCCTAAGTGGCCACAGCCTGCCAGCCATGCTATGTAACCCACTGGAATGTTGGCACAGGCCACAAAAAATGAGTTTCTTGAGCCACTGCTGCTCCCCAAGAGAGGCTCTGTGACAACGACTGCCGGCTCCCTCACCTTTCTCAGCCGTTGTCTGGAATTGGCCGCTGCAGTCGCAGGCAGGTCGTGGTGGGGGTGCCGAGGCCCTATGACAGGAGGGGCCGCTGAAGCCCTCTGCACAGACTGAAAGGAAACAGAGCAAATGAGTGCAGCAGGGCTCAGGCATGAGAGGGAAGGGCATGGTCGCCCCAGAAGCAGCTGACATCACACAGGTCTCTCCTCCAAGCAACCATGTTTCTGGGGCTTCGCCACATAACACACAGCATTAAAAGCCAGCAGGATGTTCTCATCAAACACCTGACTTGAGCAACTGTTGCTGTTGTTATTTCAACTTGGCTCTCAGGCAAGCCAATGAGGGCAGAGAAAGGAGGACGAGATAGACAGTGGCTTCGCCTTTTAGGCTGGCCTACTGACTGCAGCTGGCTTGACACTTTCCCCCCATTGCTTTTCCGCTGTTCTTTAACATCAGCATGATGCACAGAAGTCCAGCAGATGAAGTTCTTCCTTTAATCAACAGGGAAAGCTACACCAGTTTCATGTCTTGCACATGGAAGCAGCTCTCGACAAAGGGCTGTCCATACCTGGGCTTAATGCAACCCACGCAGCTCTCCTGTTTGGATTTTCAAAGCACAAGGAATCTCCGGATTTAGGGAGGAGATGTTGGAGGAGAGCCCCCACGTGGATGAGGGGGGAATAAAGTAGGCGTGAGTGGTTCACGATCTGCATTAACCCCAGTTTGGACAGACCCTAAGGCCTTTGCATTGCAGACCTGGATGACCTGGTGCACGTACTCCTCACCGGAGCAGCCAGGACGCAGGCATGTTGCAGATTGCTGGGGGTGGCACTCTGCCCCTGGGCAGGCAGTGCTGACTCCAAGGTAAATCATGGTTCAGAATTACACTTTGGTGATGCCTTTCTCTCACAAGGACATAAGAAGAGCCCTGCTGATCTAGGCAAGATCTAGTCCAGCATCCCTGCTGCTCACAGGGGCTTTAGAGATCCTTCTGAAAGCCCCCAAGGAGACCTCCTTCTCCCTGGAGAGAAGTGCACTGCCACTACACCTGGAAGCTCCACTCCTCTGCAAGGAGGAACCATCACGTCCTTCAGGCAGAAGACACGAAGAGGGTTCTCTTCCCATCCCTACGCAAGACCCACTTACTGGTCCACCTGTAAAGCGTTGAATCTGGCTTGGTGACAATGCTGTCTGTGGAGCTTATCAGATAGAAGCCAGTCCCTGTTTGGAGGACGGCGGCACACACACTGTGCTCCATCAGGCAGTCCTGCTTCGCTTGCTCCAGGCTCTCAGCGGAGGGGTACAGCACGGACGGCTCTCCTGCCACGCCGTGGCCAGGTTGCTCATCAAACCATTCTGTGGCTGCTGGGAAGGGAAACATGGTGCGGCCAGCTTAGCTAATGCTCCACAATTAAAACCACCAACAGAGCCTGTTTACATGGCATGTTGTAAAATTATTTATTTGCGGATGCATTCGAATGCGGCTTTTCGTCCCCAAAACAACCCCCAAAAGTGACTCACATAAAAGCACAGTGAAAGAGCAGAGCAGAAGAAAAGACCATCATAACCAAGAAGTAAAAATAACAGCCAGACTCCAGGGTCTCAGGTAGTTTTCAAAAAGGGCATGTGCATGGGCAGGGGCCTGGTTTCAGCATTCAGAAAGAGCGATGGGGATTGTGTGCTCCCTCCTCAGGGAAGGAGGGTTGGTTTGGTTGTAGGAAGCTTTGGGTTACCCTGGGCAAGATAAAGCAACTCACAAATTCAACAAATAAACAAATTACCTTCACTACATTTGCACAGGAAGGGCTTCTCCTCCTTGCAGCTGGCATCGCTGAGAAGCCCCGTTGATGAGTCAAACCACACACAGTCCTTCAGGCCCCCATCAGCCATATCATCCTTCAGGTACCTTTCCCCACACACAAAAGCAAAAGGAAGAGGCTTGTTTGTGTTCTGGGGGGGGGGGTGTTACAAGAGCTGCCTCCAAAAGGAATTTTGCAAATGCTCTCAACTAGGATGCCAGCACTCCAGGGCATATAAATTCAATTCATCATCAGAGGTATTGCCACATCTCATATTTCCTGGTTCAAAATGCAATGCTTTCCTCAAATATGAGATGAACACCATTACACTCCCAACCGATTCTTCCATGGCTCAGATTCTCATCTGAGCTAGGGCAGTGTTCACTTCCTTCCCTCCTTCCCCTAAGCTCTCATCCAACAACAGTCCTTCAAACTATGTTCCTTCCAGCCCCATTGTTCATTGGTTGCTACACTGATGGTGGCAGCAGGCAGAGGGGAGGGAGAAAGAGAGACAGACAGACAGACAGAAGGGATGCAGGCTGGCTAAACAGCACACCAGGTACAAGGAGGAATGGAAAATGCAGTTTTGCCAGCCACTGACACTCTGGTGGATAAGGGAGGAGGCCCACGGGAGTTGGGTTGGGATTGGATCCCATCGCATGTGCCCAGTCATCGCAATGCCGACTGGGTCATTTTGGATTAAGCTGAGCTATTTTCTATTACAAAATAATGACATTGTTGGGGGGATGTCTGAGCTGATCTACTTCAAGCTTGGTGGGGAATGACCTTCCCCAGCACCATTCACCCACAGGGCAGTCATATCTAGGGGGAAAGGGCCCTGGAGGAGCCACCCGGGTGCTCACTGTGCCATCTGCTCGTTGAGGGGCTCCTGTGTTGTCCACCGGAAGACGGATTCCTCCTTCAGGTCATTCAAGCCCGTCCAGAAGGAGCCTCCAAAGTTTGAGTGGACCCAGTCCTGGAACAAACATGGCAACCGCAACCTCAGGGTGGGTGGAAAGAAAGCAACCGTCCCATGATGCCTCAGTTGACCTTTCACCTGCCTCCCTGCATGGAGAGGGGTGGGAGAGTTGGGCACGTACAGGGTGGCACAGGGTTCTCCAGAAAGGTCAATATCAAGGAAGGAGAGGGCTCCGGCTTCCCTAGGGCAAGCACCACTTGGCCCCTGGTTGCAGGCTGAGGGGAGGACCAGTGAGGGAGCCGTCTTCTGCAAACTGCAGCCCAACTCCATGGGCTGCATGCCATCAGAGGTCATCATGAGGGGCCCTGTGCTTCTGGAGAGATGCTGGTACGGAAAAGCCATACCTTCTCTTGTGGAGAGGTCAGGTGCAGCAGTTCTGTATTCTTGAATCTCCGGCAGGCATGCAGGGCCTCTTGCCACCCGCTGGCCAAGGAGGGGTCCCAGAAGTAGCAGCTGCCATTCCAGTGGCTCCACCCAGGCTCTGTCGGACAGGAACTCCGGGGTGCTGAGGAGGAGGCAGGGGGATATTATCCAGAATGAGGCCCAAGCCGCTTTCCCTGATTATGACCATAGTCCATCATTCCCAAAGTCCATTCAGTGGAGCAGAGGCTCTCTGGCCAAGAGAGCCAGGTGAGAGCATTGGGACCTGATGACATTGTCCCCTCCCAAAGTCCTGCCAAACACTTACCCAATGGCCCCTCGCACACCCACGGCTTGAGCTCGGAGCAGGAGGATGCAGCCACCTGCCCCTCTCCCTGCGGCCCAATCTCCAGGCAGCCCCCGGTAGCAAGCTGTGTGTCCGCCAACCTAGCGAGGGAAGCAAAAATGGGTCACACGTGGCTGGGACCACCAACTTCTCGACAAGGAATGGCAGGTGCCAAGGAAGCCAAAGTCACATGCCAGACAGAGAAGGAAGGACAATGGGGACCTGGATTGAGCCTTGCAAGCTGGGGGTGAAGCTGAGCCTTGCAAGCTGGGGGTGCAGTTCTGACAATGTGGTGGCAGGAGATGCAGGGAGATGATCACTGTCCCTCCGCAGTCTCCCTAGACAAAGACGCTCCTTCAGAAGCTGCATAAGGGTTGGACTAGATGTCCCTTGGGGTCCCTTCCAACGCTATGATTCTGTCAGGTTTGCTGGAGTTCTGGGTAAGTTGGCCGCCAGAGGACCAATGTATCAAGGGATCTCCTCTGTCAGTGGTGAAGCACCTGCTCTGCCTGTAGAACAGGGCCGGGTCCTCCATGAGGCAGACTGAGGTAGCTGCCTCAGGTGACAGAATCCAAGGGGCCCCTCCATGGGTGTGAATCCCACCACCACCACTGTCTCCACTGAAGCAGTAGCAGCTTCCAGGGTGATCTTGCAAGAACAGCACGTGATCTCATGGGATGCTCGCAAGACCTTGACAGAACCCAGAAGCCATAGCCACACACCCCAGTAATTGGGGACAGCATGGGTAGCACCTTCATGCTTTGCCTCAGGCAGCGAAACAGGACAGGCCACGCCGGCTGGAGGTCCTGGGTTCAATCCTTGGCCCAGCATAGAGGGAGTCTTTCCTGTCAATGCTGGTCTGGTTGCCCATGTCTGCTTGAAGGCAGCCACCTGCCCCCAAAACACTCACCAGGGAGAAGAGAGGTTGGCTGCTTGGCCCTCTGCCCATGTCCAAGTCCCGTCTCTATCGACATCATTCAGCCCCGTCCAGCTGTTCTTCTGCACCATGGCTGCTATCCAGGCCTGGAGGGGGAGAACATTCAGCTCTCTGGCGGCAGCAATGTGCTTCATAGCTTCATATATTGAAACAAAATGTTTGTAGGTATAAACACCTATAAAGAGTTAGAACAGCCTCCCAAAAGTGGGAAACGTTCTCCCGCCCAGTGATCTGAGGGTTGGTTGCCAGGAACATTGTCCTTCAGCCGTCAAATGCCTGGCAAACAGGAATGCTTGGAAATTTCCTCCTAAAAGTCAGTAGTGAGGAGGGCACTCCACAAAATGGGAGCCACCACTGAAAAGGCCCTGTAGTAACATCCCTGAATAGGCTTCACCTACTGATTTTGCAGAGTCCAAGATGGTTGGCAATGGGGAAGGTGCATGGGCCCAAGTCATTTAGGGCTTCATATACTGGCCTTGAACTGGGCCACGCAAGCTTACTGGCAGCTACCCCACATGGAGCGCCAGCCATGCCACCTGGGAGCATGACTAGCTCCCAACCTGCCTTTTCCTTGGCACTGCTGAGGGTCAGGAGGCCCACGTCTTTTCCATATGTCTGGCAGGCGGCTTTTGCCCCCTGCCAGTTCTTGAAGCTGTGCTCCTCCACATAATAGCAGTGACCATCCCAGAACCACCAGCCAGGAGCATGTGGACATCTCGAGCTCACCAAACCTGGAAAACAACCATAGGCAGGGCAGTAGTAGCTTCGCAATGTGACCCTGACTCTAACCTGCCAGCCTGCCTGTTCTCTGTGAAGTTGTAGTGCTGCCTCTTGACGATGTTGTTATTTCCAATGATGTATTGTTTTGTTTTTCTATGTTGACTTTCCCTTTTATCACAAAGCCACTTGGCTTATTTTATTAACAGAAAAGATGAGCATAAATGATTAAGCTAAAGAAATGCGTCCAACAGTGGGAGTTCATGGAGCAAAAAAAGGCCTGCCTTGTACTTATTTATTTCATTAAAAAAAGATACACTGCTTTTTTTTAAAAAAAAGCCACACACTTCAAAGTGGCTTACCCAAAAATAAAACAGTAACATCAAGAAAATTAACAATAATACTTTTAAACATACAGAAGTTAAAGTACTAAAACAGACAGAAATTCACATCCACTTTCCAAACACCTGGCTAGGGTTGCCTAAACAAGGATGTTTTTAGCAGGTGCTGAAAAGAGTACAGTGAAGGCGCCTGCTTGATCTCAATAGGCAGTGAGTTCCAAAGTGTAGGTGCTTGGTGGAGTATGTGGAGATGGCTAAACTTCGATGGGAGGAGTAAGGAACCAGGGAGAAAGAAATTTAACTAAGACTGGGGGAAATTTACTGAGTATTTTTTAAAAAATTGTAAACAACTTAAAACATTAGCAAGGTTAATGTAAAATGAGCAGTAAAGATAACTCAAGGAAATTATTAGAGAAAAGAAATAATAAGGTATTGGTTTGGATATGCAGCAGTAAAGATAAAATGAAAGAAACCACAGATGAGAGGGGGAGGGGAGGTCAATTTGATGTTATTTTTGGTTTTGCTATAGAATTTGTATGTTTTGTTGTCAAATTGTACACACCCCCACACACCGCTATAACAAAGTGTATCTGTGGCACCTGTAGCAATGCCAATTATGCCAAGTCGGTCATGACTGGACCTAATGGTCAGGGGTCCCTTTACCTTTACCTTTTAAGCAGTTGATAGGCACATGTAATCACACAATCTCGTAGGTAAACTGGTCCCAAGTTGCCATGGGCTTTATATGCAAATGGCAACACCTTGAACTTGGTGCAGGAGCAAATCAGCAACCAGGGCAGATCTCTGAGCGCAGGTGTCATATGCCAACAAGGCCTCACTCAGTCATGCCGCAGCATTTTTATGTCACTCATATTCCGCCCCGCCCCCCAAACTTACCATGAAGGCACGAGGGGGTGAAGCGACGGATGCAGCGCAGGTGGCGCCCATCGCATTGGCCCGTCAGGGGGTTGTAGGTCGATGTGCTCAAGCACGGAGAGCAGCGCCGCCGGCACCCATCCCCACAGAAGCTGGGGGAGCAGGCTGCAAGGACAGAGAGTTGTCGGTTAAGGCAGTGAGCTACCTGGAGACACCAGCCCCTCTGACTGGCCTCACGATACTCTGGATGTCTGCTGGAGGCCCTGCAGAAGTCACTGGAGGTGTCAGGGGTCAGATCCTGCAGCCTTGAAGCTCATCCTTTGAACCTGGCAGCACAGGCACACACCAACACACAGGAGGAATGGCCAGCCTCAATAAGGAAGCCTCTCACAGCACTGGACTAGGGAGGAAAGTCTCAGTACTGGCCAGGTGGGGTTAGGGCTGCCTTCGTGCCTTGTGTGATGTGTTTAGCCACCAGGTCTTTGGTCCTCTCCAGCAAATCTTAAGCTTTTATTGACATCAGAGTGGGATCTCTCTTTCAAGTCAGCCTCTGAAGACCATCAGAGAAGGGCTGCTTCTCTCTCCCCTCCCTGCCCCTTTCCCCTTGTGTGTGTCTGTTGTGATTTTTAGATTGTAAGCCTGCAGGGACTGCCTTGTTTTAACTGCAAGCCTCTTGGGCTGAAATAAATAAGCAGTAAATAATAAAATTGCCTCCCAGTCCTCATTGGGGGCTCCCTGGAAGCATCTGACTGGCCACTCTTGGAAACAGGGCACAGGCAGAGGCAGAATGGGAGACATCTCCTGTCTTCTCATGCAGCTGAACCTGCAAACATTCCTCAGCCCAGGTAGGATGGGTCAAAGGGCAGTAAGCCAGGCATGAATTTATTCTGGGAGAGGCTCCTGAAATCCATTGACAAAGGGGCTTCTAATCCACACAAGCTCAGACTGCCATACACTGGGTTGGCCTTTAACCTGCCACCACAAGACACATTTAAAGCACCTTGCTGGGCTGTGCAGTGTTCAGGGGCATCCCTGAAATGGAGGGAGGAAGGTGTTCCAGCCCCCGATCTACCAACCCACTACTATTCCCTCTTCCCAACCTCCTCCCTGTCCTCCTGCATCTCAAATGCAGCAGAAGCAGCCACTCACCTGCCTTCACGTAGAGGATGGCGCCCGAGCCAGGGCTGTCCACCAACACCGTCCCTGCCACCAGGTAATAGGCCCCGCTAAGTCTCAGCAGCCCCGTGCAGCCCTCCTTCCGCAGGTAGCAGGCGTCCTTGGCTTCCTGCAGCGACGCTCGCCTCTGCTGGGGGGCCGAGCCCTGCTGAGGAAGGAGCAGCTTCTCCCTGAAAGATGGCAGGTCCACATCTGTGTGGGGATGCCATGAAGCGGGAGAAATAAAGTGAAAGCTCTTCCTGGCAATGTACAGAACAAGGCGACTTAAGGCACATTTCCTCCACCCGAAAACTGGGAACTGTAGTTTACCCCTCACAGAGCTAGAACCCCCCAGCACCCTTAACAACATGCAGTTCCCAGCGTACATTGGATAATGTGCTTTAAATATAAGGTGTGTATGCAGCCTGGAACTCAGCTCCTGAGGGCATCCCCTGAAGTGTGACAAAGGGCAAAAGACCCCTAACATCCCCCACCTCTCCGCTATAAGGATACGTTGGCATTAAGCCCCTCAGTGCATCAAAGGAGATGACAGATTGAGTGGGGATTTAGGTGCCAGGCAAAAATGTTCCTCCTTAACCAGGCCTTTGGCTGACTGACATCCAAAGCCCTTTTAAAATGTATTGGGGAGCCAGTGGGATTATTGGGTTGTTCTTGTTTTTATTATGTATATTGTGATTTTATGTTGAGAACCGCCCTGAGACCTACGGTATACAAATTTAATAAATTCTCATCATCATATTTTCTTCCCAGAGAATACTCCCACCTTCAGGTCGCTGGCAAGCCCAACGGAAGCTGCCTGGCTCTGAGTCTCTTCTTTCACCACCAGCAAAGCCAGCCCTGGCCTGAAAAACAGAAAGAAAGGGGAGAGATGGGGCAGCTTAGCCTGTGGGGTAGTCAGATGTTGCTGGGCTCCCATCATCACCCCCTTGATCCCTGGCCAGGTTGGTTGGGGCAAGACTAGGGGAGGTTGCGGGAGAGATCAGGCATGTCAGGTTCAAAGTACTTTGCCTGTCCCAGGATCAGTGCTTTTTTTCTGGTGGGACACAATGGTACACAAAGCCATCACCTTTTTGGAGGGGAGGAGGAGGAAGGGCTCTTGGACCCCTCAGAGCATCACGCCTCCTTTCCCAAGGAGGCAGGAGGCTGTGACAGGATTCTGGAGCCCTGCTGCCTCCTTCCCAAAGCCGGGCAGACCCCCTTAGAGCATTGTGCCTTCTTCCCTAAGCTGGGCAAATGCTTCCTGGGCTTGGGGAAGGAGATGCGAGCCCAGGTCCTGGCAAAATGCTGGACAGTGTTACCCCTGTGGTAAAAATAGGCATGCATAATGCAGCAAGTTATTTATAATGCATCTCTATATACCAAGATAGAGACGCGGGTGGCGCTGTGGGTTAAACCGCAGAGCCTAGGACTTGCTGATCAGAAGGTCGGCGGTTCGAATTCCTGCGACGGGGTGAGCTCCTGTCGCTCAGTCCCTGCTCCTGCCAACCTAGCAGTTCGAAAGCACGTCAAAATGCAAGTAGATAAATAGGTACCACTCTGGCAGGAAGGTAAATGGCGTTTCCGTGTGCTGCTCTGGTTCGCCAGAAGCGGCTTAGTCATGCTGGTCACATGACCCGGAAGCTGTATGGCAGCTCCCTCGGCCAATAATGAGCGCCACAACCCCAGAGTCGGCCACGACTGGACCTAACGGTCAGGGGTCCCTTTACCTTTACTATATACCAAGATCTCAATGACGTTCCAGTAAATCATGTAATTGTTTTACATGTATTTGTTTTACATGTATTTGTTTTTCCTGGCCCTGAGGAAATTTTGCACCCAGGGCAATTACCCAGAGTACCGGCACCTTTTTCCTAGAAAAAAAGGACTACCCAGGACCCCTTCCCACAGCCCATCTCCAGGAGGTTGGCATAGCACACCCATTCCATGGCTATTGGGGTCCCTCTCAACTCTAGTCAAGTCAAATTATGGTGGTTCCAATGTGAGAAGTTCACCAGAACCTACCTCCTCCCCCACCCCCAGCCTCCAGCAGGGACCCCATCTCACCTTGACCTTCTGCACGGTAGCACCCAGGTACCTCTGGCAAGCAGAGGCTGCTTCGTCCTGCCTGCTGTAGCGCTCCAAGGACATGCAGGCTCCATGCTCAAACACCCAGTCATCCAGGGGCAGGCACTTCAGAGAGGCATACGCCGCTAGGGAAAGGGGTTTGGCCATTACTAGCTGACCGCGGTGCCAGGGGGTTGCTCGGCAACCACACACCCTTGGGCACCAAGTAACTGCAGGGTGCCCCCTGGCTCCTGGCACTCAGGAGCAGGGTTTTTAAGTCAGAAGGCATGATGCTTCCTGGCAAGCCGCTCTGAGCCCGGCTTTGGCTGGGGAGGGCGGGGTATAAATAAAAAATATTATTATTATTCTGGAAGAGCTACAAGCTTGAAGGCACCTGCCATTCCATTTGCACTGGGGCAAGGGAGCAAACAGGTGGCAAGGGAGGTTATGGGGGGGGGAGCAGCAGAAGGTCTGAAGGGCTCCATGGTGCCAAACGAGGCCACCAGCCCTCCTTCCTCTCAGGGCTCCAGGGCTGGCGGTTGGAGCCAGTGCCACGACTGGTTTAACCCTGTTTCTCCAAATGTGACCTTTTTTTCCATGGGATTGAGGGTGGCTGCATTAGGGACGGCTCGGAGGAGAGCCCCATTAGCCCACTGCTTTGAGATGCACATACCGGCTGCCTCCCTGTAGCGCAGGAATCCATCGCAGAGGCCCGTCAGCGGGTTGCAGCTCAGGCCTGGCTCACACCGGGGGCACATCGACTGGCAGTCCTGGCCAGAGAAGCCGGGCCGGCAGCTCGTCTTGACATGCACGGCAGCAGCCGAACTGGCGTCAGGGTCTTCCAGGGCCACAAGGCGTGTCCCCCTGGCAAGGCGGTGGCCCCCTGCGGAGCTGACCACGGCATCACACCCCCAGCCCAAGGCAGAGCACTGCCGCTTGGCAGCCTCCAGCGAAGGGAAGCTCAGGTCCAAGGAGGGTGCACCATAGAAGGACTTCTCAGGGAAGGTCATGTAGGAGCCTGAGGGGAGGGGAGAATCATAGAATTGTGGGGTTGGAAGGGACCATGAGGGCTCCTTACGGGGTCCTTGCCGCGGGATCACATTCATCCAGTGCTTTACCAACTGCACTGGCTCCTGGTGGAGTACAGGGTCAGGTTTAAGGTGCTGGTTTTGACCTTTAAAGCCCTATGCGGCCTAGGACCCACGCACCTACGGGTCCGCCTCTCCTGGTATGCCCCATGGAGGACCTTAAGGTCTACAAATGACAACACTTTGGAGGTCCCGAGCCTCAAGGAGGTTAGATTGGTTTCAACTAGGGCCAAGGACTTTTCAGCACTGGCCCCAACATGGTGGAACACTCTGTCACAAGAGACTAGGGCCCTACGGGACTTGACATCTTTCCACAGGGCCTGCAAGACAGAGCTGTTCCGCCTGGCCTTTGGTTTGGACTCAGTCCGACTCTTATGTTTCCCTCCCCTTATGGTCTTGATTTATCGGCTATTCTAAAATGAGGCTGCATTTTAAATTGCATTTTAACCTGTATTTTTTTTTTTTTAAATCCCTCTCTCTTTCCCCTATTATGTTTTTACTGTGATTTTATTGGTGTTAGCCACCCTGAGCCTGGCTCTGGCTGGGGAGGGCAGGGTATAAATAAAAATTGTTGTTGTTGTTGTTATTTAGTCGAACCCCCTGCAATTCAGGAATGCCCCATAAATACCAAAATGAAAACTCAGCCTGGATAGCTCAGCTGGTTAGAGTGTGGTGCTGCTAATGCCAAGGTTGCAGGTTCGATCTCTGTATGGGACAGCTGTGTTGCAGGGGGTTGGACTGGATGACCTTCGGGGTCCCTTCCAACTCTAGGATTCTATGAAATGAAAAATGTCAGCAGCCCAAAGCAGCTCTGCTTACCACTCTGGTGGGAGGCCTGGCATATCCAGCGGTGAGGCCTGTGGCACGGCTCGGCCTTCAGGAAGCCGGAGCTCAGGGCCAGCATGCAGGTTTCTATGTCCGAGGGACCCTGTGGGAGAACAAAGCTGGCCCCAAAGAGAATGAGAGAGGGTGAGGGAAGCCAGAGACAGCGTCTGGCAGGCCTGCTGACTTGTGCCCTTTTGAGGTGCTCACTTTTACATCTCGTCCCCTTGGCTTGGCTTCAGTCCCATGTTTCTCAGACAACCTTCTTGGCAATCAAAGCAAGTTGTTCAAGACTTGCGATTGCTAGATCCAGGCAAAATAAGCTTGGTGAATGAAACAGCTCCTCTGAACGCTTATCTATCAGACCTTCAGGACCTGAACAGCTCCTTAGGAGACTTCAAACTCCTTTGATAATTTTTTGGGGGGCTGAGACTTTTCAACATACAATACAATAATAAAAAGTAATTAAATAAAAATAGAACTCCTTTGAAAGTTGGTTACGATAAACTAACTCTCTCCCAGCTGCAGCCTCTCCCCATACCTTCCCCCACATGCAATATGGTGACAATGATAGTGGCCAACCTTACTGGGTTCTTGTACGGATGGCAAGATGACTTGGCAGCGAGTGTGTTCAATCTCTGCACTATAGCTGCTTCTATTATTTATTGACTGATTATTCAGAAGTGGTTCTTATTAAGTTCCGTGAGATGCACTTCTAAGCAGGTGTGCACAGGATTGCCGTCTTAATAGACAAATGGCCCCAATCCACCCATCCCGCCGCACAGTCTCTTTCTCAGGGGTTCTTACTTACCGTTGCAAGGCTTTGTTGAAGGGTGCCCCATCGGCCCAATGCCACAAGCCTCTGCCACTGCGAAGCCCAGTCCAGACACTCACCTCCAGCTCTTTCTGCAGCCAGACCTGTGGAGGAACACAGAAGGTTATTCTCCTTCGCCAGTCACACAGTGGGTTATCTTGCCGGTCAGCACACCCCAAAGGATGCAAACTGTGCAAGGCCACCAGAGACAGCAGGGTGGAGAGGCCTGAGTGCCAAGAAGATGCTGGGAGGAGCGCAAAGAGCCTAGACTGGGAAGCCCAGTGCCAGTACCTATGTAGGACCGGCCCTATCATGAGGCAGAGTGATCAGTGTTAGAGACTCAATTGATATAAACCTAATTTACAGTCGCCGCAATGGCACCAGATTTCCCCCCAGTGGAAATCTATTGGGAATTATTGTCATTATTATTATTCATTTCATTTATATACGACTTTATATTTTAAATGAAATCTCAAAGTGGTTGACAACACATTTAAACAGCCAATCAAACATGAGGAAATCCCGACCAAAAAATTGTCGCAAGAGAAACTGATGGATTACGCGGAACTGGCGAAATTGACACACAAACTACGTGATAAGGATAACTGTGACTTTAAAGAAGAATGGGAACCTTTTACAAAGTACTTAAAGAAACAACAAAATGAACTGGACTCCTTGGCAGGTTTTGAATAAACATACACTTTTTTTTTATTGGTAACATATTGATAGATTAATTAAGGATCTTTAACATTTTACAATATGAAGAGAATAGCATATGCTGAGAAACCAGAGAGAGGAGCTGAGGGAAGTCTGGGGGGGAGGGTTTTTTTTTCCTTTTTAGGGGAGGGGGGAGGGGGGAAATGGGGGAAAATGAGGATGATGTATTGTTGATAAATTGTTATTGAAATTGAAATTCCTAATAATTTTTTTAAAAAAATAAAAATAAACATCCAATCAAACAATCCAGAATGAAATGAATTCAAGCAAATGTTATCGTGTTTATTATTAACATAAAAATGAGATTACAAATTTATTTTATATCCTGTGTAAATACTTTTAGCTGGCCAGCCCTTGCTGGGTGGGGGCCCCATTTGTTTTTTCTTCCCTGGGGCCCAAATGACTCTTGGCAGCCCTGGGTGCCATTTCAGATACTCCCTGTGCTCAGACCAGAGCAACTGCTCACCAGATCTTGTGGGTTGCTCAGCGTGGCCAGGCTCCCACCGTGGAACCTCTGGCAGAACTTCAGGGCCTGGCTCCACTCAAGGGCCGCATCCAAGACAAGGAAGAGGCATTTGTCCTTCCTGGATCTCCAGGCCCTGGACTGGGGGCAGTACACATCTGCAGGAGGAAATGGCAAAGAGCATGATGTGCACACCGTTGGAGAAAAACAAATACATTTCCTTCTCACTGAATTTCTACATGTGTTACTTTAAACCATACAAGGCACTGTTTGTCTAACAATCTAGTCAGCACTTGCTTGTGGCCTCTGTTTACTCTGCCCCTTAACCCTGAGCTATTTTGTTTTTATTCTGTCCTGACAAAATGTCTTTCTCTCTCTCATCTCCGCCCAGCCTATAAATAGTTCTTGCATGAATAAAGCCTTTGAACTCCAGAAACTGTAAGTGATTACGCCAATCTAATTCACACAACCTGCAAAGTCTGCTAACAAACACATCAGGCTTCCTTTTGCACACACACCAGCTGGGCTCATCACAGCTCACCCCTCCCCACAGCAAAATGAAGCAGTCCAAACTGTTGGCTGTGTGAGATGGGCCCCAATGAAGCACCAGGTGTTGTGTCAGTCATTCTGCCTCACCCAAGCCTCCTACCATGCAGGGTTGTGGTGAAGATAAAATGTGAAAGGGGAGGGAGGAGTCTCCTGCCCTGAGCTCCTTGGAGGAAGGGAGGGGCAAGTATACTTTTTAAAGAACACACCCCGATCCAGCACAAAGTACAATGCCTGTGGGGTGCACTTCCCCAGGTAGAGCTTGGTATGAATGACTCCTTGAAACACGCAGAACCCCAAGTGCAGATTCTGCAGCCGCTGGTCCGGTAAGAGGCGAAAGGAGCTCTTGGTGTCCGTGGAACAGTCTGAACTGCTCAACAAGGAGACTCCGTCTGGTGCCACCTGCACAGAGAACAGGGGAGAAGCCTGCATGAATCACAGAATCAGAGAGTTGGAAGGGACCCATTGGATCATCTAGTCCAACCCCCTGCAATGCAGGAATATGAACCTATACGGGGATCAAACCCATAATCTTGGCATTATTAGCATCACACTTTTAACAACTGAGCTAACCGGACAGGAAGGAACACAATGGACAGAATAATTGTCACACACAGAAGGAATAAGGATATAGTTTGAGTGCTTCACCTACAGATTTGTAAATCATTTAATGTGTCAAGATGAACGGATGCCGTTAATATTGCAGTTGTTGTATAAGGGAGTGTTATTTTGAATGGAATGGAATTGAGATCAATAAGATTTTGGAACACAGAAACAAAGTAAATCATCAAACCATCAATTCTAGTATGCGGAAGGCCACCTAAATTATATAATTTGGCATCTGAATGACTGGGGTTAGAAACTGTATTATAACTTGGCATTGTTATAATGAGGCTACCATTGGATTATTGTAACTGAAAACTAATTATTGAAGGGGGAAAACCCACAAACAACTGAGCTCATCGGCAAGCTGGCACAAGAACTCACACAGAGATACTCCACAGGAATTAGAGCCCCTTTCTTTGTAATAATAATTTAGTAATAATTTTATTATTTTTACACCGCCCATCAGATTGGGTTGTCCCAGCTACTCTGGGCAACTTCCAACAGAATATAAAAACACAGCAAAACAATCAAACATTTAAAAACTGCCTTGAGATGTCACTCTGAAACTACAGACTTAAATCTATTTAACTCTCATGACTCCTAAGCAAGTAGTTTTTCTGTGAAAGGGACAAGGAACACCTAGAAAGAATAGCAGCACTCACACAAAAATGCAATTTCTAGAGCTGGGAAATGCAGGGCAGTGGATGCTGTTCCAAGCTGGTTTCAAACCAGCAGTGCTGGTGGCTGCATGTGTGCCATATCCCAGACGCTCATCTCCTTCCTTTAAAAAATATTGGGAACTGTAGTTCAGCCCTCACAAAGCTACAATTCCCAGCACCCTTTTGGAACGGGAGGTGTTTTAAATGAAGTATGGTGGGTATAAAGCTGATGTGAGGGGAAGAGAGACTGCCTTTGCCACTGAGGCTACCTGCCACCAAGTCAAACGGTTGGTCAGCGAGGAAGTCTGCACCAAAATTTTTAAAACATTGTGTTCCATTTAAAACAACAACAACAACACTGACCTTTTATGTATATCTGTGCAGTGAGTCTTCACCTTTCCAAAAATAACATTGTGGGCTGATTAATATTCTGCAGCCTTTTAAATGTGTTTTAAAGGCTGTTTTTGTTTTATTTGTTTTGTTTTGTTTCTGTTCAAACGATTAATTTGTGCTTTTATCCTGTTCTTTAATCTTTTGAACTGCCCTGAGATCTTCGGATGAAGCAGGGTATATCAATGTAATTAATTAATTGTTGGTTTTTTGAAATGCCTTGGTGATAGGTAGATGCATGAGCAACACCCCAGGACTTAGCCAAGAGGCCCCCACCACCATCAGGGTGAGGAATCTCCTGTTGCCCCGTCCGTCTCCCCAGGTTCATGCTGGAAAATAAGCAGAAGAGCCAGTGTGGTTCCCCCGCCCAAAGGTACATAGAATCATAGAATGTGGAGCTGGAAGGTACCACAAGGGTCATCTACAGTGGTACCTTGGTTGTCGAACTTAATCCGTTCTGGAAGTCTGTTCAACTCCTGAAACCATTCGAAAACCAAGGCGCGGCTTCTGATTGGCTGCAGGAGCTTCCTTCCCCCAAGCGGAAGCTGCAGTTGACTTCCTTTAAAACGTTGCAAACCAGAACACTTACTTCCGGGTTTGCAGCATTTGGGAGCCGATTTGTTCAACAAATAAGCCGTTCGAGAACCAAGGTACCACTGTATTCCAATGCTCTGTTATGCAAGATTATTTGGCCCACCATGGGGCTCAAAACCATGACCCTGAACTATCCCAGAGCAGGTTGTTTTGAAGCACTATCAAGCTACTCCCGGAGTCTTGCATTTCTTTCCCTAAAGCATTTGGGGTGTTGGCACCCCCTGCAAAGGACCCCACCCCCTGCTTGTCTTCCTATTCATTTTTCTCGGGAGCGGAGGGGAAATAAATGTGTGTGTGTGTGAGAGAGAACCAATCAGCTCCTAAAAAGAAGCTTGTATAAATTTAAGCTGCTTTAAGGGGTGTGAATCGAAAGCAGTCTGGGTGACCCCTTATTGCCTACAACATACTGCTTTGTTGGAACGATTCAGTGATGTGAAAACAGAGACTCTGTGTGTGTTCTACTGTGACTTAAGAAAAATTTAGAACATAAATAAAAGAACATAAATAACATAAATAAAAACTGGAAAAGGAGTTGCTGTGATCTAGCAACTGCTTCAAATTAACCAATATCATAAAAATGCTTTCACCCTGTAGATTTGAGAGACTGGAGAGAGACGACTGAGATTAAAAGCAGTCAAAGAATGCAAATAAATAAATAAATAAATAGGGGCTATTCTTCCTGCACCCCTCATTCCGCCATTACCAAAGAGTTTATTCCCTGACGTCATTCAGGAGAGAGAGTGCCAGTTCCATTTACCTGAAGACAGGAAGGAGGGTCTGCGATGTTGCGGAGTCGACCATTTGGCTGCAGCCCCCAGAAAGCACATTTGAGGCGCTGGTCCAGCGCAAGCTCAATATAGACCAGGGACTGCTCTGGATCGGTGCACAGGGCTGACTGCTTGCCTCTGAGCCGAAGGAACCCAAACCACACGAAGACAGTGCCTGTGGTGAATCACAGAATCATAGAGTTGGAAGGGACCCCGAGGGTCATCTAGCCCAACCCCCTGCAATGTAGGAATCTCAGTTCAAGCATCCAACCTCTGCTTAAAAACATTCAAGGAAGGAGAGTCTACCATCTTCAGATGAAGTCCATTCCACTGTTGAGCACTCCTTATGACAGAATGCTTAGTCGGGATCTCCTTTCTTGTAACTTATAGCCATTGCTTTGAGCCCTACCCTTCGGAGTGGGAGAAAACAAAGCTTGCTCCACCTTCCATGTGACTGCCCTTGAGATATCTGAAGATAGCTTTCATATCTCCTCTCAGTCCGGAGCCCATGTCTCACAGGAGCTAAAAGCTGCTGCCCACAACCCAAGATGAAGGTCACATGGTGACATCACACAGTCCCCTTAGTAGCCCAAGCTGCTGCCTGCCCTCACCCCCCCCTTTGTTCCTGGGCTTCATCCAGTGTTTTAAATTCGCCAGGCGCCAGGGACGTTTCGTGACTGGCACAGGTCCAGTTGCGACCACGTGGCAATCTCTGGATGGCAGGTTGGCAACTACCTCTCCATCTGGCTGGCCCTTCTTTCTTAAGCAGGTAGGTAAAGGTAAAGGTAAAGATACCCTGACAGTTAGGTCCAGTCGTGGACGACTCTGGGGTTGTGCGCTCATCTCGCTCTATAGACAAAGGGAGCTGGCGTTTGTCCAGTTTTTCTGGGTCATGTGGCCAGCATGACTAAGCCACTTCTGGCGAAACCAGAGCAGCGCACAGAAACGCCGTTTACCTTCCTGCTGGAGTGGTACCTATTTATCTACTTGAACTTTGATGTGCTTTCGAATTGCTAGGTGGGCAGAAGCTGGAACCGAACAACAGGAGCTCACCCTGTCGCAGGGATTCGAACCGCCAACCTTCTGATCGGCAAGCCCTAGGCTCGGTGGTTTAGACCACAGCGCCACCCGCGTCCCAAGCAGGTAGGTAGAAGAGCTTATTTATTGCATTTATAGCCCACCTTTTCCTCCAAGGACTCCATGGTTCACTCCCTCCTCAGTCATTGCCTACAACAACCCTGTGAGGTAGGTTAAGAGGCTGCGACTGACTCCAAGGTTACTCAATGAGCTTCATGGCTGGCTGGCTGGGGATCTGAACCCTGTTCTCCCAAGGTCCTGTTTTGACACTCTAACCACTACAGCACACTGGCTTCCTAGATTTACTTCTGCTATGGAGCAGCTCTTTTAATTAAGTTGGTCAACAAGTATGGGGAAAGCTAAATGTCACTGAAAGGTTCTGAAATATTTCCCTAGGTGCTTGAATTTGTTTTATTCTGAATTGTTTGATGGGATGTTTTAATGTGTTGTCAACCGCTTTGAGATTTTTCCTTTAAAATATAAAGCGGTATAGAAATGATAGCAACAAAAACAAAAACAATATTCATTGGGGGGGGGGGAGTTGGTCCCTAGGCATTCCATTGCGGCGACTGTAACTTAGGTTTAAGGTGCCATTTGGCGATTAGCTTATATATCTGGCTGTACCAGCCCACTCACCTGGGTCTTGGCTTGCAGTGCTGATTTGCACAGAGGAAGGCTTCTTTGCTACCAGTGTGCTCCAGCTCACCACGTTCCCAGGGAACTTCCACCGAGTCCTTGAGGCTGCCAGCTGCTTTATGGAAATCTCGGGCAAGGCTCGGTCCCACAGGTTGACTTCACTCAGGTCACCCACAAAGAGGCTGGTCCCTAAAATGCAGCCCCAACATGCAAGGATGTGGTAAGAGCCCCTTATTGCCCAGAGAGGAGGACCAGTGATGTGGGGGCATGGAGGTGAGAGATGGAGGGGCTACGGCTTTTCCCCAAGTCTTTGTTATGGGCCCAGCCTTTGAGGGGGGATCTTTTGATCTACGCTTCCCCAGTGGTGGCAGCAGCCTGCAGTTGGAAGATGCCATTCGCCACTACCTTAACAACTTCACCATTGGGCTGTGGGTTCAAGGTCAACCTGCTGCTGCTGCTGCTGCCACCAGCTCCCACAAGATGTGCCTGGTCAGCTATGCGCTGAAGTGGAGGCAGCCAGAGTTTGCCCTCTTCCTCCTCTCCCCCTCGGGGCTGGAGTTCCACATCAAGGGGTAAGCAGGAGGTCCCTCCACTTGCAATGATGGTTTTAAATGATGCTCTCTTCCCAGATTTTGGTCTTGGATGTGGTTTTGAGGTTTTATGACATTTTATATGGGGTTTCTATACTACAGCCACAGGGCAAGCCTACAGCCTCTGAGCAACGGAGGGACTTACCTCTGCTGCCCACTTCCAGCTGTCCAATTATCAGCTTCCCCCCAAGGGAGAGCCCCTTCCTCAGGAAGCTCCTACTCTCAGCGAAGTGGGGCTCCCAGAGAAATCCATCCACGAAGACCTTGAAGGACGGGTAGCCAGGAGCGCTGGAGACTGAGACGGCCACATGGTGCCAGGATCCATCCAGAAGGGAGCCCAGAAGGGAGCCGCTGAACATCACTGACCTGCAAAGAGAAACCGGGAAGAAGTGATAGAATCATAGAAGTGGAATGGACAGCAAGGGTCAGCTAGTCCAACCCTCTGCAGTGCAGGAATATTTTGCCCATTATGGGGCTCAAACCCACAACCCTAAGATTAAGAGTCTCATGCTCTAACAACAACAACAACAATAAAAATAATAATAATTATAATTATTTTTATTTATACCCCACCCTCCCCAGCCAAGGCCGGGCTCAGAGCGGCTTACAAGCAATAATAAAAACAAGTTGAATGATTACAACTTAAAAACAAAATTAAAATACAGCATTAAAATACTGAAACATTAAAATATTAAAACGTAGCCTCATCGCAGGAGGAGAAGGAAAAGAAAAAAGAAAGAGAGGGAGGGAATCAAATTGGCTCCAAGCCAAAGGCCAGGTGGAACAACTCTGTCTTACAGGCCCTGCGGAAAGAAATCAGATCCTGCAGGGCCCTGGTCTCATGAGGCAGAGCGTTCCACCAGACCGGAGCCAGAGTTGAAAAGGCCCTGGCTCTGGTTGAAGCCAATCTAACTTCCTTAGGGCCTGGAACCTCTAGGGTGTTGCTATTTATGAACCTTGAGGCTCTCCATGGGGTTTACCGGGAGAGGCGGTCCCATAGGTACGAGGGTCCTAGGCCGTGAAGGGCTTTAAAGGTCAAAAGCAGCACCTTAAATCTGACCCTGTACTCCACCGGGAGCCAGTGCAGATGGAAAAGCACTGGGTGAATATGCTCCCATGGCAGAGACCCCGTGAGGAGCCTCGCTGCAGCATTCTGCACCCGCTGGAGTTTCTGGGACAGCTTCAAGGGCAGCCCCGCATAGAGCGAATTACAGTAGTCTAGCCTGGAGATGACCGTCGCATGGATCACTGTGGATCACTTTTACCTTTCCATGCTCAGGCTGGGATGTGTGCAGATAAATCAGCAAATGCATTTCAAAGAATACATTTCATGCCAGCTTCCTGGCTTGTTCAGATCACATCATTTATAGTCATGAGGTCAAAAATTATAATTTTGGAATTGCTGTAAATTGCTTGGTAGGTGGCTCGTTGATGAAACTCTCCTTAACTGAGGCCACATCCACATCAAGCACATTTAAAGCACACGACTCCCTCCCACACCCAAAGAATACAGGGAACTGGGATAATAGAATCATAGAGCTGGAAGGGACCATGAGGGTCATCTAGTTCAACCCCTTGCAGTGCAAAAATCTTTTTCCCAATGTGGGGCTCAAACCTACGACCTTGAGATTAAGGGTCGCATGCTCTGCCAGCTGAGCTATCCCCCTCACATAATGGACATTTGGAGTACAAAGAAACTTAGTGGCTTCCTGGCAACTGGGATGGTGAGAGGGCTGCGCCACCAGCTCGAAACATTTTGGTGCCCAAGTTAGAGCGGCAGCAAAGGACATAGAATCATAGAATTGTGGAGATATGTAATATATAGCATTATACACACACAGTATAGAAACCCCATATAAAATGTCACAAAACCTCAAAACCACATCCAAGACCAAAAGCTGGGAGGGAAGCATCATTTAAAACCATCATTGCCAGTGGAGGGACCTCCTGCTTACCCCTTGATGTGGAACTCCAGCCCAGAGGGGGAGAGGAGGAAGAGGGCAAACTCTGGCTGCCTCCACTTCAGCGCATAGCTGACCAGGCACATCTTGCGGGAGCTGGTGGCAGCAGCAGCAGGTTGACTTCGAACCCACAGCCCGATGGTGAAGTTGTTGAGGTAGCGGCGTATGGCATCTTCCAGCTGCAGGCTGCTGCCACTGCTGGGGAAGTGTAGGTCAAAAGAAAGGCGATACTCTGGAAGGGAAGGCAAAGAGGTCAGCCTCTGAACTTACCCAACAATGTGAGCACCCTCCTTTGCAGATTCTCTGGGAAAGCACAAAAAGCCTTTGTAGCCTTTTCCTGCCCTCCTTCAGCTATTCCTGGAAACAATCAGTGGTGGACTTGGAGGGAATTGAGAGGGTGGGCTGCAGGTCAGTCGCACTTTGAGACTGGCACAGGTCCAATTGCGACTGCGTCAAGATCTCTGGGCACCAGGTTGGTGATCTCCACCTGACTCTCCAGCTTTCTTATGCAAGCAAGTGAGCAGAAAGGCTCATTTATTTCATTTATTTCATTTATCTCCCACCTTTTTCTCCAAGGAGTTCATAGTTCACCCCCCCTCCTCAGTCAATCCCTACAACGAGCCTGCAGGGTAGGCTAAGAGGCTGCGGCTGACTCCAAGGTCACCCAGTGAGCTTCATGACTGAGTGGGGAGTTGAACCCTGATCTCCCAGGTCCAAAACCTGACACTCTAACCACTACACCATGATTGGTTGTACTGCCCCCCCCCCTTGTTGGAGGTGATGGTGTCTGTGCATGGAAAATGGTGTCTGTGCATGCAAAAAAAGAGAAAGAAAAAGCTGGCAGTCTTGCAACATGCAAAGGAAAGGTTGCACTGCTTGCAGATTTCTGACTATCATGCTCAGCTAGCAGATATATGTCAAGGAGAGAACCTGACAGTGCAGAAACTTCATTGGCCTCTGTTGACATGAATTCCAAGGAAACCAGGTGGAAGCGGCTTGCTGCAGGGACCCCCCCATGTCTCTTTACAGAAACATCAATGTTTGCCCACCTTCTGCTGGTTCAAAAGCAAGGGGGACTCTTCTTTGTGTGTCCCCCCCCCAAAAAATCCACCCCAACCTACCTAGAGACGCGTTGGCCACGGTTGCTCCTATTATCCTCAAGGAGCCGAGGTTTGCAAAGGGAATGTCTTGGTCGCTGGAGAGACGGAAATGCTCCTGGTGGTCCAAGAAGCTTGCGAGGCCGTCAGGGTAAGTGAAGAGGCTCCATGTGCTGAACAGCCCAGGCGAAAAGGGCACCCCAGAAAAGTTCTTGCGCTCCAGGGAGCCGCTGAGATCTGTGGTGACACTGCCACGCACGTGGGTGGCATTGGACTCCAGGCTTAGTCGGAAATGAGTGGCATCGGTGTGGAGGCCAGCCAAGGACAGGGTGCAGGAAGAATGACCAGGGAAAGAGAAGGTGACATCAGCTGTGGAATGCGGACCTATCCCTCCAGGGAGGGGAAAGTACACAGGCTCCGGCGGACCACAAAAATCTGGCAATAGAGATGGGAGCAAATTAGGCCCAGGGAAGGGAAGGTGGAGGAGCCTGCTGTTATTGGTGGAGCTCGACTCAAGGACTCCCAACACTCATTTCATTCAGAGCCTGTGAGAGGAAGCCTCGGAGGACTCCATCCCACAAGAAGCCCACCCGCCTTTTGGATCAGCCCCCTAGAACTCAGCCACTGCCTCTCCCCCCACCCCCTGCCGAGGCAAAAGGGATTGGGAGGGGCAGTGACCTACAAAAATTCACATGTGGAATCTGAGGTTCCCAAACTTGTCCCCCAAATCCAGATTCTTTTATCTTTCAGAAGGATTTTATGCAGTTACGAAACGAAATGCCGATTCTGAAATCAAAATGAGCATGCCTTTTTTGAATTGCCTCTTGTAAACCACCCTGAGATCTTGATGAAGGGTGGCATATAATTTATATAAGGGTGGCATAATTTAAATAATTATAATTATAATTCAAGGGGATGAAAGCTATCCCCCTACATAAGGGCTTTCCTCCAAGATTTCCCATAAAAGCCTTTGGAAAGGGATTTTGTCTCAAACTGTCAACTCAGTCCTTCACAGGTTTGTTGCCAGCCCTTTGCATAGTCTGTTCCTCTAGTCTTTCTACCTAATTTATCAGGAATTTGCTAATTAGGGGTTTGCAATTCCTTGGATCTCAGAGTGGCTGGAGCAGAGTACAATTAATAACATTGTTACTGTTACCGTTACCATTATCGTTACCGTTATGTTTATCGTTGTCGTTAATCGATATCATACTGTTACGGTTATGGTTATGGTTACAGTTCTGGTTACCGTTACCGATATTGTTATCGCTATCATTATTATCAGCTGCTTTCCTTGAGATGATGTCCAGCATTTCAGATGAAAATCCAACAGTTTCACACCTGAGTGGTGCTTTTATACTGCAAATTGCTTTGTGATTTTAGCTCCCCTTTTCTCCACTCATGAGAAGAGAGGAGTTAAGAGGCAGCTCTCTCTCTCTGTCTGCTCCAGCCTGTCTGCGGCCCCTCTGTTGCCCTTGAGCATCTATGGCACTCACCATATCTGTGCTGGCAGACAAATCCTGTTATTTCGGTCGTAGGACGCTCATTGCACGGTCTGGTCTGCCACGTCCCATGTTGGGCCATATTGGTGGGCTGCAGACTTAGCACCACACACTGGTCCTTCACCTGTTCAGGGGCTTTTCCTAGAGAATAGAGCAGCCAGGGGTTGTAAGAGCCCATATGAGCGGCTTCTAGCTACAGCCTCCTACCTTGTCTCCAGGAAGTCCCAACACTCTTCCTAATGCTACCTTCATGATCACTTCCTGCACTTCTTTCCCACCCCAAGTGGGAAATGGGCAAGAACTTTAGGTCCATTCCACACCCTTCCCCCAGCCTCAACACCCCATCCCAGAGCCCATTTGTGTGGAGAAGGAACCCCAGCTGAGTCAATGTGGTATTGCAGACTAGGGCCTGGGAGAGACCAGGGTTCAAATCTTAATTTGGGCGTTGTTGTTGTGGGGATTAAGGGGGTTAAGGGTGGAGGGAAAGAGCTCCTTGTAGAAAAATGTGGGATATGAATGCAATAAATAAATAAATAAATAAATAGGGGCAATAAAATAATAAAGAGCCCCAGGTCTTATGGAGCAAGTCTTATGAGGAACAGTAGAGAGAGTTGGGTATGTTTAGCCTGAAAAAGAGGAAACTGATGGGACAGATGAGAGCCATCTTCAAATATCTTAAGGTCATCACATGGAAGATGGAACAAGCTTGCTTTCTCCTGCTCTGGAGCGTAAGACTTGAACCAATGGATTCAAGTTACAAGAAAGAGGATTCTGACTAAATGTTAGGAACAGCTTTAGGGCAGTACGAGCTGTTCAAGTGAGGATTGGACCCCCTCAGAAGGTGGTGGCCTCTCCTTCCTTGGAGGTTTTTAAGCAGAGGTTGGATGGCCATCTGTCATCATGCTTGAGTTGAGATTCCTGCATTACAGGGGGTTGAGTTGGGGTCCCTTCCAACTCTACAAATCTATGATTCTAGTTTTTATGCAGTTCTGGATGGCAACCAAGAGTTCTGACACAGAGAACCAGCTGTGATTCAGGACCCTTCTGTTCAGGAGCGATCATGCTTGGACTCAACATACCCAGATGCCACCGGAAATAGGCTGGGGGGGCTGACGAGTCGCTCCACCTCCATGAGGTGCCAAAGCGCAGCCCAATCCACATCTGCCAGCCGTCCTCAGGAAAGGCATCTGGGGAGGAAAAGGAGAAACCATCACAGATGTTTCTTGGTAAGGATTAGATGGCCAGTTCCCTGCACCCTCTTCCAGTGCAAAACCATCACTACTACTTCCCAGTTTGAATGGGGACAATAAATGCCACCATCTCATAGAATCATAGAATTGTAGGTCTGGAAGGGACCCGAGGGTCATCTAGTCTGACCCCCTGCAATGCAGGCATACACAGTTGTCCCATACAGGGATCAAACCTGCAACCTTGGCATTATCAGCACCACACTGTACCAACTGAAGAGGAGGAGGAAGAGAGTTATTCTGAGGGCGGCATTTGGGTACAGGTGCTCTTTTAAGTTTTGAAAATCTCCACTGTTAGTTTCATTTTTTGCTGCTTTTGACTGAAAGCATCTTTAAAGGGGCATTTGCCCAGAAAAGCAGCCCCCAAAATATTTAAAATATAAAGAGATAAATGGCAACAGCCATCCCCCAAGGGCACTTAAAAAACTAATAAGAAGCACATATCTCAATTGGTAGAGCATGAGTTTCTTTATCTCTGGTTCGTGGGTTCAAGCCCCGTGTTGGGCAAAAAGGATTCCTGCATTGTGGGGGTTGGACTACTAGACAGATGGTCCTTGTGGTCCCTTCCAACTATGAGTCTATTATTCTAAGAGGAGCCCAGCTAGATCAGCCCAAAATGCTACTGCCTTGGCTACTGGTTTGCTGCTTCCATCCCTCACCTGACAGGAAGGTGTTCTGCTCCTCATCTCCAACAATTGCGAGGCCCTCCCCAGATTCCTGGCAAAAAGACTGGGCCTCTCTCCATGACCTCAGTTCCCTGAAGGATGGGAAATGGAAGGCGTAGCAGTGGGAGCGGAAGGGCACTTTCCTCACAGAGCCAGGGAGGGCATCTAAACAGGAAAGGCACAAGGGGAGAGAGAGAGGTACAAGAAGGTGCAGCTATGAAGTTGGTGGGCAGGTCCACATTTTAGATTAATGTAAATGGTGAACTCCTTACACTGCCTTTATTTCCCCTTCATCCACCCAGCGTTCTCCTCCACATTTTCTCCTCCTGAAATCCAGAGATCCCCTTTGCACTTCCCCCAGCAGGGCTTTCGACAAAATCCCCCATGATATTATTGTGAAGAAGCAGGTAAAATGTGAGCTGGACGAGGAAACTGTTAGATGGATTTGTAGCTGGTTGCCTGGCTGAACCCAAAGTGCGCTCATTAATGGTTCCTCGTCATCCTGGGGGGAAAGGGGGGCTGCCACAGGGCTCTGTCCTGGGTCCGCTGTAGTTTAACATCTTGGATGAAGGAGTTGAGGGGATGCTCATCAAATTTGCAGATGACCCCAAAATGAAAGGGGTAGCTAATGCCACAGAAGACAGAATCGGGTTTCAAGATGACCTTAACGGATTGGAGAACTGAGACCAAACAAGCAAAATTTCAACAGGGACAAATGTAAGGTTCTGCACCTTGGTGGGAAAAACCATCTGCACAAATATAACATGGGGGACACCTGGCTTATTAGTAGTACATGTGAAAAGGGTCTAGGGGTCTTAGTGGACAACAAGCATAACATGAGTCAACAGTGTGATGCACAGAGGAGAGGCCTGTCAATGGCTACTAAGTCTTGAAGCGTCAAGGGACCCCTTCCATGCCGACTCTGGGTGCTGGGGAGGTAAAACCCAGCCAGATGGGCAGGATATAAATACTACTACTATTAAAATTAGTGAGGGCTGCTGGGGTTGGCTCTCTCCATTCATCAGCAAAATGCAGTATTTCTATAGCCTCCCTCATTATGCCTCCTGCTGGCTGCTGAATGTCGAGGCTGGGAAGGAGACACCCCCTTTGCTCTTACCTTTCATGGGCATCTCACAGATGAAGGAGACGTTGGCACCGCAATCCCAGTCCCTCCACTGGCCAGCGTAGATGCCCACGAGCTGTGTGCAACGCTCCTTCTTGGGGTGGCCTTGGAGCCAGTTTCTGATAAAGCAGAAAGAGTTCAAGATCCAAAAGCAAAGAACTTGCTTCTGATCTCTTAGCAAACCACTTTTATAGCTCCGCCGGCAGAGCAGGAGACTTGCTCTTCGGGTTGTGGGTTGAAGCCCCACACTGGAGCCCTCTGCCATCAGAGCCACGCATCAAGGTTCTCTTACCTGTACCAGCTCTGCGATAATGGGGTTCCATCCACCCAGGCGAGCTGACTGCTTGCCTCTCGCCATGCTAACCCGATCCAGTAGTGCAAGGCGTTTTCCCGGGCGTTGTTTGAGAGTTCCGTCAGGAACATCTGTGCAAAGGCAGCATAATAAAATCACAGACTCATAACATCGTTGAGTTGGAAGGAACCCCAAGGCTCATCTAATCTAAACCCCTGCAATGCAGGAATCTTTTTGCCCAATATGGGGCTTGAACCCACAACCCTGAGATTAAGAGTTTCATGCTCTCAGATTGTTCTTTGCTGAAAGAAAATTATATGAAGATGATGTATAGATGGTATAGATAGACTCCAGTGCAGTTAGGTAAAATGTATAAAACCAGTTCAAATGTGTGTTGGAAGTGTAAGGGAAAGGAGGGGACATTTTAGCATATGTGGTAGGATTGTAATGAAATTAAAAGGTTTTGGGAAATGATATACAATGAACTGAAGAAAATGTTCCATCTAACATTTGTTAAGAAACCTGAAGCATTTCTGTTAGGGATTGTAGGAAACGACCTGCCAAGGAAGCTGAAAAATATCTTCATGTATGCAACAACGGCGGCAAGAGTCTTAATAGCACAAGGATGGAAGAATGAGGAAACCCCAACTAAAGAACTATGGCAAGAGAATATGCAGAATTGACAAAATTGACACATAAACTATGGGACAAGGAAACTGTGACTTTAATGATGAATGGAACCTTTTACAAAGTACTTAAAGAAACAACAAAGTGAACTGGACTCCTTGGCAGGTTTTGAATAAACACTCACAAACTTTTTATGAACAATAACCTGCCAGATAAATTAAGGATTTATACAGTTTTGTAATATACAGAGAATAGTATTTGTAGAGAAACCAGAGACTGGAGCTGAGGGAAGTCAGGGGGGGAGGGGAAGGTGCGTTATTTTATGGGGGGAGGGGGAATGGGGGGAATTAAGGAGGATATGTATTAAGATAATATGTTTTGTTTAAATTTGTAATAAAAAATATTTTTTTTAAAAAAAGAGTTTCATGCTCTACCGACTGAGCTGTCCTGCAGTGGGAGCAAAGGCAGGCAGCATAACTTTCGCCACTTTCCCAACAGTCTCTGCCAGGGACTTCTACAGGAAAGGGGCCATGGCTTGGTGTTAGGGCAATTGCTTTGCATGCAGAAGGCAGCATCTCTGGGTAGCGCTGGGGCAGCGTCCTTGCATGAAATCTTGGAGAGCTGCTGCCAGTCAGTGCAGACAATGCTCAGCTAGTTGCACTAGCTGTTTATGTTCCTGGGCTCAGGAAATGACCTAGCCGACCTGGGACTCAAGAGCCCTCACTGGGTGCAGAATAGAAAAGGGTTCTGAACAGTGTTAGAAATTCACCAGGTGCCGGGTGCATTTTGCAGAGATCTCTTGGTTCGCCTCCTCCTCAGTTAATCCCTACAACGACCCTGTGAAGTAGGTTAAGAGTCTGTGATTGACTCCAAGGTCACGCAGTGAGCTTCATGACTGGCTGAGTGGGGAGTTGAACCCTGATCTCCCAGGTCCTGGTTCAACTCTTCAACCACTACAGCACACTGGCTTCCTAAAGAAATTCTGCTATGGGACCACTCTATCAATTAAGTTGGTCAATAAATATGGGGAAAGCAAATTGTCACTTTGAGAAGGATCTGCAATATTTTCCTTGAAGCTTGAATTTTTCCCCCCTTCTGGATTGTTTGATTGGATGTTTTAGTGGGTTGTCAACCACTTTGAGATTTTTCCTTTAAAAGATAAAGCAGAAATGAAACACGGCACCTAGAGCACCTGGCCATTGCCATACCTGGGTCAGATCTGGATTCTATGCCAGGTAGTCATCCTCAAGTGAGGTTTCCCTCGCTTCCTCCCTCCCAAACTAAAGCATTCCCAGCCTGCAGCTTGCAAAATCCGCCTCTTACCTGCTTGTGGTAATCCTTGATGACAACCAGGTCTGCCTTTTGGTCCCTGCAGAAGACTCTGGCTTCACTCCAGGACAGAACAAGAGAGCCAGCTGGGATGTAAAGGCAAAGCTCATTCCTGTACAGGATCCACCTTGGGGGGCACAACCCCAGCACTGTGTGGAAAGGAAAGGTGGCATTTTCCCAATCAGTAAAATGTTAGCTTCTTGTTGCTAACTTTCAAAACAGTAGCTTCTTGTTCCCACCTCTCAAAGCTGGGGATTTGGACAAGGGAGGGAAGGGGCATGTCAGATGGTGTTCCTGGGCACTAGAAATGCTTTTGGGTTGGGCCTGCTTGCTGGTCTGGGAACCACAGAATCATAGAATAGGAAGGGACCCTGAGGGTCATCTAGCCCAACCCCCTCCAATGCAGGAATCTCCACTCAAACATCCATGACAGATGGCCATCCAATCTCTGCTTTAAAACCTCAGTTGAGCAAAAAAGAACAATAACTCCAACTTCCTGCATTGCAGAGGGTTGGACTAGATGACCTGTGTGGTCCCTTCCAAATATATGATTCTATTATTCTAAGGAGAACTGCTCTTGCTGGTTACAGACAGCCTTTATCTCCTTTGCCTTGCCAGCCTAACAGTTTTGGAAGGGTTGACTCTGACACCTAGGACTTTTGCTTGCACACACACCCCTCATAATTTTATCCACAGATAAAATGACTCAGAATTTGCTCAGTTGCATCCATAAGAAGAAGAAAGAAAAGCCAGGGCACTTGAAATAAATATTGTGATCTTCCCACTTTTTATCTCTTGTCTTCCTCCAGGAACTTCCTACCAGAACTGGCGAAGAGCAACCCCAACACGACTCGGACTACCTTCTGATGCATCTCTGATCTCCTTAGAGCCGCTGACCCCATCACCCTAAAATCGAAATTACATCACAGTTAGTCTTTCTCTGGGATAGGAGATCTCCATCCCCTGCCAGGACATGTTCCAACCTTGTCAAGGAACAGACTGCATACTGGTCTTCCTCATGCCTTCAATTCAATGCTACCAATTCATGTAGTAATGTAGCAACTTTTCTGGTATCTGTACCCAGCAGTGTTCAAAATTCCCCAGGTGAGTTTTGCAATGGGCAGAGGTCCAATTGTGACCACGTGGAGATCTCTGGGCACCAGGCTGGCAACTGACATCTCCATCTCGCTGGCCCCTCCAGCTTTCTTAAGGATGTAAGCAGAAGAGCTTATTTATTGCATTTTTATCCTACTTTTTCCTCCAAGGAATACATGGTTCACCCCCCACCATAAAAAAATCAAACAATCCAGAATAAAACAAATTCAAGCTTCAAAGGAAGTATTTCAGATCCTTCTCAAAGTTACACTTGGCTTTCCCCATATATATCGACTGACTTAATTTATAGAGCTGCCCTGTAGCAGAAAGACTCTAGGAGTGGTTAAAGCATCCAGTATGGATGCTTACAAAATGGCCTCTGTGCTCTCACAAAAACACACACACACACAAAAACAAAACCAGGATGGTTGAGGAGCAGTTGAGGGGTCTGAAATAGGCAACCTTTCCTATGTGCGTGTAAGAGAGAGTGGCAACGACCACAGCATTGCACACACACCCAAAAATCCTGCTTGCTTTGGGGCGCTGCCTAGCAACTGATAACTCTAGGCAGGCTTGGTTTAAAGGTTCCAGCCACTAGGCCGAAACACAGCCTGCCTTTTGTTACTAGTTGTTGCTGCTGGTCATAGATCACAGAATGGTCTAGTTCTGATGAGATGAAGAGTCTCGTGGTCTACTGGTGATGATCAGTGCTGGGGGGAAACAAGGCATTAGGAAATAAATTTTGACTCAAAAACAATAACTACTTGGGGGGGGGGGACCACACACACACCAAAAACACCCATAGCCGGACAGGTGAAAAAATGGATGAGGCAAAAGCAGCACCTCCCTTGGTCAAGAAGAGAGCAGAATGGTGGCCCTTTGGCAGAATGACGATGTTTTTGTGGCAGACCTCAACAGCTTTGTTGAACATCATCTGGTTAGGATGGGGAGACAGCTGCCCCTGTTGAATTTCTGCCTGCCAATGCAGGAATCGTTTGCCCAATATGGGGCTTGAATCCACAACTCCGGGATTAAGAGTTTCATACTCTTACCAACTGAGCTTTCCCATTGTCCTACCTGGGGATGCAGGAATTTTTTGCCCAACGTGGGTTTGAACCCACAACCCTGAGATGAAGCACCTTGTGCTTTACTGACAGAGCTATCACACCTATTTCGCTCTCTGAAGCAGTATGATTCTGATGCTGAATTTTTTTCCAGTTGCTTTTGCTTCATGAAAGCTCAGTCAGTAGAACATGAGACTATTAATCTCAGGGTGGTGGGACTAGATGACTATTAATCTCATGGCAGGGGTTGGACTAGATGACACTTGCGGTCCCTTCCAGCCGTACGATTCTATGAGTCTAACGCTGCAATCCTAAGGCTCATATAAGACAAGAGCACCTTACCTAATTGACCGACACAATACTTTGGGGCATTACCATGAATGAATGGTTCTTTTATGCACTGACAGTGAGATGTCTGAAGAAGGGGAAATGTACCAGGCCGAAAAATCAGTGAACAATGGCTGCATTGACTCGACTGGATGTGTTGAAATCCTGTTTGCGTCAAGAGGAGCAGGAATGACGGAAGCTGCTTTAAGTGACCCTGGAGCAGCAGGCTTTGATGTGTTGACTTTATATCAAAAGATTTATATCGAAAGATGGCCCCTTTCCAAGACTAGCCTGAAAAGTGAGAACAATCTGTCATTTCTCAACCTGAGATAGCTCAGTTGGTGGAGCATGAAACTCTTCTTCTCTGGGTCGTGGGTTCGAGCCCCGCATTAGGGGAAAGATTCATGACTTGTGGGGAGTTGGATTAGATGATCCTTGGGCTCTACAGTTCCATGATTCTAAGCTTAACGCTGAAACAAGCTCATAATCCAGTGCTATTCCATGGACTAGGTAGACCACTGTTTCAGCTCCGTTGGTTAGAGCGAGGAGCTGGTAATGCCAAGGTCGTGGGTTTGATCCCCGTACGGGCAACCTGCATATTCTGCATTGCAGGGAGTTGAGCTAGATGACCCTTTGGAGGAGAGAGGGCCAGGAGACAGACATGTGCTCCCCACCCCCAGTCTTCCAGAAAACACAGAGAAATGAAAAGATCAGAGGAGAGATTGGTTGCGTACAGACGCAGTCTACGATAGCTTGGAAAAAAACCCGGAGATTAAGGGAAGACAGGGACCTTCAGTCCTCACAACTGGTTCATTGAGGCAAGACTTACTGAGAAGAGTTGCTGGCATCACTAGGACTGTGTAGTTTTAGTTTCTTTGAATGAAGAGTTAACTTCACTGAGACTGGTGTTTTTTATTACAGACCTACACCTGACTCAGGCTCCTGACACGCAAACAGGACAGCAGCAAGGCATGCAATGTCCTAGAGACTATGATACCCATCTCTACACGTAGTCATGAAATGACTCAGCAAGTCATACACTTGACCTCCCTGGTATCGCTATGGTAACCCAGTGCCACATGGCACCCTTATCTCAGAACATCCAGACATGGGGGATTGGTCTCAAGACATGAGACCATTTACTTTTAACCCATAGTTCACAATGTCCATCAGCTCAAACCCACCCCTGACAGAGAACCCCATATGCAGGAAGATGACAACATCTTCCTGTGGCCCAGGAAAAGTGACCTTTAGAGCCAAAAAGGAGAGGCCTAAAGACTATAGGTCTGGCACAACAGCACACCCCACTCTAAGGATGGGTGAATCCCTAGATGTCACCCTCCGAACGTCTCAGGGAGGTGGGACATAGAGAAGGGCCTCAGATGACAAGCACAGGGTCTGGGATGGTTTGTATAGGGAGAGGTGGTTCTTTAAGGCACTGGGGTCCTGAGCTGTGTAAGACTTATAGGTCAACACCAGTAAGTGACACCTGTCAGTCCAGTCAGCTTCTGTGTACATGAAACAGGCAGGAGGTGCCATCCTATCCATTGCTACAGGTGGCAAAATGTCTTGGGCCAGCCACGCATGTACTCATCCACCAGAAAGGACCCACACAGAAACGCCACCTCTCACATCCCTGGACGTAGGGGGTAGTATTCAGCTATGTTTCACTTGGAGTAGACCCACTGAAATTAATGGACCTACAGTAACAGTCATTTTCATTTATTTCGATGACAATACTCAGAGTAAAACTTAGTTGAAAACCACCCAGGGTGCTGCACATTACTAGCTAAGTTGCACATAAAAAAACACTTGAAGGTACAATGTTTTTAAAAACTGCTCCAATTATAGTAGGTTGTTTGTTTTTCCCCCAGAGGCTTATCATCCAGTTGTGATTGGTATCTAATCCAATATTTGAGTAATAAAGGCTGCAGTGGCAGATAACTGTTACAGGTTACGGCCCTTGTTATGGTTCATGCAGACAATTTTTCCAGACCAGAATAAATGTTGCTATTTGTTTATTCCTTCAGAAGAGTAGAGACTTGGGTCTTTTTGCCACAATCAATTTATTATGCAATACATATTTGTTTATCATCTGTTACACTGTGGGCACATCTCTTTCTCCACCGCACTGCAGGATATTGCATTTTCACTGTGGGGATATTGTATTTTCAAAACTCTCAGAAAGTAATATTTCTATCTGCCATTGTGAAGGGCTGGGGTGGTGGGTTAAGGAAAAGCAGGCAGGCTCACTTGCAAAATAAGGGTGTACAAAAAGTATTGTATTGTTTGGTAGGGTATAGAAGCTGGATTTCTCTCCTTGAGACAGGTTTGCACTGTGTGTGTACCCAACAACATTGGGAGGGGGGAGAGAAAACCAAATCACTGTTTGCATCATTAAGGGTTTTTTTCTGTATGCCCTGTTTAGGGAAGTGTTCAATGTTTAATGCTGTATTGTGTTTTTAATATTCAATTGGGAGCCATCCAGAGTGGCTGGGGAAACCCAGCCAGATGGGTGGGGTATAAATATTATTATTATTATTATTATTATTATTATTATTTGGTGGATATGGTTACATCAATATTATGAGCCAATATTAATGTTACCATATCTATGACTACAAAATCATACTGTGTGTTTTGTTCTTATGCTGGGGTTTTTTACATTGCTGCTAAAAATGGTAATAAATAAAGTGTGGGACTTCCTGGCACACATGCCCTTTGACGTGGAAGCTCTTCTAATAAATCTATGCCGCCTTAATAACATTCACATACAGAACATGTAGCTCAAGCTAGAATTGGGTGTGCCCTTTAGTGTCATGTGTCAAAGCACTTGCCAAAGAAGTCAGAAACTATATTGGGGTCAATAGCACATATCACAAAAACTGTTTCTTCAGATTCTTCACCCTGTTCCTAAGCAGTGGGAGAATTTTACCCAATATTCTCCAGGGAGTATCGCATGTGAAGGGCTCATCTTTAGCAAAGGTAGTGAGCACTACTTCATTCTTTTTCCAGAAGGGTTTTTCTTCTGTTGTTGCTGCTGCAAAGAATGAAGCAGAGCTTTGCTTTGCAAAGAGGATATAAGGATAAGAAAATTAAGTGTAGGTTCAGAATAGCCGTGGTCTGCAGACAGTTTGATATCTCACTGGGAACTATCACATCTATAATATGCAGAAGTGTGATGAGTTTTGCCCTCGCTATGTGGTGCCTTGAATTTGATATCATACTTTGCAGCCTGATCTAGGAAAGCATGCTCATTTATTACCTTTGGAAGAAGTTATGAATCTGTATCATGCACTTACTAGTCACCCAAGAGGAGGAGGAAAAGATGACCAGTTGTGGCTGAGAAGAAGGGGAAATGAGGACTGTCTCACGATTGTTCTTTACTTCTGCATGGTTCCAAAGTGCAAGAAGTCTCGAGAGACTTGCTGGCAGGGCCTTAAATGAGTGTTAGCGCACATGCTTTATGTGGAGAAGGTGCTAGGCTCATTTCCTGGCATCTCTAGCAAGGAAAGGCTATCATCACGCAGGGGGGCACCCATAATTCACAAGGCTAAGCGGGGTCCAGTATGGTTGCAAACTGAACGGGGGACTCTATTGCAAAGGGATGGACTAGATGGCCCTCCCAACTCTTCGATTCTATGAACTGCAGTTAATTCCTTTTGGAAATTAAAGGGACAGAACTACCTAAACTGTATAGAAATTTATTCATGTGTGTGACTACAGTGGCAAGAATGTTACTTGCCCAAAAATGGAAAGAAGAAGAAGTCCCAGCAAAAGAAGAATGTTTACAAAAACTTATGGAATATGCATAAATGGCAAAATTTGCCAAAAAAATAAGAAATTAAGATAACAAGCTTTTTATAAAAGAATGGAAATGGTTTATTGAATATTTACAAATAAACTGTAAACAGATAAGAACATTGGCAGGATTACTGTAATAACCTGCAGTTTTATAAGAGTACAGTGGTACCTCCGGTTGCAGACGGGATCCATTCCAGAGGTCCGGTCAGATCCCAATGTTTCTGCAACCTGGGGGCTGCTTCTGCACATGTGCACGTGGCAAAACCCAGTCAAATACTTCTTTCACATCCTGAAGTTTACGTAACCAGAGGGTTACGTAACCGGAGGTACTACTGTATATGTTTAAAGTAGATCAATAAATGAGCAAATTAAGTTAATTTGTATACAGTGGTACCTCTGGTTGCGAACGAGATCCATTCCGGAGCCCCGTTTGCAACCTGAATGGAACCCAACCCGCGTCTGCACACGCATGGGTCACAAGTCGCCGCTTCTGTGCATGCGCATGACATCATTTTGCGCATCTGCGTGCGCACAAGTGGCGAAACCCAGAAGTAACCCTTTCTGGTACTTCCGGGTCGCCGCGGGACACAACCTGAAAAGACGTAACCCGCAGCGTTCGCAACATGAGGTATGACTGTATGCAGAAAATGTAAAAAATAAATTTAGGGAACCGCAGAAAGAGGGGGAAGGAAGTCAAGTTTTGAAATGTTAATAGGATTGTAAAAGTATTGAAATGTATAAAATGGAAAATTATATATATTAGATAGATGATAGCTAGATAAACTGCAGTTAATACACAGCAGGGTGGAGCTGGCACACTGCACATGCTCAGGAGCAATGCCAAACTCTCTGATAATATATGATATTTATATGTATATGAGATATATGTCTCATTCCAGTCCAGGGTTTCGGTCCCAGGAGCTCCCCGTGGAGCTCTGGCTGAAAACAGATGCCCCCCTCTCTCCCTCCCGCCTCCGCTCAGCACCCTGGCCAGCTCCTCCCCCCCCCGGTGCCTCCCCTCCTGCTACTTCCGGGTTCTCCCCGCCGGCTGGCGGGAGGGGCGGGTCCGGAGAAGGAAGGAGGGAGGGAGGGAGGGCCGGGCCCGGCGCGGAGCGCCTATATGAGCGCGTGCGCAGTGGCGCCGCAGCCCAGACGGCGACAAGATGGCGGCGCTGCGAGCCATTCGGGGGATGGTGAACGGAGCCGTGTCCGAGCTGAGCGGCGGAGGGGCGTCGCGGGAGCAGGCGGCCGCCGTCACCCGCGACTACCTCTCCCAGCCCCGCCTCAGTGAGTAGCGGCGCCGGGAGGCAGGCGGGGCGGGGAAAGGGGACCCCCCCCCCCCGACTCACCTGCCCGCTTCCTCGGACTCCCTGCGGGGGATTATCCGGGGGGTGGGAGGAGAGAAATAATATTATTACTTAAGAAATTCGGTCCTGCAGCTTTCAGAGAACAGAACAATCGGAATCGCGGTTGTTATTGCTGCCTTGTTTTTCTGTGGATTGCTCAACAGTGTCCCGTCCTCCCTCCCTCCCCGGCCAAAAAAACCCCCAACACACCCCAGTAATACAAATTTTATTCCTCCTCCCAAATCCTAGCAAGCAGGAAGAGCCGTCATGTTGTGTAGAAGGTGGTCTTTGACGGGAGCTGCGTTTATGTAGCCCCTCCTATGGTTGACGCCGGCTAGTGGCTGCAGCAGTGATGGGAAGGGATGACTAACAGCATTATCATTTATATTAATACAGTATGTTCCTTTTTACCGTTTTGCACCCTCAGTGGAGAGGACAAGGCGCTGCCCCGAGGGGTAACGAGTCTAAAAATAAATGCATATAAATAATCCTTCTCTTCTCCCTCCTGCACAGCCCTTCAGTGTTTTTTCTCTAGTGGTTGCTCCTTATTTTTTCCTCTTTGGGGTCCAAGGTCCAAGGCCTGTGGGCCCACCTCTAATGCATTCTTGTTCTCATTCTTCCCTTCTCTTCTTCTTTCCCTTCTTCCCCATCCTATCTGAAGCATTTCCCAATTTGTGAATGTTCCGTTCTCTGTCCACAGTGTGCCACATCTATTCTTTCTAGGTTTGAACTTTTCGTGGGGGGCAAGCAGTGGGCACAGCTGCTTTGCTGTCATCTTGTCTCTTAAGAGTGATTTGTGTGACTTGTAAGTTGGGTGATTTGCAGTCCTGCAGGCTGAGGTCCTATGCCCACTTACCTAGAAATAAGCCCCAATGAGCACAGTGGGATCTACTTCTAAGTAGACATGCTTAGGATTTAACTGCATGCCATTGTAACTGCAGCATGTGCCATATTGGTTCTGCATTGGGGCACGGTAGAGTAGTGGCATCAAATAAATGCTTCCTGAGCTGGGAGACAAGAGGGATTGGATTGAAATTCATCTCCCACTGGGTTTTTTTAGGTGTGTGAATATAAGCCTCTGGACAACTGACAGCACAATCCTAGCCATGTCTACTCAGAAGTAAGTCCCATTGAGTTAAATGAGGCTTAAGTGTTCACTCAGGATGTTATCGTGGGTTGAGTTCAGTGGAGCTTACCCCAGTCAATGTGTTCAGAACTGCAACCTGAATTAGGTAACCTTTATTTTTAAAATAAAAATAAAAATGGCAGGTGCTCTCCCTTCCAGCCAGTTGGTGCAGGAAACTCTTTTTATGAAAGGGCAAAATTTCACAATGCAGTCTCATTGCTTGGCTATTTCGTTGGCTGTGCTGATTGGTGCCTCTTGGTATACAAGAGAGACCACATAAAGGACAGATGCTGGACTCTGTTTATACTGTATTCTATTCCCATGAAGTTGCTATCTCATTTAAGATAACAAAAATCCCCAAGCAAGGCCATTGTGGATTGTCTTTAAATGGGAAATGAAAGTAGGTGGTTGTGAAACATTCTGTAGGTTGACTAATCTGCTCAGCCTAAATCTCAAGGTCATGTGGTACACTGCAGAATCATGTGTAGCAGCAGATGGAGGCAAGATGGCTTTTGCATTATGGGATGTCTAGCTCTAACATTACAGTGGAAAATGCTTTGGGGATAAGTGTTATCTTTTTGCCATGTGTGAATAGCTCACGCAAAGCCTTTGTTATGTTGATTTATTGACACCTGAGTTAGTAGGGATAGAAGTGTTAAGTAGATATGCATCCCAGGAAGGCACTGCTTCCAGAAATAAGGACTAACTTAAGAGCTGCTGGTGTAGAAATTGAAATGTTAAATAGCTATGTTTTGTCACATGACAACTTTAAATTCTTGTGGCACTTTAAATCAAAATACTGTTAATTATGTGAGGTTACCGGTCCTAGTATTGGGTCTGAGTACCCAAGGAGGAAGCAGAGAACATGTACATCTCACTGATAAATGTTTGTTTAAATCAGTAGATTGTAACAAATCAAAGGTCATCGGTCGTAGTAAAAAGCTATCTTGGGCCGGAGGCCACAGCACATGACTGTCCTATGCAATTGTCTTAATAGTTAAAAGATCCTTGGAAAACTGCAGCAACTATAAGGCTGCTTTCCTATATAATCTTTCTATGTAAATATTATTGATTTAAGATATTTCTAAGCAGTGTTATATGTATGATAATGAGCTGAAAAAACTCCTTTTGATAACCCCAATAATGAAAGCTTTGATTTAGTCTCTAAATTACTGTCTTGGAAACTGCGCAATTTGAAAATGATTAAAACAAACTTTCTCAAGAGGTATCCTTGGCCAGTAAAGCAAGATGAGCGTTGCAACCCCAGAGTCGTCCGTGACTGGACCTAACTAACGGTCAGGGGTCCCTTTTCCTTTCCCTTTACAAGATTGAGTTAGGATATGAGAAACCCACATTCAAATCTCCTCTAAAGGCCACAGGAAGTGCAGGTCTGCCTGGAGGTGCTCACTTAAGAAGAGCCATGCTGGATCAGACCAAAGGCCTGTCTAGTTCTCACAGTGGCCAACCAGATGACAATGGGAACCTCACAAGCAGGACCTCAGTGCAACCACATTCTCCCTTCTTACGGTTCCCAGTACTTCCTGATAACCTCATGTTTGTGGCCCTAAAAATAAGGATGTGTGTGACTTGCCCCTCATCTTAGCTGTAAAGCTCTCTTGGGGGTTTGTCCAAACCACACTTCTCAGTCTCAGTCGTTGGAGGGAGGGTGAAATACATATGACTCCTTTGTCATAGTTAGATAACTTCCTGGTGAATTTTAAAACAGTAGTGACTTCCCTCTGTATAGAGGTGGCAGACCTAGTAAAATGGCTCACTTCAGAAGCTGATGGAATCTGAAGGATGCTTGAGACCACTCAGAAAAGCTGGCACATCTCTCAGTGCCCCAGTTGCTTTAGATGACACATAGATGACTGACATTACACACAATTGCTCCTAAGCACCTTCTTGGTTTAGCCAAGAGTTTGGGGCCATGAAGCCAGTAGGGAGACAGCTTGAATGCAAGTAGGGGCATCTGTAAATGTAGCCAAATACAGGGGATTGTGAAGAAATAACTCATTTCTGCCATCATTGTTCTCTCATTCTGCCAGTGAGGGAAGGGCAGTAGCTCAGTTGTAAAGCATTTGATCTGCATGCAGAAATTCCCAGGTTCAAGTCCTGGCATCTCCAGGTAGGGCCAAGAGAGGCCCCAGTTTGAAACACTGGAGAACTGCAGCCTGTCAGTGTAGATAATACTGAGCTAGGTGGGTTGAAGATCTGATGCAGCTTAAGGCAGCTTTCTATAACAGCAGAAGACCCATATCTCAGTGCTATAGCATCTGCCTTGTGTGCAACCTGGAACATCTTGATGTAGGGATGGGAGAGAACCCTGTCTGAAATCCTGGAGAGCTGCTACTAGTCAGTGTCAACAATAATGAACTGTATGGCCTAATGGTCTGACTCAGTATAGCAATTCCCTTTGTTTCTGTGCCATTGGGAAGGCATCTTTCTTGTTGCTTGGAGCCTCCTTCTGACCTACCAAAAGACATAAATACTAATATCCGATAATCAACAACAGCAACAAAACTATCTGATGCCTGCTGTGATAGTTGCTACTTTATTTGAGTTTAAATTACTCATTTTCATCACAATTTGTTATCATATTTCAGTCTGTGGACATATCCAGAGCACCATCTAGTCCTGTTTTATTGGATGGATTTAACTTGTTACAGCATGAGGATATGGCAGGGTGCTTGGAGAGCTGTAGCCTAAGTCCTGGGTGTTTGATCCTTGGGTCCTTTTTGGCTCAAAGCATTGAGCAGCAGATTGACCAGCATGGTCCAAGGAGTTAATGAATGTGAGTGTGCCCTTGACTATGGCTTTCTTGGATGTGTGTTTGTGATTGCAGTGCACCTTCAGGCAGAGACTAATTATTTGATTCATTTCAGCCTTGTTTTGGTATAAAAACTCTCTTAGTTGTCCTGATGGACGACTTATGCTGAGGGAAGGACAGAAGCAACATAGGCTGATCTGGTATAGGGCAGCTTTTTATCTGGCCACAGTGTCTACTATTATCTGCTTCGGCTGGCAAGGACATTTGAGGGTCTTGAGGGCCTTTCCCATTCTCTTTTCCCAAGACTTTCTTAACTGGGGTTACCAGGTGTTGGACCTTAAATCTTCCTGTGCTCTGCTACTGAGTTCTGGCCCTTCCCCAAAATAAAACAAGGTGGATAATCGTCCCAATGGTAGGCATGCAAAAATCTTGGTTATTCTCTCAAAAAATCAGTAGTCTTTTATATTCAAAGCAGGACATGTAAGTTCATATGCTGATCTGGTTACTGTAAATCAGGGGATGTGTGACGGTTGCGAAACTCATGGAAAGGGGAAATCCAACCTTGCAGCAGCAGAGATTTGCTGCATGGACTCTGCAGACTTGTACAAGTTGCAGGAACGAACAGCCTCTGTTGTGCCAGTGGTACATGTGGTCACTCTGGTAATATCTACAGTAGCAAAAAGGGACCAGCCTTCCCCTGTACACTTTTGAATTGCTCCTGATGGAATAATTTGTCTCCATGAAGATGCTATAAACCAGTCTCTAGTTACTGAAAAACAAAAACGCTTTCATTTCGCCTCCAGCTTTCCATTCTAGCTTATTGCCATTATTGCTAGTTGCCTTTTTCCTTGTTGGGGGTCTACCTTTTCCTTGCAATACTGTATTGTTATTCTCTAGTGCAGAAATAAGATTGAGGAAGCTATCTAGGGACAAGTAAGTGAAGCTTGTTGGAAGCCCACTTGATTATATTGAGGTTTCATTGCTCTCCGCATCTACATGAGGGCTGGTGTCTCTGTGTTGGGAGCCCCCCCATTTGTGTCCTCCCAGCAGCTGTGTTGTTCAGTTGGATGTTTTACACCTTGGTTCAGTGCCACCAGCTTCATCACACAGGCATCCTGAAGGCTTTAAAAAGTATTCCGCCAGAGAGAAAAGGAAATAGACAAGTAGGAGGATGTCAGCTGTGGGGAGTGGGATCTGAAGCAGGCACTGCGAAGTAAGGGGGCTGGGGGGTGTAGAAAGTACTTTGCCTCTCCTTAGATGGTTTCCCAGTGCTAGGAAGACCTAGAAAAGTCACCAGGATGTAGTCCTGCCTATGGTGATGAAGGCTCTTCAGCTGATGTGGCAGAAGTCTCTTAATCTGCTAATAATGCTTCTTTCTGCAAATACATGGGTGGGGGGTTTTGGTTGGGAGGGTGAGATTGGGGGGCCCATTGGTTAGGGCTGGGCCGCCTTAGGCAATCTTTCTCTTTTTCTGTCTTAGAATATAGGCTTTGAGCCAGCTGTCCAAGCTGTTTGTGTGATGGTAACTAACTTGCAGATAGTGATAAAACAAGGAAATTGGATTGTTTGGAGAAATGACAGGAAGTAAGCTCTTTGCTCAGGGAAGGGGGTTGAGTGCTGATGAGGCTGTCACGAGTTAAGAGTTCCCCAGACTAATGGCTGTGTTAGCTGAGCAGAGAAGCAAGCAGTGTTTTAATCCAACTTGAAGCATTTAACTGGGGGCAGTAGGAGCTCAAAGCTGCAGTTCTTATCTGCTTAGCTTTGTATTTTTCTCTACATATAGCTGAGCAAAGATAAATAAAGGTGAACAACACATTTTTAGGTGATAGTTACATTTTAGTCTGAGCTGAAAAGTAACCTGAAAAGCATGCACAAAATAAGGCAAATTAAAACAAATAGATTACAAAAAATGGTCCAGATGTTCTCTCTTGAGACACTTCTGAAATACACTCGGTTTGTAAGACTCCCAACAGATTATTTTTCAGTATTGGGACAGGTACTTGGAAAAATTTCTTAGTGTATCTTTGACTAAATGGAGCACATGGGGATGATTCTCTTGTTTGATCTTCTGTTGTTATAAGGCATAGGAGCTTATCTCGAGTATCTTCAAAGTAATCTTTTTTTGAGTTACAGGAAAGTTTTTATTGTATATCAATAGACTTTGTTACCACTTACTAACAGTGTAAATATCTCAGTGTTGACATAACAGCTACCATATACTGACATACTTGCAATGAACAAAACCGTACTGCTGTTTCACCACCACCCAGGTTATGCCCTGCTAATTCATATTGTAGCCAACACAAAGAAAAGAACATTTCCTAAGGCATAATTTTAATGGTAACTTTAATCAGAATCGAAGTATTGAAACATTGCTTCTAAAGTTTTAAAACTGAACATATATAAAACATGTTTGAAACCTTGAACACAAAACATAGCATATTTTATGTGTGTGTAAAAATGTTCAACACTTTTAGAAGTGAAGTGATGTTTTAATATTTCCATTTCAGTGAAGATTACCATTAAAATAAGCAGTGGAAGGGAGAGGGGTTTGGATTCCTCAACACTTTCTCTTCCTGGATGACACTTTGTGCATCTGGTGGACTCTTGGCCACAACCAATAAATCCTGGTTTCTAAGGGGCTGCAAGATATTCCCTCGTGTTTGCTATAAGCCAACTAGCACCATAACACACCCGCCCTTCTGGGTACTGTTGGGAAAACTCAAAACTCAGACCTGGTCGAGAGTCTTGCCACTTGCATATGTACTCATTGTGTCAAATGCTTCAGTCTCATTGAATTCAAGGAAGCTTATGCCTTAGTGGTTTGTAACCATGAAGCAGAATGCTGTGTATATTTCTGAAAGACTTATTTCCAAGTCCTACTATATTTAATGGATCTAACTCCCAGGTACATGGGATTTCAGTTCTAGACGTATTAGTTGATTATCCTGTTCTAGAAATAATCTGACTTGCTCATCCCTTCCCTGTGTGATTAATGATTACTCCGCTGCGTGTGAGCCTGATAAAGCCTTCTGTCTCACTAAAACACTTCTATTTGCAGATCATGTGAGACTGAAGCATTTGACACACTTGGGGAGAAGTATGCTGTTTGGAAGGGCAGTGATGAAAAATAAATATTGTTCACAGTCAGGTCCTTTCCACCACCCATATCTCATATCTGTACAGTCTTAAGCATTAAAAATATACTGTACTTGGGGAGGTTAATACTTTTAGCAAAACCCCTCAGAAAAAAAATACATTTATGGAAATTACAACAAAACTAAAAATTACAGCGCAGTTACAACAGACTAAAAACAGCAGTGATAAAATGCAGTTAAAAAGGCAGCATCTAAAATGGCTATCAGAAGAGATGGGTATTAGCAGCATACCAAGAAGTAAGCAGCAGTGTGTCCAGGTGAACGTCCTTAGCCAAAATATCAGTGTTCCAAAATATTAATGCTATGACATAGAAGGTCGTGTGTGTGTGTGTGTGTGAGAGAGAGAGAGAGAGAGAGAGAGAGAGATTGCACATCTTAGTTAACAGAACACACACACACAGTGTGCATTTTAGTAACAGAGTACTGTGAGATTTTCGGGATGAGGCTTCCCCACTTCAGATTAGGCTTGAGAGATCCTACATCACTTCTGTTAAGCCCCCAGACATCCAAGGCGCTCTGATTTGGCTTGGGTTTGTACAATGCCTTTGTACACCCATAGCGCACACAACCTCCAAGTGAATAATAAAATTAAAGGTTGAGAAGGCACTCCAATCTTAACTCCTGACAGCCGCAAAAATATATTTCCTTGCAATATGTCTCTTGCTTTAAACCCCCCCCCCCTTTCTAAATTAGGGAGCTGAGGTGAGGAAAACGTTGGGTGATGGAATCAGGACTGGGTTTTAGTGTGGCAGGACTGTAAATAAAGTTCTGATACTTGAAAACAAATAGGCCATGCATGTATGCACCTTGTTCCTTAATTCTATATTTACCACCCTCCTCCACCGCCCCTGTTTTGCACCCAGCTCCAATTGGTGTTCATTCTTCTAGTAAAAAACAAAATGGATCTCAAAAACTCCAAGTCTTTTAGGCACATATAAACCGGGGTGGGCAGAAACAGAGTGCAGAACTTAGAATTCGCTTTGGTTGCCATAACATCTGCTTCTGCAACTCCTTGGTATCTGCCCCTCTGTTCTTATGTCTCTAGCCTTATTACAGAGCTGCTCTGTCCCCAACTCCAGCTTCTGCTAGCAAAAGTCCACCCATCTCACTGGTAGAGTGTAAGCTTGGCATGCAGGATCTCTGTTTAGTCCCTCACACATCTAATTAAAGGGTTTAGGCTAGCAGGGGTGGGAAATATCCCTTGGAGAACTTCTCCAACTTGCATCATCAGTAAGATGGTGCTGGCGTATGCGGACAAATGGCCTGAAGCTGTTTCATGTACAGTGGTACCTTGGGATGCGAACGGGATCCGTTCCGGAGCCCTGTTCGCATCCCGAAGCGAACATAACCCATGTCTGTGCGTGCGTGGGTCACGTTTCAGTGCTTCTGCGCATGACGAAACCCAGAAGTAACGTGCTCCGTTACTTCCGGGTCGCCGCGGAGCACAACCCGAATTTGGCTAACCTGAAGCGTATTCATCCCAAGGTATGACTGTACTCCCATGTACGACTGCGTTAGCTAGGCTTTAAACCCTCTTCTCCCAATGGCTTGGAAAGACATGGAAGAGAGTGCAGCATCCACCTGTTTGGTTGGGGGAAATGGCGCTAGAGTTGACTAAACAACAAGTGGACTAAAAAAAGTGGACAGGAAGCTCTCTTTTGCCAGAAGTATGGGGCCAGGTCAAGGATAGAGTGAGTTTGCTTGGGAATCTTGCTTCTGTTGCTGCCTGCCCCCTCTTTCAATTTCAACTAATATTCGTTGAAATGCAACTTCGTTACACATTTTCCTAATTAAGAGTAGAATGTGTTGAGTTGAACACAACAAGCAGGTTATTGCCAGTGTTCGGAACCATAATAGTTAACTAACTGGAGTGGCAGGAGTTCCTGAAAATGTGTGTTGGTTGATCCAGCACTCTGCAGAGCTGCTTAACCCTGCAGTAAGACTCTTACACAGCTCCATGCTGTCAGTCAGTTTTCTTTTCAAGCACTTGAGATGGTGCAGATACCTCAAGGCAGCGTAGATAGGATTGTGTTTCCTAGCCATTGGCTGAAGGAAATTTAAGCTTGTAGAGTTCCAACTAATGGATGACTCCGAGGGCACTTGGCATTGCTGTCTTAACATTCTGTGTGCCAGAGATCCTGCCCCCAAGATTATTATGGATCTCGGCTCTTGTGTCAGTATGAGATGTCTTCTTTGGCATCACAGCACAGTGTAAAACAAACAAGGCCTGCTGTAAGCTTCTCTGCAAGCATTGTGCTGTTCACTTAAAAGGCCTTTTCCCCAAAGGAAGATATTTGTGCAAGTTCCAGCAGAATAGCATAACATTCATAGCTTTGTACCTTAAATTGTCCTGATGCCCACTTGCTTAGCTGAAGGTTTGGTGCCTTCCTACACTGTGGGCTACTGCAGTGTGTTTCAGGATCTTACCCACTGTATAGCTCTCCCCAAACTGAACACTAAACAGGGTGTGTAATGAAAAGGATAATTAATAAGGTCTCATTATAACCAGAGCTGGATAAATTGTGTGTGTCTGGAAATGTGATTCAGGCATCTGGGACTTGAAATTATTCTCTAGTCTTGCCAACAACCCCATCTCCTGAATTTAAAAAGAATTAGTTAACAGCTTCAGCAGTTGGCTAGCTAGTAATGGATACAGTACAGTGGTACCTTGGTTTAAGAACAGCTTAGTTTATGAACAACTTGGATTAAGAACGCTGCAAACCTGGAAGTAGGTGTTTTGGTTTGTGAACTTTGCCTTGGAAGCAGAACATGTTCCGCTTCCTGTTGAGTGTGTTCCATTTGTAAATTGAGTCCCCCACTGCTATGGGAAAGCACGCCTTGGTTTAAGAATGCTTTGGTTTAAGAACGGACTTCTGGAATGAATTAAGTTTGTAAACCAAGGTACCACTGTAATGGGTGAATGGTGTAGCAGCACACGGAAGTGGTAAAATGAGGGGGCCCTTTGGCCTTCTTAGCCATGTTGCAACACTTAGTACTCCTGGACAAGTGACATTCCTTTAAACACAACACATTCCCCAGGTGGTTGCAATTTGTCTCCCAAAGGCAGCCTCTCAAGCATAGCGTAAAGGATCACACTAGCATGTTGAGCAGAGAATGTCTTGATAGTCTTGCTGCCTTTATCATTGCAAAACCATGCACAATGACTTCTGTCAGAATGTGTCGAATCAGAAATTTACTAAGTTGTCTTAAAAAATACCTTTCTCTGGTTGTTTTCAGCATATAAGACAGTATCTGGAGTCAATGGACCACTAGTAATCTTGGATCAAGTGAAGGTAACATTATCTTTTTGTGAGTGTTTCCGTAAAAAGGCCTTGTTGTGACTGGCATTCTGCAGATTCTCCTGGCAACCTAAAATGGGAATGATCCTTCCTTCAAGGTTTGCATAAGGGCAGTTGAGTCTTCCCGCTGCAGAGAGTATTTTCGTAATAAAGTATCGAGGCAACAAAGGTTTCTCTCAATGATGCTCGTTGAATTTCCCATTTTGATAATACCATTGCAGTGAGTGGTTGTGGCTTAAGCAAACTCAAAATGTAATGTGGATTTTTAAAAATTACTTTGGAATCAAAATATTGCAACATTCTTGCATCCAAGCAAAACCCTTGAAATTATCAACAATAATTTTGGGTTGTGTCCTGTTTCATTGCATGATAGGAATTAATGGCTAAAATCCATGTTTAAAAGTCTTTGTTAAAGTAAAATTTGCCCCACTTGGCTCTTCCCAGCCAGTTATCCAACTGGTGCAGAGACCCTGTGGGAGCACAGCAGGAGCTATCAGCGCTGCTATGTCAGCTTCTACACCTGTCCTCCTATTCAGTCTACATGTGCTGTGGAAGATCACAGATAGGACTTGCCATAGAGGAAGGTTTCCTCTGAAACGTGTACACACATGTACACCTTGAGCAGCAGTATATGGATCTTCTGTTCTCACTGGAGTTGTGGAGGCATATAAAAACCTATACCCTTTTCAGGGCAAAATTAAGTAAGTGTGCCTTGTGTGTCATGGAAGAGAAAGGAGGTTAGGCAGTACTGCTTGTTAGGCTTCGAATAATGCTGTTACAACTGGGGTTGCGCAAACAAGCCACCTCTATGACTGACAAAGCAGTAGCAAAAGCCTGACCGTGTTCCGGTCTGAATACAGTGGTGCCTCGCAAGACGAAATTAATCCGTTCCGCGAGTCTCTTCGTCTTGCGGTTTTTTCATCTTGCGAAGCACGGCTATTAGCGGCTTAGCGGCTTAGCGGCTATTAACGGCTTAGCGGCTTTAAGAAAAGGAAACAAACTCGCAAGAACTCGCAAGACGTTTCGTCTTGCGAAGCAAGCCCATAGGGAAATTCGTCTTGCGGAACGACTCAAAAAACGGAAAACTCTTTCGTCTAGCGAGTTTTTCGTCTTGCGAGGCATTCGTCTTGCGGGGCACCACTGTAAATGTGTCTGATTAAGTTGTGAAAAGCAACATTAACATGCGCCTGTCTCCAGTTTCTGAATTTAGCCAGGAGGCTGGCATCCGTGCTTTCTCACTGTTGATGATTTGAGTCTTTAATGTAGATCAGTTCTTTTCCTGATGGAAGCCTTCTGACCCACCTAACTTGTCACTTAGTTCCCTAGGTATGCAGAGATTGTGCACTTGACATTACCGGATGGAACAAAGAGAAGCGGGCAGGTGCTGGAAGTCAGTGGATCCAAAGCAGTAGTTCAGGTAAATGGTGGGGTGACCTGCTTGATGGAATTGATGTTATTTCCTGTGTATCTGTTCTTGGAGAGAATGGCTGATCTTGGAAGGGTTGCCCTGTGTCTGCAAGTTGCACATAATATTTTATTTGGAAGCCAGTGGCCAGAAGGCTTTTTAATTCCCAGGTAAGTTACTGCAAAAAATCCCATTTGTTTTATGTGTTGCTTTAGTATTCATGCTTTTAAAATGCTTTTCAAACTCTAGCGCCAGATGACCATACTTTTGCTTTTGCACTTTCTTTGTATTAAAAATAAATAAATGGCTGTTTGTCACCTCTTTTTAAGACTTTAAGAATTAATAGAACTTGGTTGCTTAAGGAACAAAGAAGCAAGTTATGAGACAACCGATTGTAACATCATTTGTTTAATGATACAGTGTGTTGTCTGTGCATTGTTTCATCAAAAGGTCTATTTTACCTACCTACTCATTCACTTGCAGAACTTGTCTATGCAAATTGAAGCAGTGAGATTAAGCCCAAAATATGAAATACTAAAATATTTGCCTCTCTTTTTTAGGTTTTTGAAGGAACTTCAGGTATTGATGCTAAGAGAACCTCATGTGAATTTACTGGGGATATCCTTCGAACCCCAGTATCTGAAGATATGCTTGGTAAGTACAAGATCCTTTTTCTTGGATTGATCACTAGTCCTTGGCCAGCTTCCAAATACAATGATAGCTATACTGTTAATATAGTTGGTCTCCTGGTAACGGACAAATGTTCTCTTGTTCTTTACTCTGCAGGGCGAGTGTTTAACGGATCAGGAAAGCCCATAGACAGAGGCCCTATGGTCTTGGCTGAAGATTACCTTGATATCATGGGTATGTTTACCATAACATTGCTAACATAAGGTTTGTCCTTTAATTTCTCAGAGAGATGTACTTTCAGCTTAGTGTTTGAAAGGTGCTAGTCAGCATAAATACAAAACAGTTTAGTGATTACCCATTGTACAGATAGGAGTTTAAGTAACTGCTTGCTTCTCAGATGATGGTTTTGTTTGCAGAAAACCAGAATGAGTTTCCCAAAGCTCTCCTTGTTTAGGATCAGCATTGGCAGTAGAGGGCTCCAGACACAGACTCATTCATAGCACATAAATAGTATGTTGCCCTCAGGTCATGCTCAACCCTTAATATTACACACCATGTTAGATTAAATGTCAGAAATAGCAAAGTTGTTTAAAGAAAACCTTATTGTAAATAGAACATTGAGAAAGTTTCCTTCCAGTGTGCAAGTCTCAGAACTTAGGAGTGGAACACTGGATTTAATATTCGTTACTGAAACTTGAATCTAACTTCTTGGAAAATGCAGGTTCAAAATGATGTTTTCCCCCCTGTCAAAATGAAATAGGTCAACCAATTAATCCTCAGTGTCGAATCTACCCAGAAGAGATGATTCAGACTGGCATTTCTGCTATAGATGGCATGAACAGCATTGCCAGAGGACAGAAAATTCCTATTTTCTCTGCTGCTGGGTTGCCCCATAATGAGGTAGGTGTTTTAGCAGGACTTAATGCTCAGGTTTTTTTTTGTTGTTGTTGTTGTTACTGAATTTATATACTGTACCGCCCTATACCTGCAGGTCTCATATACCCGCAGGTCTCATATACCCGCAGGGCGGTTCATAGAATAAAGTCAGAAAATAAAACCACAAAATACAGAATCAAAATGAAAACAACAACCCAATGACACCCCCCCCCCAAAAAAACCACCACACATTCTAAAATGGCATAGTGGTCTACTGCAGCTTTTGGGTTTTTTTTATACGGCTTAGAGTTTTTTATATTATAGGTGGCACAGAAATGGACAGGAAGAGGGTGATCAGGAAGAGTGGGGATATTGAAACCAGTCCCTTGTCATGGCCAGATCACTTCCTGCTGATATTAAGCTTTCAGCACTTTTTCTCCTCTGCAGAGGCGGGGGACCTATTAAGATAGTCTGCCCTTGGAGGCTGATGTAGCCAAAGGATTTCCAGATAGCTGATATGACTGGCGCTCCTGTCAAAGCCCTGGCTGGCCTCTGGAACACCCAGATTCACACAGTGCAAAGAGTGCTAATAGTCTGCAGGGGGTGGGGGGTTCCAGATATACCCTGTGCTGCAGAATAATCTTAATGTGTGTGCTCTGTGTAATATTTGAATTGGACTAATACTTTGGAGGAAACAAATACCTTCTGGTGCCACTTAATGATGTACTCAGATGCTATACCACAATCCTTGCTCCTTCTCCCTGGTTCTCATGCTTCTAGTAGTTTTTATTGCCCTTGGGATGAAACATTGGCAGATGTGGCCTACTGTGCATGCATGAATGGGCCATGCCTCTTAGATTCTAAGTCTGAGGCTCTTGAGGTCTTATTGGCTAAATAAGGGGATATAAACGCTTCTGAAATATAAATTACCTTGTTCACTGGGGGAGATCCCTCTCTGAAACCCTAGAAAGCTGCTACTAGTAAGTGCAGACTGTACTAAGATAGATGGACCAAATGGACTCTATTCAATGCAGCTTGCTTATATACCTTGGGCATACCTGAAACAGAAAAATATATTTACGTTATTTACAGGCTGCCCTATAATGCTTGGCAGCTTACAGAATGAAAAAAAAATGAAATGGAAAACAAATACACCTGTACAACAAAAATACAGTGAAACAAAACTGAGGTATTAAAACACCGAATAAGCTTTTTTTAAAAAAATGGGTTGGATTTAGTAATGTTTTGATAGTTTTTTTTAACCTCCCATGATATTTGCATCTCTTATGAACACATTTTCCTGCTTGGCAGGCGTCTTCACATACTACCCTACGTATTCGAGTACATCCTGTACACTAACCATTGTGTTTAGCAGTCTGTCAAAGACGAGTAAGCATGCTTTTGGTGGTATCCAATCAAGTGCTAAGGAACCTGTTCTGTTAGCACAGAGGATTTGTGCATGTGCAGTGGTTGCTCTCTGTGCACCCCTAAATCTATTTAGGGGGTTCCAGCCCCTCCAGAAAAGATGGGGGTGCAAGGCGCATGTGCGGCAAGGGGAGTAAATCCATGTGTAAATCCTTGCGCTAATGCAACAAGTGCTTTGGATACTGCCCTGTGTTTTGTTCTTATAGTTCATATATGATAAAGCAGACTCTCAAGTCCCCTTCTCTTGTCCCTTGGAAATCTTCCTAGAAATTAAAGCCTTGTACATTGAAAACATGGGTGACTCTGGAATATCCTTTTTCAGATAGCAGCTCAGATCTGTCGCCAGGCAGGATTGGTGAAGAAATCCAAAGATGTGATGGACTACAGTGAAGATAATTTTGCCATTGTATTTGCTGCTATGGGAGTAAGTAGCTAAATGCATACAAATAGTATTCCAGTTCATTATCTGTCACCATCTTTGCCGCCCAAGTTGGAGGTACTTTTATGTAAACAATTCTGCATGAGCTGTTAATGTGCAATGGAATTGGCATCTATGAAACAAAGTACACAGTATCTGATCATCTCAAAAACCTCTAATTTTGGTCCCCAGACCAGCTGCAACAGGATTCCTTGTTCACATGTATAGAAGAACTTAGCCAGGGTACACTTTAAGAGTTGAGACCTTAGTTTCGATGGGAAAGCTGGCATCCCATTGAGAAATGATCTCTTAAAGGGATTGCCATACTATTTCCTCTGCAAAGTAGTGCTTTCACTTCTATGCTTTGGTCATGGACCAAATAATTGTTCTTAGGGATTTGCAGCAGGTGTTTTAAATTATAACAGCCTGAGGACTTGTGCTTCCCCTTTAAAACTTCCAGTTTTAAAAGTGAGCTGCAGCTCCTCCAGTTCTCGCTTTCCTTGGCTCTTTTGTCTGCTCCCTCTTTCACCACTATTGAGGAGGGAAGGTGAGCAAAAGGGCAAGGGAAGGAAAAAATGGGGTAGGGTGGAGAAGTACAAAGTGTAGCATTGGCTCCCTTAGTTGGACTCCAGCACCTATCAGCCCCAGTTAGCATGGCCAGTCGTCATAGGATGGTGAGAGTAGTAGTAGTAGTAGTAGTAGTAGTAGTAGTAATAATTAATAATAAATTTTATTTATATTCTGCCCTCCCCAGCCATAACCGGGCTCAGGGCAGCTAACACCAGGTATAAAAACAATTGATTAAAATACAACTTAAAAACAAGATTAAAATACAACATTAAAATGCAGCCTCATTTCAGTAGAAACTCAAATCAAAAACTTTTGGGGGATGAAAACATCAAATCTTCACCAAGGCCAACTATCCAGACTGGTCTTACATGGGCCAGAAAAAAGCCAGGGAAGTCCCCAAATGGAAATTCCATCACAGAAGGAGAAAGGAAAGAGGGGGGGGGGTGAGTCCAGCAACATCGAGAGGACTATCTCTGCTTTTAAAGAACATCGTATTTCTCCAGATGGCCACCCAGCAACTTTGAAAGCAAAAATAATCACAACTGTTGGTGTTAAATTGGCTGTGTTAACTTTGTTTTATCAATCAAAGCATGAAGGAGGAGCCACTCTCCACTGCTTGACAATACATTGGCTTTATATCGCTTTGACAGATTGAAGAGGCAAATATGAGAATATACAGCATGTGCATCCTTAGTTAAGGATAAGCAACAGTCAGAACTGGGGAAACCCATCCATTTTTATGCTGTCAACATTTTAGAAACTTTCATAAATTGGGTCTAAATAATACTTGGCTTTGCAACTGACCTAGTGTTGATGCTTTGCTGTAGGTGAACATGGAAACAGCTCGATTCTTCAAATCTGACTTTGAAGAAAATGGCTCCATGGACAATGTGTGTCTGTTCCTGAACTTGGCCAATGATCCAACGTAAGTGAAAAAAAAAAGTGACTTTATATACAGCTGGAGGAAATGTAGGGAATTGAGAAATGGAGAAACTTGTCTGCTTCTTCCAAAGACTATATTGAAAGGCTATTGTGCAAAGTTGGATAGAAGTTTGGCAAAATGGTAAACATCTAGGAAAACAAATTTCTCTGTCACAATGAGCTTCGCTTCTCAAAAAACATCCAAGTCTCTCATAGACATCTAGGACAGAATGGAAGATGGCTGTAACATGGCACTCAAAACACCTAATCCATTTATATTTTCCTTTTAAAAACTTTTATTTATGCAATTTTAACAGCTTTTATACAGTATCCACCGCTTATCTCTTTTCCTAAGACTTCCCAGTCCATCTCTCTATGGCATTCTAGAGGGATCTTGATCTGCTGCATATCCTGATAATTTCACCCATTATCATTTCAAGTCTTCCTCTTTTGATGTTACCTGCTGCTCAAACGTTAACTCCTACTTGTAGGTTAAATTGTATATTATACGTTCTAAGAAAATTTCCAAAACGCCTCCACTCTTATTCCTTTAGTTTCATGGTCATGGCTACTAATTCTGTGTATTCTATCAATTTGTTCTGCCAAATTTCCTTTGTGGGTATCTCTTCTTCTTTCCTTTTTTTTCGTATATACTATTCTAGCTTTAGCGGTTGCATACAGAAAAATATTGAGTGCCTTTTTTGGAATGTTGTCACCTGTTCCATCTATATTTTCAATTGAAATTGAGTCCTGGAAAGAGACCTGTAACAGGGAGCTGACAGTCGACAACCAAATCTGCTACTCCTACATATTAAAAAAAATGTGGAAAACAGGTTGCATTCTTCTTTGCTACCTTTTCCTGCCCACCTGGTTTGCGTATCCTGAGAATGGGGAAAGATTCGGGTTTGCTTCACATTTCGGAGCAAATCTGGCTATTTCACCGCCACAGTCCCGTGTGTGGATCAGAACATAGATTTGTGGATTAAGCCACATAATCAATGAATCTTTCTCTATAGGGGTGTGTACTGTACTTGCAAAGTGGTCTGAGGGCTGTTTTTTATTTCACTAACATGCTACTTGGGACAGCTAACGTTTCCTTCATGGCCACACAGTAAAAAAACAAAACAAAAAACTCACTATTTTGAAATACTCCCACAAAGCAGCTGTACATCATAATGAGTCATCCTTCAAGAAGAAGATGGCTGCCTCCATAAATGCCTATGGAAAAGATGCAAAGTTGATTCCTGGAAGCATTTCGAAACTGCTTTTTTTAACCTTATGGCCAGCAGGAGGCATCAGCTGCTTTAGGAAACTTTAAAAAGTTAAAGCAAGAAAAAGTCAGCCCTTGGACCACCTCGTAAGTACTTTATTTAAACAGATGGATTTTAAGACAAGAAAAAACCCCATAAATAGAATGATGAGATGGAGCAGGCTTTGTAAAGGTATGAAACGAGTATTGGGGGGGGGGGGGGAATAGGCCAGGGTTGGATCGATCAACGTATCTCAATTCAGCATAACATTTGACTTGAGTGTACACATTAAAATGCAACACATGTAGGCTAAGATTGCCTTGTTGATTTTCTGGATTGTTTTCATTCTGACCTGCTAATTTTATGTGTGTGTGCCTTATACACACAAGGACACCCAGTGGTGTCTGACATTAGGAAGTAAGAGGGATGGGGTGGGACTTTATTTGCTTCCTGTCAAATGGAGAGCCATCACTCAAGAGTATTGCCCAATCAGGCCTTCAGTCACAGCCAGCTGCTTCCAGCTACCCAGCTATGAAAGCACATCTGATCAGATTTGGAAAGCTCTGATTCATTGTTTGTAGCTTGTACTTTCAGTATCAATCTCTTGACACTTGGGGAAAATGAACCTCAGGCACAGGAGCCAAATGCATTCCTCCAAGCCTGTCTGTCTGGTACGTCAGTCTCTTTCCAACCATGAACCCCCTTAAATGTTTTTGCTAGACTGGAATATGCCCTTTAACGTGGACAATTGCTTCTTGCTTCATAGAGGATGGCGAGGGGTATAATAATGTGTGTGGTAACTAGCTCTACTGTACAAAGGCAAAAATTATATTTGTTGCCCCATCCACTTATACCTCTGGTCCCACCCAACTCTGGCAAGTGGCCCCCAGAAGGTTGCTGCAAAGGGAATGCAGCCCTAGGGTTGAGAAAGGGTCCCCAACACTGTACTACAGGTGGTAGAAAATGTTGCTAACTCTTTAACCACTAAACAACTCCTTATGCATATTGACTGTTGCACTCGACCTTTCTCCTTCTGAACTGCTTTTTCTCAGAAGTAGGCATTAGGCTTGTGCCAAGTATCACTTCCCATTCTGCATCCACATTAATTGGACTCCCATTGCTCTTTTTCAGCATTGAGCGCATAATCACGCCTCGTCTTGCTCTAACCACAGCGGAGTTCTTGGCTTATCAGTGTGAAAAGCATGTATTGGTTATTCTGACGGATATGAGCTCCTATGCAGAGGCGCTGAGAGAGGTACTTTATTTACTGTATTCAGCAGACCAGTCCTTGCCTTGCATGCAAGTACTTTGTCAAAAGGCTGAAATTCATTAATTAGGGAAGCTTGAATCGCACCTTTGATGCCATGGAAGCTCATTAATTGCTCCAGAATAAGTTAACCAAACCTGGAGAAGGAGGATACTGAGTTACTGGGCTTCTGATTACTTGTGAGGTGCTTGCAGAACCTGCTGTTTATGATTCTTATTGAATAATGATTACTTTTGAATGTTCCAATATGCATGTGTTTTGTGTCCTTTACTAGGACATTAATGCAGAGATGCTTTGAAATTCAAAATAGCCTTTGATAACCTTATCAAATACTACCCCAAACTCATCTTCATTGTTCCCGACAGTCTATAATATTGAGGGGGATTAGGCAGGAGTTGACACTGGCCCATGTACTTGCACACCTGGGTTTCTGAGTTTAAAATGGAATAAATTATCTTTCATCAAGGGGCACTTCCTCATGTTTTCTGTGCATTACTTCTTATGAGACATTTTTCACTCTGCGATGCCTCAATTGAACACACCCTTTAGACTCATCACTGCAGACTGCGCTTGTTGCTGCTGCAAGCTATTATACAGTGCTTTGCATTGTACCCAATGTACATTATGCTTCACCCCATAACCCAAGGGTGCAGAACCTGTGACCATTTGTTGTTGGACTACAACTCTTTTCAGCCCCAGCCAGCATGGTCCATGGTCAGGGATGATATGGAGGGCAACACCCCGGTCATAAAAAAGTGGATCTCTGCCTCTAGGCCCTAATAGACTCAAGTTTGACAGAGAGGATGGAGAGATAAGGGTTAAGCTGTCAGTGGTCCTCAGATCAGCAGAGCAGAAGCCCATTTCAAAAAGAAGGAGTTGTGATGCTGCCAGATCATGAGCTTCCTCCCCCCCTCCATTTGATTTTGCAGCTTTTCCTGGTAAGCCCACACTTTGCTAACTTTTTGCTTTTGTTCTAATTCCTCAAAGGTCTCAGCAGCCAGGGAAGAAGTACCAGGCCGGCGTGGCTTTCCTGGTTACATGTACACTGATCTGGCCACAATCTATGAACGAGCTGGGCGAGTGGAAGGCAGGAATGGGTCCATTACTCAAATTCCTATTCTCACCATGCCCAATGATGGTGAGTCCTTGTCTTACATTGCTCCTTCCATATTGTTTCCATCTAGGCAGGGGTCCACAGATACCAGGAGAAGCTCTGCTTTTCCTTAGCACCCGTTCTATCGCCACTCACTTGGCAGATGCATAAGTCTTCTGTCATTGCTAGATGGCTGGAGGAAAACCTGAAGAGTCTTCTGACTTGCAAGAATTGCGGGAGAAGGAAAGAAACTTCTCCCAACTTTCCTCCAAATCACAAAGTTCTTAGACTTCCCCTCCAGCAAATGTGGAGCGAGAAGCAAGCCCTCTGCAAAAATATTTGGAGAGAGACAGAAACATCAGGCATTTCTTGGCATCTTCTTGATTGATGGATTTTTTAAAAACAGCAATGAGAAGGTTGTGAAAGTTCAATGTATTATCCCCATTGCACCCCTGGTTTGCACTCTGCACCATGCCAAACTTTGGCTTGAGGGGGCCATGCAGATATGTGGACTCCTGCACAGGAGCTTGCAGCCACATTGCTCCGCCATGGTCCTTTTTGCTGCCATGGTGAGCTAAGCTAAGGTCTGACTTGGCATGTTTTCCTGACCTTGGCTTCGCTCAGTGCGAAAGCAAAAATGACCATGGAGGAACAAAGCGACTACAAGCATCACTACACGATCCTGCAAATCTCTGCAGTCCCATTAAGCTTAGCATTTTGTGTAAACCAAGCCAGTGACACATATTGAGACCAGGTTTGCATATCCCCATAAGGCAGGCATAGCCAAACTTGGCCCTCCAGCTGTTTTGGGACTACAATTCCCATCATCCCTGACCACTGGTCCTGTAAGCTAGGGATGATGGGAGTTGTAGTCCCAAAACAGCTGGAGGGCCAAGTTTGGCCATGCCTGCCATAGGGCAAGAAGAGAGAGTTTTTCTTCCTCCAGTAGCTAATGGTTTCTTTTCCCTCAGCTTTCATTATCCAGATTAGAGTCTTGAGTATTTTCCTCCTCTGCTTCCTTCTGTTTGTACTTCTACAGACAAAATCCATACTTGCTACATTTTCCCCAAATACCACAAAAATCCTATTCTCAAAGACTTTAGATGATTCTGTTACCCATGCTGCTGAGATAAAATCAGTCTTCCTGCTTGGTTAAGTCTTGATCATTACAGCATCATGATACATCACCTGCAGCGGCCAAAAGAAATCTGAAAGCACAAGATGCTTAGAAAAGCTGGTGTGAATTTTAATCCTTTTTAGTATTTTAACTTCTTGTATTTTTTAGTTTACGGTATCTTTTCCTGATTTTATAGTCTAAAACACTTTGAGGATTTTTTTTTTTTTTTTACGATCATATAATTTACATACCATACGATTGTGGTATGTAAATTATATGAAATAAGCAAATAAATAAATTTAACTTGTTTTTCAGATATTACCCACCCCATCCCTGACTTGACGGGATACATTACTGAAGGCCAGATCTACGTAGACAGGCAGCTGCACAACAGACAGGTCAGTATGCTACCTTCAGGATGTCTTCGGGATGAAGCGTCATGCCCTCCTACTCCTCTGTACTTCTTGAGACAAGCAGTTTTAACAGCAATTGTCATACAATGCTATCTGCCTCTTATTATCAGAGTGCCTCTGAGACTTGATTACAAGAGCTAAAATTGTGGTTGTCTTAAAGGCACAGGCATTACGGTAAGGTGTTTCAGCTAGGTTGTTTAGTAATTAATATTGTGGTGTTAGCACTGCCAGTCATGTCTTTTTGGTGCCCAACATCATTGAAAGATTTCCAATGTTTATTTTATTTTAAGTATTTATAAACAGCTTAATAAAAATTGTCTAAGCAATGAACCTGGTAAGTAAGGTAACACAGTCATAAAACAATTGGCCAGCTGACATTTAAAGGCTAAATTTCTTCTGAAGGAAGTGTCACTTCAAACCTGTATTCCTTGATGAAGCCGGGGAGGAAGGATTTCTTTTTAATAATACAGTGGAACATTGGTTTTCGAGCATCTTGGAAGCCGAACATTTCGGAAGTCGAACGGCTTCTGAGGCGTGTTTTTCCATTTTCCCCATTGAAATTGCTGACAGTCCTTTGCGCCTCAGTTGTTGGACGTTTCGGAAGTTGAAACGGTCTTCCAGAACGGATTACGTTCGACAACCGAGGTTCCACTGTATTACAAGCCAGGTAAGTGCAAGGGAGGTATCAAGCAGGGAAATGTCTGCTTTCTGTTGCTATGCTATTATTTTTGAATCAAAGCATTTAACATCATGTCACAACAACCCGTCCCAAGCTCCTGCAGCTCTTAATTTTCACGTCTCTCCTTCCAGATTTACCCACCTATCAACGTACTTCCCTCTTTGTCTCGATTGATGAAATCTGCTATTGGAGAGGGGATGACCAGGAAGGATCACGCTGAGGTTTCAAACCAACTGGTAGGTGTGACTGTTACCCTTTTAAGTACAGTGGACGCTCGGGTTGCGAATGTGATCCGTGCAGGAAGCATGTTCGCAACCCGCAGCGTTCACAACCCGCAGCGCTGCATGTGCGCATGCGTGGCTTGCGATTCGGTGCTTCTGCGCATGTGCAAAGCCCGATTTAGCGCTTCTGCGCATGTGCGACTGCCGAAACCCAGAAGTAACCCGTTCCAGTACTTCTGGGTTTCAGCGCATCCGTAACCCAAAAAAACGCAACCTGAAGCGTCTGTAACCCAAGGTATGACTGTACATGTCTTGGAAGGTGGGGGGTGACATAGTGGACAAGCTATTATGAAACTTCAAGTTGTTTCTTTTAGGATTTCTAATTTTAAAGAGGTGGGGGCACGAACGTGGCCCTTCAGATGTTGCTGGGCTCCATCTGCCAGCCCAGCTAGCATGACCAATGACCAGGCATGATAGGAGCTGCAGTCCAAGATCAGCTGCTGGACCACAAGTTAAATCTGTTAGTGCTTGGGCAATCATATCCTGGCTACCTGTCCCTGACCACACTCTCCTTTCCCCCTAGTATGCGTGCTATGCCATTGGGAAGGATGTCCAAGCCATGAAGGCTGTTGTAGGGGAGGAAGCGCTTACTTCCGATGATCTTCTCTATCTTGAATTCCTGCAGAAATTTGAGAGGAACTTCATTGCTCAGGGTAGGTATACCATTCATCAGATGCTCAGTGTTGCATAACGGTTTCTTCACCTCTCAGAAGCATGTTCCAATCCCTTCTTAGAGGGCAACTAGAATTTCCTTGTGCCATCAGTGGGGGAGAAAAGGAAAGAAAGAACCTGCGAGGTTTCCAGAGTCGAAAGCCCCAGAGTTTAGGTGCAACCTGTTGGTTTTCTGGCATTCTTATTAAGCTCTTTGAGCGGAGAACCCTCAGCCTTTCTCCCTTCCTCTGATGCTTCCGTCTGAGCTGTTTATATGATAGCTATAGGAATGTGGAAGCAGGCCTTCTCCAGGTTTCCTTGCTCCATTATAGCTACATCCCTCTTTTGTTTAGTTCCAGTGTGCGCTGGAGAACCCAGCCACACCTTTGCCCTGTGCATCGCCCTCAGAGGGAAAAGCTACCTTACTGTCATAAAAACTGGACTTAACCTCCTGGGGTCCTTTGCCTACATGAGAATTTAAGAAGAGTCCTGTTGGATCAGGCCAAAGGCCCATCTAGTCCAACATCCTGTTCTCATTGTGGCCAAACAGATGTCTGTAGGAAACCTCCAAGCAGGACTCGAGCAGAACAGCATTCTCCCCACTTGCAATCCCCAGCATATTAAAAGGCATACTGCTTCTTGACAGTGGAAGTAGATTAATAATAATAATAATAATAATAATAATAATAATATTTTTACCCCGCCTATCTGACAGGGTTGCCCCAGCCACTCTGGGCGGCTTCCAACATACATAAAAACACAATACAACATTACACATTAAAAAGCTTCATGGCCTTATCCGCCATGAATCCTCTTTTAAAGCTATCCCAGTTGGTGGCCATCATTACCTCTCGCGAGTGTGAACTCCGAAGTTTAACTATGTGCCACCTGGAAAAGTACTTCATTTTGCCTGTCCTGAATCTTCCCACATTCAGTGCCATTGGAGCGTTCCAAGTTCTAGTACTGTGAGGGAGAGGGTCCATACCAGTGTCTAACCCTGCCAGTGGTTATTCTTTCAGGGGCCTACGAAAATCGCACTGTTTACGAGACGTTGGACATCGGCTGGCAGCTGCTACGTATCTTCCCCAAGGAGATGCTGAAGAGAATCCCTCAGAGCACCTTGGCAGAGTTTTACCCCCGAGATTCCACAGCAAAGCACTAGCTGCACCTTCACCTTCCATGAAACGCTGGGTTTTCTTCCCTTGTGTTGGTGTTTACTTGTCATCCCTGTAATTAAACCAAGAATAAGTGACATATTTGTGCCAGTGTTCCTGATGTGTTTAGCTGATAACAGAGTTTAAAATGCACCCCTTCTCTCAAGCACTAGGATCTTGAATTGTTTACATTTATAGAGGGGAAAATGTTCTTTCGCAACTCTTATTTGGTTTACTGGAATAATTTTTTTTAATTTAGGCAGTCTTGGAGGAAGAAAATCCTCGAGGCTGGAGTTTTCTACCCATTGCACTGTGAGAAAAGTAATAAAGTCACATGGGAGGTGTAGTTGAATAAAAGTTAAAGAAGTCCTCTTCTCCTTAGCCCAGACTGCCTTTGCCCAGTCAAAAGTTCCACCACCCTTTGTCCTGTTGTGTAGAAGAGGCACAGGGGGCATGAGAGAGGCACACACAAGAGAGCAGAGTGGTGGCTGGTGGCAGGTCAAACCCACAAATCACCTCTAGCTTCAATTATGGCTGAGAAAATTACGCAGCAATGACATTGCAATGTTTGCACACCCTGGTGCTTGCCCAGTAACAGGTACAAGATTCCTACCTCTTCCAAGAACTTGGCACGAGGTCCACTTGCTTGTTCCGCCAGTCTAACCTGCCTGTTTCACTGTCTCCACCGCCACTTTGTGTAGAGGTGGACATAATACGAAACTGAATAGGGATCCTGCCTCTACCTACCCAACCCTGAACTGCAGAATCATTGTGACTGGAGAACCCAGCTGGTAAAGTGGCTGAGCCCATAGCAAATGGAAATTTATCCTGAGCAGTGTCAGCCTTCATAATGCCATTGAGAAGATATCCCAGCACTTTCAGACTGTGCATCACAGAATATAACCTCATCCCTTGAAAGCGATGGACCCTCCGATTTAACTTGTCTCATCAAACATTACCTAATAAGGTAGGAAAGGGTGATGGCAAATCAAATGTGCGAAGGGAGGATATTTTAAATTCTGTTATTAAGCAGTCCTTTGGATGACACTGGGTTCTGAACCGACCTTGGGTTTGTTTTTAAACCGCCTTCCGATCGTGAAGTTGGCTAGCCATCGTACACTGGGGGAAAAACAGCTTGATGGCAGCCAAATGCTTATATGGAATGGATTTCGATGCCCGGAGGCAAACAGGATCTTTGTGTCTTCTCCTTGATTTTGCTTTCCAGGCTATTCTACACCCCAGCTTCAGCGACCCAGATCGCAAACTGTTGGCAACGTCCTAGATCACGGCTGGGAGTTGGTCAGAAGGGTTTCTTGCGGCTCAGGCCGCGTAGACTGTGGTGGTTCCAGCGTCTTCCCCACCCACCATGCAGCCCTCCCAACGCGCTTTCCTATGCAGATCTTTCTTGTGCTGTTTTTTGGTCTGTGTGCTCTGTAACCTGGGTGCAGTAGCCTTTTCTTTACTCTAGCGCATTCCATCAAAGTTGTGTCAATTCTATTTTTCTCTGGACAGAGGAGGGGAAATTGTGGGGATGGGGAGATAGCATGAAATATTTTAATGTAGGAAACTGTGATATCTGAATAAGTTAAACATGAACAATAAATGTAAACAAAATGAGACTCTGTTCTCTGCTTAAGAAGTGGTTGATTCTTGATTTCTCTGGGGGTCCATCACAAGCTCCTCTTAGCAGATTCCTCAAGGGAGCGTTCTATGCCCAGAAGCTTGGAATACACAATTCTGGAAAAGGATCTCCTGGGTAGCGCCCCAGGGATGATCTTTGGCTCAGTAGGTGTATCTTGCCAGCCAACTTCAAAGTTGGATGACTGCCATTGATAATTCACCCTCCCTGACTTTGGAGGTTATTTCGATCTACTGCCACCTTGGATGACTTGTTTCAGCTGCCAAGTTACTTTGATAATGCACTTAAATACCGTAGAGAGAAAGAGGCACAACTCACATAGCCTACTTGGAGTCTGAAATGTGCCTTCAGCAGATGTGTAGGCTATGGCACTCTGATCAGTAAAGCTGTAGGACATTTGTACATTAATCAGTAGTAATTTAGTTTTATAGAAATATTTATATCCTGTCCATCTGACTGGGTTGCCCCAGCTGCTCTGGGTGGCTTCCAACAAAACATAAAAACACCTTAGGCTTAAAACATCAAAAATTGAAAACTTTTCTATACAGGACTGTCTTTAGATGACTTCTAATAGTTGTATATCTGTTTGACATCTGATGAGAGGGCATTCCACAGGCAGGCACCACTACCAAGAAAAAGTAAAAATAAATGCAATTTCACATTAGCCAGAGAGCTGAAATTAGTCACATACAGCCCCAGATGTAGATTGCAAGAAAAGTCTTAAAGGAGAGACTCATCGTCAAAACTTAGTGCATGTAACTTGCCTTATAGAATGACGAGGCAGTAGTCCAGCACAGAATAAAGGAAGCTGAGCCATACATGTATGCAATGGCCCGGGACTCCTCTCATTCGGTCATGGAGATTTTCCAGAAGCAGCTGGTAATATGCTGAGGCTGCAATATTTTTTTAAAAAAACTTCTGAAGCAAGAAGCTTGTTTTATTTGGGTTTAGATCGTAGGTGGTTAGCTTGTGGGCCACATAACGGCCCTCGTAGCCATCTGTGCTGTTCTTGCAAGAGCCCATGCTTCCCTGTCCTGAAGACAACCAAATGATGTGGGCTTCCTGCACTACTGTGCTGAAGGGGAAGTGAACATGGGGAGAATAATTTCTGGGCATTTCCTGAGCTCCACAAACACAGGGATTGGAGCTGGCAGCCCGGGTGGACCCCTCCCCCTTGAAAAGTTTTATTTTGAGGCCAGATAACAGAATGACATGGGACGTGGGTGGCGCTGTGGGTTAAACCACAGAGCCTAGGACCTGCTGATCAGAAGGTCATCAGTTCAAATCCCTGCGACGGGGTGAGCTCCCATTTTTCGGTCCCAGTTCCTGCCAACCTAGCAGTTTGAAAGCACGTCAAAGTGCAAGTAGATAAATAGGTACCGCTCCGGCGGGAAGGTAAACGGCGTTTCCGTGCGCTGCTCTGGTTTGCCAGAAGCGGCTTAGTCATGCTGGCCACATGACCCGGAAGCTGTACGCCGGCTCCCTCGGCCAATAAAGTGAGATAAGCGACGACCCCAGAGTCGGCCACGACTGGACCTAATGGTCAGGGGTCCCTTTACCATTTACCTAACATAGAACGATGGGCTGTGCGGATTCCATTGCCCTTCCATATCTACTTGAATAGGCCTGCAGGAAGGGAGAACACCCATGCTGTGACATTTTGCTTCAGGCCCTACTGGTCACGGCCGTAGATTTGGCCCCTCCATGAACTTGTCTCCTCTTTTTAAAGAGGCTGTTGCCACAGTTTGTGCCAGCCAATCCCATAAATTGTGGTGGAAAGAGGTCAGTTGTCTCTGGACGGCAACTGCAAGGGAGAGTCCCACAGAGCCTTCCCTGCAAGTGGTACTTGCTATATAAGAAAAACCGCCTGGAACCCAGTGGTTTCAAAAAGCAAGAGTGGGAAACCTGTGGCCCTCCAGATGTTGTTGGACTACAACTCTCATCGGCCCTGATCGTTGGCCATGCTGGGTGGGGCTGATGGGAGCATCAACATCTGGCAGTATCAAAGTGTAGCTGCATCTCAAGGCTTGCTATGTTCCCCTAGTACAAGGTCTTTTCAACGACGAGTGATGCTTTGGAGAAGGGCACAAGGGATAGTTTTGGAACATTGTGCATTGGGTATTTGAGAATAAGGGCCAAGCTACACATTATTATAAGCAAGGATGACCTCTGGAAATGCAAACAGACCGTCAACAACACAGTGGTCTTCCTCTCTCACAGGTCCCAGACTCTCCACCCCTAAGGGAGCACTTGACCATGTATGTGCCAAGCCAGGATATTGAACTAGTGTTACCAAAGGTGCGTGCGTGCTAAAACTCCCAAGGTTTTTATTATTGTGCTGAAAATGAGAGAGCACTGTGGAGATCTATTCCAGGAGCTCACTGCACAAGGACAAAGCCACTTGGTCTGGGATGCAGGAATTCAGTGCAATCCTACAGAGGTGTATTTTGAAGTCCCACTATGTTCAATGAGGCTTCATTCCCTCAGACGTGTGCTTAGGGTTGTAGCCGAAATGCCCTAAGCATCTTGATTTTGAAGAGCAAGCTCCTAACTTTTAAAAACTGCAATGGCCAGTTTCAGAAGTGGAGCGCTGAAGCTGTATTTTCACTGGCTAGGGCTTCAGTGCCTGGAAGAAGTCGTTTCTCTGTGTACACGCAACTCTTTATCCCGAGCGCCGCTTGTGAGCATGCTGCAATGAAGAGCTTTACTTGGGGCAACGAACTGGCACTTGCACGTATGTCTACATCTGAGGTAGCTACCTTGTGCCCTTCTAGTTGCTACACTCCAGCTCCCATCAGCCCCTACAATGGATGGCTAATGTTCAGGAATGATGGGAATTGCAGTCCACCATCGGAGGCTCACAGGTTCCCCACCCCTGGTATAAATGAACTGCCACGTCATGTATGGGGGGGGTTAAATTCTTCCTTAAATGGGGGATAAAGAGGGGAGCCTTTTTCCTTTCTCACTTGGTTAAGAAGGATACTTATTGCAAAGCATTGGAAGACACAAGATCTACCCACACTGGAGGAATGGCAGGTGAAAATGATGGACTATATGGAATTGGCGGAAATGACTGGCAGAATCCGAGACCAGGGAGAAGAGTCGGTGAAAGAAGATTGGAAGAAATTTAAAGACTACTTACAGAAATATTGTAAAATTAATGAATGTTAGAATGATGACGGATTGAAGTTAAGCGGTTTCTAGCAGTAATGGTATAAAAGAATATGGAAAAATTGGTTTTTAATATGTAAAAATTTAATGTTATAATATATCAAGATTAAAGATCAGGATTAAAAAGGAGGGAAAGGAATCACTGGACTAACAAATTGAATTGGAATACAAAAGAGGGAGGTATGAGGAGGTCCGGGAAACAAGTAAATGTAAAAGAAGTGATGAAAAGATGGAATTGTTTTTAACTGTTTTTTCTTTTTTGTATTTTGTATTTTGTATTTTTCCTTTTTATTGTTAATTTTCTTATTAATGTAATCTTCTTCTTTTGAAATTTTAATAAATATCATTAAAAAAAAAAAAAGAAGGGAAAGGCAGCATTGTACCCATAGCTTTTTTTAAAACTCTAAAGGAGGCTTCCTCGACCTCGGCCCTCCAGATGTTTTTGGCCTACAACTCCCATGATCCCTGGCTAGAAGGACCAGCAGTCAGGGATGATGGGAATTGTAGTTTCAAAACATCTGGAGGGCCGAGGTTGAGGAAGCCTGCTCTAAAGTAACAGCCCACACCTGGAGATGGTTCATTTTGCTTGACTGGAATTTAAACAAGCTCCTAATATTTAATTCTGCAAATAAAGGCCTTTTTAAACAAACAAACAAACTTTTCAGCTCGGTGATGTTCTGTCCAAGTGCTATACCACTATCAGCCACAGCATGGTGCTCTTAGATTTTCTGATTATTGTCTAATACAGCTTGGCTGTGGAAGGTCCTCTGATTTTTCTGACTTTCCAAATGTATTCGTAGCTGAAAGTATCAGTAGAAAAATCTACTTATGGATCCTCCGGAAAGGAATCTGATTTCCTACCCTCACCTTCCTGCTTCCTATATGTAGAGGCCCAGGGGTGGGTGGGTTGGATTCTGCCTTGTATTTGTGCGAGATGCCAGGATTTTAGAAAGCCAAGGTTGCGTGTGCATGTTTTGGCTAAAGAAATGTTAGGATATAAATTGGTTAATCAACACAAGCAGCAGATAAATATCTCTTTTAATAGAGGAGTGTGGTAGGCAAACTACTAAGCATGACTGCTATGTTCTAATTCCCTTGTCAGAGGAAGACCTGTTGCTGGAGATCACAGGGGCTGTTCTTGGAATTAAATAGGGAAGGGGAGAACCATGAGCTTCTTGGCGAAAAAGGTGGGATATAAATGCAACAAATAAATAAATGCCCAGTTTATTCTGCCCAGTTTCCTCTCTGAATTAAAAAGCAGGTAGAGGCAATTGAACTGCTTCTTCAAATGACCCACAAACCAGCTGCTCTGAATGGGAGCTGGAGTGAGTACCCCTCTCTAACTGTGCCTACACTGCCTCTGGTTCCCCAAAGCTAAATTATTTAGACAAATGATGTAGCAACTTGGCTGAATTATTCAGAGGGACTTAGGGGGTGCTAGCCAATGAAGCAGAAGTGTACGGAGATGAGCAGCATGTTGCATAACCCCCAGAGAGAATTCAGCCATTGGCTGGCGATGGAGAAGCAACGGGATACAATATTCATAGCAAAGGAGGCAAGGAGCCGTCCCAGCCCAAGCTGAGCCGTGTTTGCTGCACGAGTTGTTTTGTGTGGGTGTGCTTTTCAGAGCATATGTTGCGTCAAAGGCTGGAAGTGCTGTTCTGCATGTATGCAAAGAGAGGTGCAAAGCTAGGAAGCAAGAGTTTTAAATAAAAGCTAAGGGCAACCATTGGAGCCAGGATGAACAGAAGAAGAAACCTCCTGGATCAGGTCAATGGCTTCTCTAGTCCAGCATCCTGTTCTCACAGTGGCCAACCAAAGGCCTATGAGAAGCCCACAAGCAAGATCTGAGAGCCACAGCCCTCTCGCCATTTGTGATTCCATGCAGCTAGGATTCAAAGGCATTCTTCCTCTGACAGTGGAAGGAAATCATAGCCATTGATAGCTATTGACAGCCTTATCCTTCACAAAGACGGGACATCTGCAGATCTGGGTGATAAAATTCAAGCACCTAGACTGTTCCAGAAAGGCAGAATAATACAGCTCCCCTTTGCTGTGGCTTCTCCAGTGGAGTCAGATCCTGGGGATGGATGAATGAATCTGCTGATTGCAGGGTCTCTCAGTGTCTCATTTTCCCAACCTGAAGGTCACTTTGTGGTTAGTGTAGGCTTGTGAATCCCCACTCAGAGATGAAGCTTACGGGGTGTGGTCTTGCGCCAGGCACTATCTCTCAGCCCAACCTATTCTGCAGGGTTGCTGTGAGGATAACATGGGGAGGAAAACTACGTACACCATCCTGAGCTCCATGGAGGAAAGGTGATGCAAACAATCGATCAATAAATTTCTGCATCAGTTTCCACGTTTATATTTTAAAAGTCCACATGGAAATTTGTATGCATTTTTTAAAGCATATTTGCAAACAATTTCCCCAAATGTAATGTTGTTTTGTGCACACTTTT